TAAATGTAATAATAATAATAATAATAATAATAATAATAATAATAATAAATAGAGTAAAATAATAAATAACCTTTACTCAAATATTAGCCGAGGTAGGCTTTTCCAGCCTAAAAAAAAGGCTGAAAAACTTGACTTATACTCGAATATATACGATATTCCCAAAATGTATCTACCATAGCACAACTTCAAAATAGCATTAGCAGTATTACATCTCCAATAATTTGCTGATCTGTAATGCTCTTTCTTAAATAGACATGGCAATCAATATACCCAAAAGAACAATTCCTACAGCTTAAGATACAGCCAGAGATCTATATCCATACTAATTATAGATGTTAAAACACATGGCCACTGATTAATCGAAACTGGATGTTCCAATTCTTGATTACAGTTTTGCAGTAAGGTTCACGTGTCATATGTATTCATAAATATCAAAACGTTGTATCAAAATGTCTTCCAAAAGTTTTTGTACTTTTAAAAACTTTATTAAAAATTTCAAAAACGAACTACATCACTTTTCTACATAAACACCTTCCTTTGTGATGCATTTTTCCAGTGTTGTACCAATTTTTAAATGCCATTAGCAAAAAAAATAAAGAATTTTTTGTAGCCACTGATCCAGTGCTGCTTTCACATCATCTTCTTGCTACTTGTGCTTTTGCTCCTCTGTCAGTTGCTTAGGCACCTTCACCTGGCACCCACTTTACTGAAGGCTGTCATGAATCAGGGCAAATCCAACACTCACCATTGGATTTCCTTCAAGCTTTTGAGTTGCTACTGTACTTTTCCGAATTACTCCCAAGGTTTCTTCTTCATTCCTCATGGCTGTGGCTGTAGCTAGATGTCCAGAGTGCTCTGCGTCTGTCACACTAGTACTTCCATTTTTTTTAACATTTCAGTCCATTCATAGACAACTCTAAGAGAGAGAAATTGTCCTCATACTGAATACACATCTAGAGATGAATTTGTGCTCCTGGTACACCGTATGCCAACAAAAAGCATATGACAGGACACAGTTCCTCTTTGGTGCAAATTATAAGTTTCACAGTCATCTTCACTGCAGTGTGACAGCTCTTATACTAAACTGAAAGATCAGCCAGCTTGCCAGACAGACTAGTCACATGATACTCTCAGTCATGACCAGTTACTACTACTCCCACCCTCACAGTTTCCAACAAAAATATAAAAGTTCAGAAACTTTTTGAAGACTCCTTGTATATAAATTATTGCTTAGGATTCTTGATAGGCCTCAATTAATATCTTTAAAATGAAATAAACCTCAGATGCACTTAAAACTACAGGACCAAATCAGGGTTGTAAGAAATGTTAACACAACAAATAATATAACTATTTCTAGGCATAACATTTTAATCATGTTTAACCTTACCCTTACGGCAGTGGTTCTCAACTTTCCTAATGCCGTGACCCCTTAATACAATTCCTCATGTTGTGTTGACCCCCAACCATAACATTATTTTTGTTGCTACTTCAGAACTGTAATTTTGCTACTGTTATGAATCGTAATGTAATTATCTGACATGCAGGATGTATTTCCATTTGCTGGACCAGACACAAATATCTGATACGCCCAAATTTGAATATTGGTCGTGTGGGGGATTGGTTTTTGTCATCTCGGAGTTGTAGTTGCTGGGCTTTATAGTTCACCTACTATCAAAGAACATTTTGAACTCCACCAATGATGGAATTGAACCAAACTTGACACACAGAACTCCCATGAGCAACAGAAAATACTGGAAGGGTTTGGTGGGCATTGATCTTGAGTTTTGGAGTTGTAGTTCACCTACATCCAGAGAGCACTGTGAACTCAAACAATGATGGATCTAAAATTGACACAAATACTCAATATGACCAGATATGGACACTGGTGGAGTTTAGGGAAAATGGACCTTGACATTTGAGAGTTCTAATTGCTGGGATTTATAGTTCACCTACAATCAAAGAGCATTCTGAACTCCACCAAGGATGGAATCGAACCAAAACTGGCACACAGAACTCCCATGAGCAACAGAAAATACTGGAAGGGTTTGGTGGGCATTTACCTTGAGTTTGGGAATTGTAGTTCACCTACACCCAGAGAACAATGTGGCCTCAAACAATGATGGATCTGGACCAAACTTGGCACGAATACTCAATATGCCCAAATGTGAACACTGGTGGACTTTGGGGGAAATGGACCTTGACATTTGGGAGCTGTAGTTGCTGGGATTTATAGTTCACTTACAATCAAAGAGCATTCTGAACTCCACCAAGGATGGAATTGAACCAAACTTGGCACACAGAACCCCCATGACCAACAGAAAATACTGTGTTTTCTGATGGTCTTTGGTGACCCTTCTGACACCCCCTCATGACCCCCCCAGGGGTCCTGACCCCAGGTTGAGAAACACTGCCCTACAGACTCATTTTTAAACCTGCCCATCTCTCTAAATCTTATAAATTATCATATTATCAGTGACAATTTTCTGTTAAAAGCCAGTGTGGCATTGTAATTTGAGCATTGGCCTATGATTCTGGAGACCAGGCCTCAGCCCTGAAAATATCCTTTGGGCCAATCACAAACATTTAGCCTTAGAACACCCCGATAAGTTCACCAGCTCATAAATTAGGCAGCTGAAAAACACTTGTATTATCCAGAAGTTAATTTCTGAGAAATTACTTCAGCGTCTATTTACTTATAGAACTGGAAACAAAATTGGTCCAGATGGTACTGCTCTTCAAATTCTGTGAGTCAGATTGTAGTGTCTTTTGTAGCTCTAAATAAAAGGAATAGAGTTGACGAGGCCTATTTTAAAGATGGAAAAGTGTGAAACATCTCTCAGCCTGGCCACTGCCACACCGAAGTCTTGGCCACCTAAATTGTAAACATCTTACTTTTCCAAGCATTTCCCATCCGTCTTTTAAAAATGATCGTACTGTATATCATATTTCCGAGTCAGACAGCCTTCTGTGAAATAATCCATTCCTCTATTGTTTTTTGCTATAATATGGTCTGCTCTATAAAAATAGCCAGTACCAATTGTTCATTCAGAAAGGTCAGCAACTTTACAAAAGAGCTCACTTCCCTTCCCACATCCAAACAAGACTTTTAAAACAAACTTTTAAAATAGGTTTTTAATTTGCTCCCTTGTGCTTGAATGCTTTATTTTCTGTGAAATACTTGTAGTGGGGCTTATATCAGCAGTGAGATTTGGTATACTGTGATCAGTTTCTTATTTGGGTTGTTGTGAGGAGCTCACTACCTCTGAGGATACCTGCCATAGATGCAGGCAAAACGTCAGGAGATAATGCTTCTAGAACATGGTCACACAGCCTGAAAAATCTACAACAACCCAGTGATTCTGGCCATGAAAGTCTTCGACAATGCAGTTTCTTCTTTGACTCAGATATCTTATACAGGTGCAAGCTAGGGGAGTTGAATGTATTTCCTGGGTATATTCCTCTCCCGAAAACCAGTTTTCTTTTAGGAACATGCATCTATATTCATAGTTCTTACTGGCCCATTTTAAAGTGCTGCTTAACCTTTGCTTTGGAGGCTTTGTTCTTTAGTTCTTCAGCAGTGCTGGTAAGGTCCAGAGAAGGCTTTTCCTCCAGTGCTCCTGACACTTTGGAGCTCTTTGTATGTGGGTATACAGGCAGTCCTCAAGTTATGAACAAGATAGGTTCTATAGGCTTGTTCTTAAGTTTAATTTGTATGTAAATCATGACAGGTACATTTTAAGTGTAACTCCAGCCATATATACACCTCTGTGGTCTTTGCTTGGCTATCTGTACCCCTGTTCAGAAGATTCCACCTAACTTTCTGTCTCTGTAGTAATAGGATTTTGGAAAACATGTTTTGTTGTGGAAACAAGGATTGGCGATAAAGCTTCTGTTTAGACACCTTTTCCTCATGATAACTCTTTCCCTTCCAAGGATAGATCTCTCTCACTTCCTGTTGTCTCATTCCTGTTCTTAACTATGAGTCATTTGTAAGTCAAATGTTTGTTTATTTATTTATTTCGAGCATTTTGAGCCTGCCCTTCTCAACTCCCGAGGAGGGACTCAGGGCAGCTTACACCGGCAATGTTTGTAGCTCAGGGACTGTCTGTATATATGGTCTTCCTTTTATATACTGCCCTTCAATCTTGCCAGGATAGCCTCCAGAAGTTGCCTATGAGCTACACAATTCTCATTGCTAAAAGTATGGATAGTTAGACATATAATATTAAAACTGTGTCAGGATGTGTGTGTGTTAGAATTGTTCATTCTCTGCTGTCTAAATACTACTGTTTGGTGGCTCCTCTGTCTACCACTCCCTTTCTCCACTTGTTTATTTTTTCAACAATGGAACTCTTTTTTCCTCTAAAGACAAAGAGAGGAAGGAGGCAGATACAGTAACTGTAAACACTGCTTGCGAGGAAGTACAGAGTAGTTAGGCCCTGGAAATGTGGTTGGAGACAGCTTTTCTGTTGCAGCAGGAAGGTAAACTGCCAGGAATCAGGATTATTTTCCCTTAGTGGCAGAATGAACTTGTAATATACCTCAGCTGTTAAAAGAATAAAAGTCCAACCTTTGGGATTTTTCAATGTTAGTACAAGCATAGTGGTTTGATGATCAGTAGTTTACTGCATCATGTGGGAATTGGGCAGCACCATATATTACTTAAATGTGCACACTTTTGCTAAATACATTTCAGTAGATATCTAAACATAAGAAGGCCACAAATATGGAACTTCTGATTTATTGCAGTATGTACATGTGTATATATGTGTGCAGAGGTGTATTTAACAACAGCAATATATGTCCACACAGCTTGAGATGTCAATTTGAGCTATCGTTTTAAAAATTGAGTTGTTTCTCAAATTTTAATTTTCATGCAAATGCGCCATATTTTTCTTGTACAATTGGTACATATACTAAGTTAGTGGTGATTGTCAGCAGAGACCAAACTATGCCCTCTATAGGTTTCTAAGTTTTCAAAATGTTTCCTCTCTCCACAGGGGTTGATTCAGGTGTGCAAAAGGAATCCCGAAATCAAACGCCAGCTCCATCTGCAGCTCCAGCTCCATCTTCATCCAAGTACCATCGAGGACGGTCCGGGGGAGCCAGAGATGAACGCTATCGATCTGGTTAGGCTACTTTGAAGTCACACGAGAAACAGAGTTTCTTATGGTTTTTTTTTTCTGATTTGAGAAAAGCTGTGCCTATAGCCTTTAAAAGATGGCATTTCAGATATCTGGAACAGATTCTATAATAAAAGAGAATGTGTAATCAGTTGTTTCCATGAAACCTAGACACCTGAAAGTTTGGCATACATATAAATGATAGCCTAATAAAGTATGTGTCAGGATTATTTGGGGTTTTTTAATCAATAGTTTACGCTAATTACACGTGTGTGGACATGATGCTTGATCATAATTTGGGAAGTTCATTCCAAGTAGCTTTTGGGGCAACCCCCCCCCCCTCTTTTTTTTTTTTGGCTGGTTCCTTGTAAGAAACTGGAATGGGAAGTTGCATCCATTTCATGTGATAAGATGTATATTTTTCCTTACATAGGAAAAAAACATGCATCTTCATATGGGATACACACGCAGAGACACAAACACCTCACCTCTGAGGATGCTTGCCATAGATGCAGGCGAAACGTCAGGAGAAATGCCTCTAGAACATGGCCATATAGCCCGAAAAAAACCCACAAGAACTTACTTTACAGAAGACCTAGTGACAGAAGTAGTGAGTTACAGTCAGATTTAGAGGAACTTCTGCACCTCAGTTCCCTTTACCAAAAAACAAGATGTTGTGAACAGGTGTTCAAATTTTGCTTGGGAAGACTTGGACAGATTTTGCTTATGCTCTGACTGATGAAATGTTAGAAATTGCTTAAGTATTGCATAGCTATTTGTTTCCTAGAGTTATCAACCATTCTTTTATCTCATGTAACTTACAATGAATGAGTGCCAGCAAGTTGGGATGGTTTGTTGGACTATGACACTGGAGACCAGGATTCAGATCCATGCTCAGCTAGGGAAACCCATTGGGTGACCCTGGGCAGGTCACACACACTCAGTCTCAGAGGAAGGCAAAGGCTTGTGAACAAAACTTGCCAAGAAAACTGTAATAGGTTCTCTTAGGGTCATCATAAGTTGTCAATGAGTTGAAGGCACACAACACCAAAATTGCTTTTCCTGTTATCCTATTATACTGTATAATATATAATCCAATCATTCACAATTGTTTAAATTTGAAGTTATGAACTTTTATTAATTGGAATGGAGGACACAGTTAGTTTGAGCTGAAGGAAGAAAAATCCCTGTTAGCCAAGATGTATTCCTGCTACTCCAAGAATACACACAAGAGTTTTCTCATACTTCTAGTTTTGGTAACCATCTGCCACCATATGTTATCTCTTCTAGGATTTAGAAAAAAAATCAAGCCATGAAATGTGTGAATCATGTTGAGTTGGTTTTATTTGTAGAACTGAACTATTGTACTTGTCCGGATGAGTCATGTTCAGAAGGTGGTGCTTACGCCATGAACTGTGTTATTTTTTGCCAGACCTCCTGTAGGCTGATCCCCTTGGGCCCTTTCAACATCTTGAAATGACCCTTCTGAAGCACAGTTCATAGACCTGGGCAGGGTGCTTTTCTTGAACTCATAAAGCTGTTCCAGGCCTTTGATCCAAACAGGATAGTATGACCACTTATAGTCCTCAATAGCAAATTTTTCTAACAGACTTTGAGAAAAAAACCTCTCAACTCTGAATACAAGAGGTTTGGGGTTTTTTTTAAGCAACTCAAGGTTTATGAGTTGCACATGTTTGTCATTTTAGCTGGACTTGTTTGTCTTTTTCAGGCAGTGAATTGCACTGCTTTGGGGGTGTTTTTTGGGGGGTGGGGGTCTTAATTGAGGAATGAGTGGCACTGCAGCAATATCTCTCATTTCTCCCTCAGCATTGTCCAAACTGTCCTAGGGCTGATGAAAATAGGCTGTTAAAGTTGCCTAAGCCTACAGTAACTTATGGTTTGCTAGTTTGAGACTGGAAACAAAAGGTGAAGTTATATATGTACTAGCATATTACCTGATTGGTATTTGTCTTAGATTGTAGTATATTATATAGGCCTGATATTGACCAAACTTCTAGGGCACCGTATGTCTCTGAAACAGATATGTTAAATCATATAGTATATGTGAATTCCTTCTCCTCCTCCATTTCCTGTACAACATTCATACAGGAGCTCTTTCCTTCATGGAAGTAGCATTCTGGATCCAATCAATGAATATATCAATGGCTACATAAAAAAGCAACATATAGCATTTTGAAGTTGTAATTATCTGTCTGTTGTTAAGGTAAAGAGATGAATCTATGCCCTTATTTTTCTAATCAGTAGTTCAACTAGAGAGGTTTTATAGTAAAAAAAAAAAATTCTCCACAAAAACAAGATGAGTGACCCAGAACTATAAAGAAGCTCTAGCTTTGTAATATTTAATTGCACTTTCCCTCCAGAGGTAGTTCTAGTTAACTGGACACTCAATTATGAGTTGGATGTCACTTAATGGTTAATCTGATCTTGTTGAATACCTACAGATCTCCACATCTGAATCTCTGATCTGTGTGGGAAAATGTCTGGTGATGCCTCATTTTGTAAAATGAAGGGTTTCTTGGGAGATGAATGTTGAAGTCAATTTTGTGTTCAATTTTGAATTGAAAATCATTTCAGAGCCAATGTAGGTTTTTGGTTTATGTACATTTGACTGCAATTGACCCGTAATTTACTGTGTATTAGAAATACATTGCCTTTAATTTTATTTGGTTTGATTTGATTTATCTCTACTTTAGAAATAAATATGAAAGAGAGAATGGTAGAGAGGCATCCTGGGGATTTTGACCTGTTAATTACAGCTTGAAAATACTCTATGATATTTTTCTATGTAGTCAATGATATGTTAATTGATTAGATCCAGAATGCTACTTCCATGAAGGAAAGAGCTCCTGTATGAATGATGTACAGGAAATGAAGGAGAGGAAATGTTTGCAGTTTCCCCTACATCACTAAGCCGTGTAGTTCTCAAGGGGCTCCTTTTTCTCCAGAGCAACTTTGCAGGGCAGAAAACAGTAAACTTTGAACTATGTCCAATAAATATATGAAGCAGTAAATTTTTAGAGAAAAATATATTTTTCTGTTGAAAGGTAGCAGAAAGGAAAATATATATTAAACCAGTTGAAATCCTCTCAAATCATATGAACTCAACTATATATTCACAGTCACTGCTCAGATGTTAAGAATTGTGATATTTTACATGTATGAAAGATCTAGCTCTCTATCAGATCAGAGCAAATTAAGAGCTTTGGGGTGGTGCAGTTAAATCAATTTTGAAATATTTGCAACAATACCCATTACTGTTCCTCTAAACTTTGTCACTTGGCTCAGTGTTTGTTACAGAACTGAACTAGAGAAAAATAATGCATTCCAGAGTGCCTAATTATGGCTTCTTGTTCCTCCTCGCAGAATTCTAATGTGCTTAAATGATTTTCTCCCCCCATCCCAGACATCCACACGGAGGCAGTACAAGCAGCATTGGCAAAACACAAGGAGCAGAAGATGGCGTTGCCAATGCCAACAAAAAGGCGGTCCACATTTGTACAGTCTCCAGCTGATGCCTGCACTCCCCCAGGTTAGAGAGAATCCAGCTTGAAATTTCAATAATATCTTAGCTGCCGCCTTCATACAACTGAGCCATGATTTCATTGTCTTTTTTATTTTGTTTTTACAGTCATTCTCCTACCACCTCAAGTGTATTTCTAGAGTTTTCCTTAAGATGTGAAAACTATTTATTTTGTATGAGTCTCTAAACTGAAAAATCAATTGTGTATGTTTATTTCCATTATTCCGACTCATAATTTATTTTCATAGAAGTAGACTTGTGTACAAATATTGAGAATTAAAACACTAGTGACTTCTGGTTGTCCATGCTAGTGCTGGGATTGTTTTGAAAGTCAAGACTGAGTTCTATCCCTTAGAAAAACAAAAGCAGGAGTTCCCCTCTAAATGTGTGCAGAATTCTTATTTTCCTCACTGTTGTCCACATTGCGATGCATTGCATTAGTTTTCAGCACTTTTATGGTGCAAGATTTAGATTTTACAGCACATCTTGGCATCATTTTTTTAAAAATTGACCGTAAATCCTGGGGTTAACATGGCATGGCTATATGAACATCTCTTTTTATAGATATTGGTTTGAGATGTTAGTTTGTGTGCTGAGATCACTATTTAACCAAGACATTCAGTTGGCTGTGGTTATAGATCATGGTGGTTTTTCTGATGAGTAAATTTCCTTTTTTCTCAAGCTGTAGCAATGATAATGTGAAGTACTGTGTACATGCATTGTCACAAACTCACCAGGCTTGTAATAATGGTAACAGTGTAGCCTCCAGATTATGGCAATGGAATTCAAGGAGAAAAAGGAAACAATACTGGATTTGATTCTGTGTTACTATAATACTAATAGAATTCAAGACATAGTTGTGTTAATCTGAAACATCAGTATGCAAATGGAATTTACAGCACCTTTGAAACTAACAGAGAAAGATATTTCAGCATAAGCTTTCATAGACTTAGTCTACTTCCTCAGAAAACTGGAGTGACCTAGTAGCTAAGGAAGGACCTTTATGAGCAGACTGTATGTATAACTATAGAAATGCAAAATATAGATATGGTAATAAGGTGGCATGTTCAGTTCCTCCAAGGAAGGAGGAAAGATGTTGCCTGAGGCCAGAGTGAGTGGATAACCATATGAATGGTGGAGGGAGTTATTAAAATGTAGTGTGATGCTGACTGGGAACCAGAGAGTTGATATGACAAACTAGCCAAAAATGCCTTTGTGAGTCTGGGGTGTTAACCAGTGTTATAATATGTGCACTGTACCAGGAATTGTCTCTGTTCAGCCTACTGATGATGGACAGAAATTTGTGAATATACTTCAATTCAGTTATTCCTCCAATTTTCCTTCATAGAATGATCAGATGAAACTGAACCATCTGTTAGGTGACATTTTTCAGGCACCAGTTCTAGGGCCAGAAAGTTAATTGCTTTTGCATAGGCAGTCAGAACTGAAGAGCAGGTAGATTTGTAAAGGCAAAGATGACATTTAGCTGCCCCCTTTCCAGCAAAAAGAAGAAAGCTGCACACTTCATGCCACACACTGTTTCATCAACTGAAGTTCTTTGCAGGCTCAATCAGAACTATGCTTTTTTGCAGTCTTGTGATACACACAAGAATGAATAGCACATTCAACATAATTATCTACATTAATGTGCAGGGATTTAGGGGTGCTAATATATTTCTTTCTTGGTAATTAATCGGAATCTGGGGTTTGTAGTGCCAGTTATCTGTTAACTGTGTGAGTGGTGACAACCAGGAAAGGAAAGTCTACTTGGGGCTTTGGGGCATTTTGGACAGCACTTGTCCATTAGTCAATTAGCCCAAGCAGAATAGTTGATCAATGGTAATTTTCCCTGAGAGATGCATTGATAATCTAATTGCATCTCCTTCCTGGACGACCAGTCAAGAAGGGCAGGAATCAAGAAAGTACTCGCCAATTGAAACTGATTCAGTGTAATTCCACTCACAGAGTTGCAGGACACCTCATTATTGACTTCTGCTGTGATATTATCATCTTAAGTATATGTGTGTGTTGCATTTAGCTCTGGGTTGTATATGCTGTGATGTTTTTATTTCATATATTCATTTGGTTTTTCCTCTAGTATACATGAACAGATGAGTTGTCATAAGCAGTATATTTCTCAAAGTTTCTCAGCATGCATCATGCTTCAGAAGATATAGCCAATTGTCCAAAGGAAGGTCATACAAAAGTATACCCACCAGTCTCTGAAATGCAGCTCCATCCTATGAGCAGTAAATGTGCCTGCAGTATGTACAGCAGTATTTCCTACAGTAACAGACTGAGAGATATATGAAGATTTGTCTACAATGTTCATGCTTTATGTATTTAATGCAGGATACATGATGGTGTGTCCACAGAAAATACATGAGCATGCAGCATGGAATTGCCCTTAGGAAACAAGAGTACCTGATCTCTTTGTTCTGCTCTGTTACCTATGAAGCCTCCTGTCTACATATCATCTTTTCCATATATATTTAGAATGAATTATTATCCCATTTTGATCTTGTTGAAGTAACATCCTTCATTAAATCTCCCATGTGTTCTGGCAGTTGATATGCTTTACATTTTCAGTGGCTTCAACAACAACTACTACAACACAGCAGGCTTACTGAGACTGGACAATGAACCTTAATGTTGTCTCTTTCTTCAGAAAAAGTGCAGAAGGCTGAATATGGAGGATGGGTAGTGTTTACAGCATCTAGCACAGTTTGAGGGTTCCCAAGTTCCTTGTGTGTGACCTAATTGTATAGACATACACATTCTTTCAGATGGTTGAATTACTGTTGTCTCATTTCTCTGTGTGAGGCTGAATTCATTCCCTAATGTCATGAGGTTATATTACTTCAGCGTCTCCATTTGTAGGGGTCCTTTGTGTGTTCAGATATTACTCAGTCATGTGCACTAGCTCATCAGCAAGCAGCCATGTGCACAATAAGGATAGAAATCCACAGAACATTTCCCCTTCTCTTATTCTATCCCCCACCACTACGCCTGTATATAGCCACACTGTCACTGTCCTTTAGAAGACAATAGCCTGCAGCATATACAATAAAAGTCAAGACAGTTGTGATTCCCAGAAACAAACCTGGTAGAGCAAAGCCATTTAATTTGTGTTATGTCCAAGTTGGTTGAAATGATTGCTATAGGTGTAGCCCATAGGAGAAAGCTAACTGTATGCTTTCGGTTTTGTTTTTAGGAGGGTTTACTTGGGGGTTTTTAAGGAAGGTATACTTCTATGACCAGCAATGTATTCTCTTTCCCAGACCTACGTTACTTCTGTGGCATTGCATGTTTCAAATTTTAATTATGTATATGGCCTCTTTTTTTAGTAACTGGGTTATATAATCCTGCAAAAGTGCATATGTAATTAACTTTACAAAGGCGTTTTAGCCACCTTGAAACTTTATATATATCACTTTGCTTTTGCACAGTGGAAAATGTGAAGCATTTATTCTAGATGGTTGAATTAATTATGGTGTTCCATTTAAACATGAACCTCCCCCCTCTCCCTTATGCGTCTATCTTTTCTGTATATGCTGGCATGGATAAACCCAGGTCACATGACTGGAAAATGTCTATCAAGATGCCCATCAAAAAGTCAGAAGGAAACACAACGCCTTTTTAAAATTTGTGTCCCATCAGCTGAGTAATGAACAGGGGATATTTTTTAATATGCTAGAAAATAAATGCTTTCCCCGAGACCAAACTAAATTGCATGTATTTAGTTTTAGCAGATTTGATTGTTCTCTGATTTCTCTCTAGGAATCTCTAGGTCTTCCAGCATAACTCCATGGTCAAATTCTATCAGATCATGGAGTAGCCTAGAACAGGCCCAGGGTTTTCTTGAAAGGTGCTCTCAGGTTTTTAAAAAAACACATTTTCTGTTTTTGTGAAAGTTATCTGCCCTTGGACCCTACAAATCTGGAGAAGTAAAATTATTGTTGCTATTGTTATTATCATGCTGATAATAACCCTGGTTGGTTACTATCAGTAAGGGGTAGTGAACCTAAACCTTAGTGACTTATGTTCAAATCCTAACTTGGACATCTTGCACAGTGGGTTACCTTGAGGTGCTCTTGTGCCTCAAGCAGGCCTATAGCCGGGGGGGGGGGGGGGGGGGGGGGTGTTAGGGTTCAACCCCCCCCCCCAAATTTTTCTTTTAAAAAAAACTGGTTTACTCATGAATTTTAACTGGTTAACCCAATCCCCATGCTAAGTCTATGAGACACAAAAATTAAGAGTCCCTCCAGAACTGCAAGCACTATCAAGCAAATATTGACAATTTATTCACACTGTCATTACTTGCAGCAATAGCCGATGTAGTGAAGCAACCAAGTTGGGGTGGGGGGTTTAATGATCTCATTAAGGAGGCCGGACTTGGTGGAGGTGGTTGACAGGGGCAGAGCTGCAGGCTATTGAAGGCTGCTCTGCCCCCTGCTGAGCTCTGCTTCAGCGTGAGCTAGGAGGCAGGTTTCTACCCCCCCCCCCTCCCGAATTTTTTTTCTGGCTATGGCCTTAGCCTCAAGTGATTTTGCTCACCTTTGGTTTAAAGAGACATGTTAGAAGATCTAGGGAGGCCTAGAGAGAACATGTTAGGCAAAATTGTGGATATGTTGGTCCCTATCTAGTTAGTAATTTGTGGCCTGTCTGTCATTAAATCCACATAAGCCAAACCCACAAATGTGGAGGGCTAACAATTCAGACATGTGTTTATCAGTAAAAGAAGACTAAATGAAAATGAAACATGTTTTAAAGTAGCAACTATATTGAGCTGGTTCTACACTGAGGTGACATTAAATAAGGTTTTAAAAAAAATACTGAAGAAAAGGTTCAGCTTGAGCATCAGCTCCTTCCTCCATATTCAGTGGCATTAACTACTTTTTGTTTTTTAAAAAGTATGTGACCTCAGTGTCTTCTGCTCTAGCTCAAAAATGTGTTTTCTGCCAAGCTAACTATTTTCAATCATGTCTGGTCTGCTGTGGATCTGGGACCAATGGGATGAAATTGCCCCCCAAACTCTCCCAAATTTCCTACCCCTTTATCCTAGTGGAAGTACTTGCAAAAAAATGGATCAATCGCAGTTTATCACACTCACCTCTTAGCTGGCCAAAAAAGTCCTTCCAATAGCTAGGGATCAAAGGGAGGGGGGGCAGACCCCCCTTCCCTTGTTTCACAGCTCATTGCAGGAGACAAAGGAGAGGAGAGCCAGAAGAGAATAAGGCCTTTGGCCACTTAAGACGCAGTGAGAAAACAAGAGACATGTATTTATCTCTATCTTGCCATTTTCTTCCTTCCCATATTGTCCCATGAGGTTTCCATGAGATTGATCAGGAAGTCTCCATTTCCTTGTGATAACTAACTGCCCAATCTGAAGAGAATAATGACTATTACTTTCACTTCAAAGAACATGGCTAAAAAATTCATTAAATTCCATGATGCCTCAGATGTCTCTCTCTCTAGCACATCACCTGTCCTCAAATACTCACTGGAGATGCTTACAGATTTAGGTACATGTCTTCTCCAAGTGTTCATACAGCAGGATGAATTCCTTTCCAATGTACCTTTTGAGAATTTACAAGAAAGAAAAACATCCATAGAGAGGAATGAGTTCCGTCTCTTTGAAAGCCTGACAGCTGAAGTCTGACATTTTTCCCCACTCTATCAGGCCAAGCCGCGAGCATCACAAGAAAAAAGGCATGCCATGTTCTTGAATGTGTTTTGGTCTGTGCTTTTGACTTAAACTGCTGTGAAGCATGTGTCTTTTCAAATCTTAACTAATCTAATTTGAAACAATTTGCTTAATTGAAGTGTGCAGCAAAGTTGATAATATTGCCACTTGAGATTGACTGAAAAAACTCTTCCCTGGCATTTTCATAATATGAAGGTTGAACACCCATCCCTGCCCCCTCTACTCATATTAATGTTCAGCTTGTTTCTATTTCAGCTCACAGGTGTAATGCAGGCAGTAGGTCAAATGCATAAATTCAGCTTGGACATCAAGAGAAGAAAAATCCTTTACTGAACATCGAATGTTCTTACATTTGTTGCATTCAGGATGTATGTTGTCTCTGATAAATCACCCAGGTGTGATGCTCCATTTCGGAATTAATCCATTTAAGCTGTAGAGCAGTTCCAGATGTCCAGGGCCCTAGATTGCTTGAGGTCTGCACAGTTCTTGGTGGATCATTTCCGGCCTGCATAATTCTCACTCCTGCTATAGGTGGCAAAGTGTCTGGAATTATCAGACCTGTTCCAAATTATCTAGGATTGTCTGTATTCATGTAGCACTTCCTTATTTCACGAACAACCAGGCCTTTCCATTGATCTTGAGAGGAGTGGTGGTTCCTGAATGTATGTATGCCAATTCATGCAGAAAGTCTCTTGTGATGGAAAAAGTCCCACGATGTTGCTGGCAACATTTAGAATAAATAGTTCTGACTTCAGATGGGGAGGAAATCTGACTAATCAGAAAGCAGCTCCCTGTAGTCATCTACTGAAGAGCTAAACTATTGATGGTTGGATGAAGGTTTATGTTCATGCTCAGGTGCTGACAGATCACCTTGAAACAGTTCAATATTCTTACATTGCACAACCTCTGTTTTTCTAATCTTTTCATTTTAAAAATTGTAAAAATTAAGTTCTGTGTTAAATGTGTACTCAAATGTCCTTGCTTCTTCATGTAGGAGGAAGGAGGAGACACAATTGTCCTTTTCTCTATTTATTCCAGGTGCAATGGATTTGTCATCTTACAGAGTGTTAGAGGGATTATAAAGATCTTTCAGCATTCCTATTGAATCTGACTCAGTTGTTGCTTCTCCATCTGTGCTGGAGGCTGGTGGTGGAGCATCAGAACCAATCATACGCCTTTTATTTAAAAGTTGTTTTTGATTCCACATGGGCAATACAGTGATGCCTGGTGTTGCAGATTATGGAGCAAATGACTGCCAGCATAGCAGCCTGTGTCCATATGGCTTTCTGTGATTTTTTGGAAATCAGTCGGCTCACTGAGGATGAATTGTCTACAAATATCGGTTAACAGAATTATAACAGATTTAACTTTTAGCATACCTCTTCTCTAGGTGTTACCCAGATTTGATAGAGAGATGAATTGGTATTACTTGCTAAGTTTTATCTTGCATACTAGAGTTGTAGGTGACTCTAACATGTCCAGGGCGCTGAAATGTTGAATGACAAATTGTGTAGTAAAAATACAAGCATTCATAAATGCAATAATAATTATAATAACTAATTTATTTCTTACTCCCCCCCCCCCTCCCCAAAGCTTTTGGTGAGTAACAACACAATTAAAATCCAATAAATAAAAACATGAGCACGAGTCTACCTGTGTGAACAGATACACAGATAAGAGAACTGACATCAGCAGTACTGTATGGATAGTGGAATATCTCCTGCTTTCACTCTGTGTAACAGTCACAATGTAACTAGAAGTCTCCTCTACTGATGTGGATTTCCTCTGCACAAGGCTGGGTGCTTTTTTGGGGCAGGGGTGGCAATTGTGGCAGAGGAATCCTCAGATACATTATAGCTTTGATCATTGTAAAGAAGTTGTCTTTTTATCTCTGACTTCCTGCAAAGCAGTAATTGCCGAACATAGGCAATTTGCCATGACAACTATTTTCAAATATCTCTTTAGAGGTCAGTTGATTCTTATGTTTTCCATTTCAGAACTGCGGGTGGCTGAGGAAAATTGCAGCCAGGTTCCATAGCATGCAAAAAACAGGGCTGTGACTGCAAGGGCATTCCTTAACTGCAAGGGGGTGGGTGCCAGGTGGATTGCTGTTTCCCTGGGTTCTGGTTCTTCTTGCCAGCTTTCCTTTTGAATGAAGGCAAAAGCTGGTGCAAGTTGGGGGTGGGGGGAGGATTTTGCTTCCAGGCTTCCTCCCAAGTTGAGCCCCTGTTTGAACACACTCTGCCTTGGGTGGTACGGAGCCTTTGCCAGTGTTCCCTTGGTTGCATAGAGAGCATGTTAAGTGCTGTGTGCTTCCCTTTTCTGATCCCACACAGACACGTCTTCTGCGTCCGAAGATGAAGGGTCGCTCAGGCGCCAGGCTGCTCTATCTGCTGCATTGCATCAGAGCTTACAGAATGCTGAGTCGTGGATCAACCGATCTATTCAGGGGTCATCCACATCTTCATCAGCATCTTCTACACTATCCCATGGAGAAGGCAAAGGGACCAGTGGGTCACTAGCTGATGTTTTTGCCAATACTCGAATAGGTAGGAGCTGGGGGTGCAGGGGACAAGAAAAACTAAAAGCGCTGCAAGTCATCGTCTCCCTCCCCAATAAATGTTTTAAAATTTTCCAGTATCAAAGGCCAAATTAATTTCAAACTTTGCTCACTGTGTAAGTAGAGATTCACAAATTGTGAGTCCAAAATGTTGAGGCACACCTAGGAGAAGGAGAGAGAAAATAATAGGAACATAATTGTCATGGCGAATGTGAACAGTAGCCTGGCACTTTCCTTTATGCCCATTGGTGTTGCTTGTGCTTCTAGCTGCTATTTCCCCTAGGAGGTTTCATCTCTGGATGAGCAAAAGACGATAGTACTGTAGCCTGCCTGTCCTGTCCTGTGTTGCAGATGTGTCCTTAACCACTGAGAAAGATTACCCAGCTTGTTTTGAATGGACATCCAGCTGGCAGAAGCTGGGGGATAAAGAGCCAGCTTTAGAAAATTTCCTTACCTTGTTCGCCGAAAGAAATCTCTCAATTCATAAGTTACAGAACATGCCCGATCCTTTTTTAGAACAGCTATGCTGGAAATCCTCATTCTGATTCCTCCCTGGTAAAATGTCACAAAGCTTTTTGAAGGCCTGAACCATTTTCCCAGCTCAGTGGTATGCATTTGTTGGGGAATGTAAAGATCTGGATAACCCCACACTCAGTTTTTTGATGCTCTGAGGTGCCTTTCCTGCTGCTGGTGCTGTGATATGGATTTTTCTCTTTTTCTTTTGGTAGAATTTGTTTGGCTCCATTGTATGTGTTTTCTCATTTAATGTGCTCCAAAGGATACTGCTGCATCCCAGGGGGATAACTGTGTTTCTGTGTGCTCTCCCTGCTTTGGCTTAATTGGTTTGAGGCAAGCAGTGTGTAGATGTTTGGTGTCTCTTAATTGCTTCTTTTTCTTTCTTTTAACCTGTATGTTGCTGGTGTCTTTGTCTCTTAATGGGGTGCAACTCATTTTCTAAAATGGAAAACTTGGGAGACTTACCTTTTTAAAATTCCATCAGCATACATAATGCTTTCTTCAAACAAAGACATTTTCGTTAAAGCAATGGTGAAATATGCTCTTCAATTGGAATTGCTAGCAATTCATTTGCTGGGCAGCTACTGCCAAATTGGTGCTATAAAATGCCTCTCTTTTGTATACATAAAGCTTTGGGAATATTAAGCACAGTTAAACTGAAAGCAGTGTTTCCACTCTCACCATCACAATTTCAACAAAGGGACTGTAACTGTCTGTGCTTACAATGCACAGAACTCCTCTAAATCTTTTAGGACATTTGCACATTCAAAACATAGTCATTGATAAACTCAGAACAGTACACCTGAATTGTGTTTATCTAAGCTTTATGCACCCAGAACAAGATTACATTTGATGGGGGCAGCCCCCAAACCTATGAATGTTTCATGAACCTTTTTTGAGGGCTTGCTTTCACACTACACCAAGTGACCATGTCTTATCAATCACTGATTCACATCCAGCATGGATTGACCAAAACTGAATTCAGTGGGTGACAGCCAGAAATAAAGCAACCACAGGCTAATATAATTAGAGCTTGGCATTTATTTAGGCTTTTCCTATGATCACTGCACAGTAAGAACATGCTTTTAGACAAAATGCAAGTATTTGCTAACATTGGGCAGGCAATCCCTTTGGATTGTCAGTGGTTCATATCTGGGGAGAGCAGGTTGAGCTCCCTCTGTCAGCTCCAGCTCCCCATGTGGGGACATGAGAGAAGCCTCCCACAAGGATGGCAAAATATCAAACACCCAAGCATCCCCTGGACAATGTCCTTGCAGATGGCCAATTCTTTCACACCAGAAGTGACTTGCAGTTTCTCAAGCCACTCCTGACATGCGAAAAAAACCCCTTCTATCAACAAGTTGAGGCAGCAAGGAAGCAAATTGGAGACAAGCCACAAGTCACTACCCAATTCCATAGTTTGTTGTTAGCTTTTGAAGACTAGCTGATTTAAGCTGTGGTTTGTTGTTCTCCAGCTGCCTGACCTGAAACATGAACTGAAAAAAATGGCAAGAAAAAACAAAAAAGTTGGGGAAGATAAGCCAAGATTTGTTTGGTAATTTTCCAACAAACAATGGTTGACACAAACCATGGCTCACTGTGGCATATGCTGATACCCATGGTCTGCCTATTTGAGAAGACTACACTGTCCCTAAATTTAAATTGAAGTACTACCCTAAATTTAAAAGCTGTTAAATACTTCAACTTCAAAAAATTATAAAACTGCTCAGTCTGATACGGTCATTTTCTGAAGGGTTACACATTTAGACAGTGATGACATTGGAGTGCATAAAACTCCCTGAACACATGTGATATAGATGAGCCTTTAACTGAAGTGTCTTGCTATACATATGCGAGTGCAAACTAAATTATATGCTGAGTTTTTCCAGATCAGTGTTGCCTGTGGAAATTGAATATTTGCTTTCTAACTCTTATATAATCATATCTGCTCGATCACCCCTTTGCCCCAAAAACAATTTCTCCCAGTAGCCTTAATTCTATTAATGTTATTTTCCTTAATTGCTTAATTATATGTCTATATTTTACACAAGGAAAATGTAACTTGTAGGATAATGAACCTCCTAACAGCTTATCACAAAATGCACAGTTAAAGTTCACTAGAGGACAAAGAATGTTGTATATGCAATATCTGATTATAACCTTGAAGAGGATTTACAGTTGGCTAGAATAAAATTAATTCACCTCTCTTTCTCAGCTTTGCTCTTTCTGTTGTGGTACAGAAACATACTCAAAATCTGAAAGTCTGCAAAAAGAATAAGGAAGAGGCCTTGTTGGTTTGCTGCATGCATTATTATGTGCTGTCAGGATAATAGATGAAAAGGATTTCCTGATACTGTTCCTATCACACTTCTGGCCAAAAACGATTGTCCAGTAGACAAATGGCAAGATTACTGCAGTTCAGAGGAGGAGTACTTTTTTAAAAAGGAAGAGATCTATACTATTGTGGTCGTGTGAGGAGCCATGTTACGTCTCCAGTCCTTGGGTTTATAGGGCGTGCTCTAAATCCAGGATCGTTAATCCAGAAAACTCTTGGTGAATGTTCAGGGCAAAAATCCTGATAATAAAGCATTAACAAAAGGTCATGCCATGGAACTAGAAGTCAAGAATCAGCCCCACTATATACTCTCTATCTTCCTCTGTGCTTTCTGTGCCAAGATAGTTAAGGAAAAAAGAAATGCCTTTGTGTGAGAGCAGAATGATTGTAATAATTGCTTTTAAGTCATCTGAGAAGAAAAAATAACCTGAATCTCATTTCCCCCCTTTTTCCAGAAAATTTCTCGGTCCCCCCAGATGTTACTGCAACTACCTCCACACCTGCTTCCTCCGCACGCCCATCTGCTATTGATCTTCCTCCATCGGGAATAGTGAAGGGCATGCACAAATCATCCAACCGGTCCAGCCTTATGGACACAGCTGATGGTATATCTCCAGATCCGCACTATAGGAAGGAACCCCATTAAATATAGCAGCAATGTGGCTTATGTACAAAGCATTGCAAGAATCATATAATCTGTTGTGAATGTCTGCCATGCCAACAGTGAGAAGGCAACTGTCTTTCACATAAAACACCCTTTCTTGTTTACATTCTTGCAAAATTGTGACTAATGGAGGCCTCAGGCTCAGGTTGGGCAATGGCATTTAGTGAAATGGCATTTAATCATGTTTCTCTGGATGTTATGAAATCCTGTACATTTAGCATGCCATTGATAGCTGGTGGACAAAGATGACCTGGTATATTCTTGTTCTCAGAGTAAAGTAAGAAACTGAGCCTGGGTCAGGGACATTGCTCTGTTTCCTTTTCTCTAACAGCCACAGCCTCTCTTTACTCCCACATCAGACCTTCGCCTCCAGATGAATGAGCAGGAGGTTGCTTGTTATAGTTCTGTCCTGTCTTCAGCCCCAACCGTATTATCCAAGGCTTCTTTCCTGTTGTCCAGTTTTCTGCTGCTTTTCTGCTTTGCCTCCATGAAAAGCACAGCTAGCAATAACTTCTCCAGCCTGAAGCAAACATATGATGATAGTGAAATTAGTCCCCATCACTGTTTTGAGCAGATGCTACTAAGGAATGAATGGGACCTCTACCTCTTCTTCCTCTACATAAGTCGAGATCATGGTTGTGGGCATTCAGCTTCTGAAGTGCCTTCTAGTCTAAATAACAGTTACACAACTTAACAATAGGAAGGAACTTGTCATGTTATTAGTATCCAGACATTGGCTTTGGAAGCAAATCTTGGGCTATTATCAGTTAAGAAATGCTGGTTTGGATTTCTGGTGAGCAAATTATGTTTTACAATAAAATTAATAAAGTATGCATTTTGCCAAATAAAGAAATAAATAATAATGGCATGCGATGTTAGGTGGCTAGATACCCTAAAGATGTCGTATCCCATCTGATCTTGAAAGCTAAGTAAGATCAGTCACGGTTAATATTTGCATGGGAGACTCCTAACAGGCACTGCTGGTTGTATTTCTGAAGAAAAGCATTGGCAAAACTACCTCTGGGTATTCATTTTCTAAGAAAATACTTTAAAATAAGTTGACAAGATAATACGAAGACACATATAAGTAAGATGTTATATTTGAAAGAGATTGGATTTTATCAGCAATGCCTACCTTACATTCCTTTGACACAAGAGCCTCCATTTTCTTCTGTATTCAATAACTAGAGACCTTCATTCTTCACTGTTATTTCATCACAGATTCCATAAAATGTATAACACGAACTACTTGGTTGTATAATGTCAGGTGCCAGAACAAGGACAGAACAATCTTTCTCCAGAAGCTGTCCTCCCACAAGTCATCTTCGTTTGCCCTGTGAAATCTAGGCATGTCACATCACCACCATAGTCACTTTCCCTTTGTTGCCATTTTTAGAAAGTGTGAATTCTTGAGCTATGTTGTTCACGCCGTACTGCAAAACTGGCTTAGACTAGCTGTTACTACCTGAAAGGAAATGTGCATTGAACTGTTTTGGTAGGCAAATTTCATTTTTTGTTTTTATGCAGAACTTCAAAGGCCTTTACGGCAGAGTTATCTTGAGATTTTTTCTAAAAGCCAATGATTTGTAGTGGGGAAGGTGGGAGGCTTTTGCCTCTACTCGTTTATTAAGCAATATCTCCCTCCCCGAAAAAGAGACTTCTTTTCTTATTTGTTGATAACATGGTTTTCAGTGTGCTAAGCACAGAACTTTTCACTTTTAAAATGCCTGCTGTGCTAGAATTTGCCTGCACACAGGAGGAAAAGCACCCAGCTGTGGTGACTATACATCTTTGCTGTTAAAATAACCTTGAAGATAAACTGCTTAGCTTGAGCCTGTGAGAGTGCTTTAGCACCGTCTGGTGGTCACGCTGTACAAGATTGCTTGTCTTCACAATGTGTAACTTCCTAAACCCAGTCATATGCCTAAATATGCTAAAAGCATCAGATTCTGGCAGATTTTGGAAGCTAAGTAGGGTCACTTGATTAGTATTTGGATGGGAGATCATCAACAAATAGGTGCTGTAGCATATATTTCAGAGGAAGGAATTGCCCAAACAACTTCTGAGTCCTTTCTTAAGGAACCTTTATGGAGTTCAAGGGTTGCCATAAGTCAATAAGGACCTTTAAAACACAAACATGCAAGTCAGTCATTCCCTCTCGGACAGGGATTAGTACCTGACAAACACCCTCTTTGTTGAATTCTTGGACAGAAGCACATAGCCTGTATTTTGCACAGGTTAAAAATGGCTTTTTTGATATGTGCAAAAGGGAAGAAATAACTAAATTAACAATTCATTTCTGGTTTCCCATTTTTATTATTTCATATTCAAATAAATACTTGACATTCCAGGGATGGGGAATGTGTTGAGTTGGACTGTTAACCATGCCTCATCATTGGATGTGCTGGATGATGGAAAAACAACGGTATCTCAAGTACTCTACTTTGCAGTTAATATAGTAGCTTGGGTCACCAGAAAGTCTATGATACTTATGGTCCTTTATATAGATGGCAATTGCCCATATTTCACCTACCTTTGGTCAACAGAACTAATTTTCCTCGCTACAGGTGTCCCTGTAAGTAGCAGAGTCTCCACAAAAATTCAGCAGCTGCTCAATACTCTGAAGAGACCCAAACGGCCACCTCTAAAGGAGTTCTTCGTGGACGATTTTGAAGAAATTGTGGAAGGTATCAGGGTTGGGTATTTTTGTCACTGATCTTATCATGATTAGTGTAAAGTTCTCACATTACATAGTTGATAACATTTTAACTACTATGGTTCCACCTTTTATAATCCTGGTATTTATAGCTTCACAAGAGATTTAGTTCCTCCCCAGCTATCAGTCCTGTGTTTCTGTAGGATTCAGTCATGGAAATTAAAACAGCAGTAAAGTACTGTAACTTTGCAGCTTGAAAGGGGAACTCTACTTCGTTTTATGTTGTTATCGCTTCAGTATGCATTTTCTGCTTTCTGTGCAGGACTAAGATATAACAATAATAAAAGCAACAACGCATTTTATTTGTTACCTGCCTCTCTTCATGGCTCGAAGCAGGATACAATGCAGATAAAACACCCAGATAAAGCACATTCACACCGTTTTTTAAAGTGTGCTTTTTTAAAAAATCAATACTTAATGACATATTTATCAGGTCAAAATGGTTTTGAAAGCAAGTGAGGTGTCGTTGCTTAGTTCCTATGTAGTAAAGCACAAGCGCTTGCCTCAAACTCCTTCTGGTTGCTTGCTTTTTCTGTAACCATGTACATGTGGAGCAGAGGATTGTGCACTCCAAGGTAACCCAGGTTTTTTTTAAAAAAAAATCCAAAGATTGAAAGCTCCTTTTGCTTAGTTAAGGATCTACCAGATCATATAGCACTGCTGTCTCACATTCTGTAGTCTCAAAGAACAAATGCTAGGAAGTCAGATAGCTGCTTCCTGTGAGCGTCTTTGCCTTTTCTGCACAGAATAGGGTCCCATCAAAGCATGGGCAGCAAATTGCATATTTGAATTATTTTTCTTGCCTTGCTTGCTCAGGTGCTTTTTATGCTCAAGAGTTATGTGACACCTTCCCCTGTATGAAGCTGAACCAGGATAGGAGGGGGTTGAGGAACAGACTCTTTGGATGACATGCTTGTTTATGGGATTGGCTCTTACAGTCGGGGCAACTCTGATTCTGCCAAACTGAACAAGATTTCTGACCTCCCTTTTCCAAAGTCCGGTATATAGGAGATGTCCAAAACTAATCTCTAGACAACTTCAGAACACCTTGTCCACCCGATTATGGAAATTATTACTGATTTTATCTGCTATCTAAATTTTCTCTTCTCCTTCTGGATTTAAGTTAAAAAAAATCAATTGGTTTTCTTTCAGGGCTCATATAAATTGTTCTGCTATCTGACTTCTTTATCTCCATCATCCATTGCCAGTTTAGTTTTCTGCCCTAATGCACTGTATGCCTGGAATAGCTTCTCTTTTATTTGCCAAATTATTACTTCACAAAATCCCATTTCCAGTATTTTTTGACCAGTGTGCCTTCCTTGAAAAACAAACTTTACTGCAATCCTTTATATCTGTCTTGACTCCCCTTTCTGAGATTTTAGATTTCTGGTCAGGTTCGGTCATTTCTGTATTCTGTGTAGTACTCAGCACTGGGCTGATGCTATGTAATTGTACAGTAGTAACAATGGTAATAGCAGGTTTCTTTCGGACACAAGTTAAAGCCTAAATCTCTGTGTTTGAAAGCACACTGTTTTCTTGCCTCCTACCAAGAAATCTCTTTCCTTAGCAACAAATATGTTCAGATTGCTTTGAGCTTTTAAAAATAGATTTCAAAGCCCTTATTTCTAAAAGAGTTTCCCAGGAGGGGAAAGGAGGAATCCCTTAATCAGTAATGCAGAATTAGTTTCATTCTCTTCATTTCAGTACATGTTTTTTTGATGAGTGAGTGGTTTTAGGATTTGATCCAGTGTTGCTTTCTTCACAGTTCCGCAGCCAGACCCAAATCAGCCCAAGCCAGAGGGACGTCAAATGACACCTGTAAAGGGAGAGCCTCTGGGAGTAGTTTGCAATTGGCCGCCTGCTTTAGAAGCAGCTCTGCAGCGTTGGGGAACAACACAGGCCAAATGCCCCTGTTTGACAGCCCTGGACGTCACTGGGAAGCCGGTCTATACCCTGACATATGGTGAGTTACTTGGTCTTGCTTGCTGTCACCACTTGATTTCAATGGGAGCAGTATTCGGTTCTACATTAATTCATCTCTGCAAAAACAAAGCAAGTAGAGCTAAGATATTGGGTATAGGCTGGAAAAAAGAGCCTACAGAACTGAATTCTGCTCACTCCTTTGTATTTCTGTTTAGTGATGGAATACTGGCATTTTGCACAGTTGTAGGATTTTAGTTTGGATCAAGCACTAACAGTGTGGTGGCATTTGATCTTTTGGTGGGCTTGACTACCACTATCTGGGCAACCTGGGCTCTATCTGGGAGCTTTTTATGTGTGCCTGGGCTTGTTAAAACAACAAGGCATGAGAATTCTGGCATGTGAGGAATGAGTAAGTGAGCTTGTTCTACTGGGGTTTTAAAAAGTTATTCTTGCAAAATGCCAATGACAGAGATGGTTAATGTTCTGATTTTGCATATGAACATATAATCTTGATAGGATGCAATGATAAGACAGAGTTCTTCAGAATTCAGACATATTTGGAATGAGCAAGCATGTCAATGCAAGTTACTTGATAACTTCTGCTTGGCTCATCTTGGCAGTAGGAGCAGCTAAACAAAGCAGGAAGCCTCTTTCCCTTTTTTTAGCATGACATCTGAACTGAGTTACTTGCCTTGTTCTACTGCTAACAAGCTAGTAGCACTATCCATGAACAAAGGCTTGCAGGAGGAAGTTAGTGGAAGTGGTTGGATAGGGTGTGTCAACAGTCTTGCTTATTTCAAATCAGCCAGAATTCTGTAGTGCTCTTGAGATATGATTTCCATTGTCTCATATGCAAAATTATAATATCTTCAGTGTTAATGAAACTCTGCAAATATAAAGGAAATAAATGTATGGATATTTATCTACCTTGAGCTCATAATGACAGAACACAACACATATCTGATAGAAAAAAACTTTAAAAGGCAACTCTGTCTGTGTAGTCACGAAGGAGATTGGGTATGCCTGCTGATGAGCTTTTGCATGCCTCCTTATTGAAGTCACTAAAATCAGTGGATGCTCAAGTCCCATTATGTACAAGGCTTTAGCAAATTGTTATCCCTTATGTAAAATGCCAAAATTAAGGTTTGCTTTTTTTGGACTTTTTTGGGATATTTTCAAGTTATAGGTGGTTGATTCCATGAATTGCAGAATGTGTGAATACATAGGGATGGTTTGTAATTACATAGAGTGAAAAGGCAACACAAAATAGCAGGTGGACTCAGCTTGGGGGGTGTGTGTGTAAAAATAATGGTGTGCATATGCCTGAAGCACACCCTCCTTTCCATTTCCCCAGGAGTTCAGAGCTGCTGTATCTTCATAGTCTGTATTGCCTCCCTCCCCTTCTTCCTCCTCTATATTCTCTTCAGTAAAAAGCAACAGCAGCATACTCAATATTTTACATCTGCCTGCGAGGAAGTTTATGGTACGGAACAGGAGCCCCAATCCCATCCCAAAATGGACATACTGACAAATGTGTAGGCTTACGTATATGTGCATTTTTGTACACCTGCTGTTAGCTAGCTGATATCCATTTGATTGCTTTTTTCCCTAATTTCCAGGAAAACTTTGGAGCAGAAGCCTGAAGCTAGCCTATACGTTACTGAATAAATTGGGCACCAAAAATGAGCCTGTACTGAAACCTGGAGATAGAGTAAGTCGTTTTAGTGATCTGTTATCTGTTTCCCTGGGATGAAATAAAAGCATTCATTTGATGGAAAGGTGTGACCATATCATACTGTATCAACACTATCCCTTTTAAATGCTTTTAAAAGTTTTTTCTTTAAATTTCAGCCCATAAATTATCTTGCAGTCAAATTATAAACTGACCAATTTCTCTCTTGAGTCACAACAGGCTCATGTCTTGGAGTGAAATGGTCCAAACCTGAATGCTGTTTCTTCTTGTTGATCTAACTTAATATTTCTGTGAATCGCAGGTAGCCCTTGTTTATCCCAACAATGACCCTGTCATGTTCATGGTGGCATTTTATGGCTGTTTGCTGGCAGAAGTCATCCCAGTGCCGATAGAGGTACCTCTAACCCGAAAGGTAACGTTGATCAAGCCTAGATGAGTATTAGGCTGAGGACTGTGAAATACAAACCAAGTCAGATTGTTGGCCTTGGATACAATTAGATTTTGCCGTTTCTGGTTTGCTACACTCAGAAAGAAACAATTAGGAAGCTGTGGCCTCATGGCTTTAGGACAGATAGAGCAGTGTTCCTTTATATTTGCCTTTTTGCAGAAGTATGAATAAAGGAATGTCATGACTTGGCAATGCACCACCAAATGATAATGAGAAAGAGACAGAAGTTTCACTTCTTTGCTAAATTATTTTCATTTTTTTTTATTTTGATTAAAAAATGTATCATTCGGTTTCAAACAAAATTGCATATTTCATTAATTGGAAAACAAGTTGTTCCTTAGCTTATTACTAACTAGAAATGTCAGGACTGTAAAATCCACATTTCATGAGGATTTTTTTACATAAGACAAGAGTACTCTAGCATATGCAGTAGATATATACATATTACACTTTTCAAAGATGTTCAGATACAGTTGCTAAATCTATCAGATATGTAGAGAAGTTGAGAACCTCCTGTCTAAAACTGATTTCAGTGTATTTTTTCTGTTCAATTTGTGTGCTAAATAGTGCTGAGAATAAGTTCCAGTGTCCTCTTCAGATTGATTGCCATGGTTTATTGTTAACATTAATTAGTGTGACTGAGTCTGAACATTTTGCTGTATTCCTTCTACCTCTGCATTGGAGGAGAGGAGAATGAGAAGCACATGAACTAAAGGTTCAGCTTGGTCTTGTTCCAGCTTGTTCATGTAGCAACATACCATGCATTCCTGGAATCACCCAGCAGTCACTTCTATCCTTACCATACTTGGAATATAACTGCCATTTGTGAGACAGTCGTTTGTCTGTCAAGGGCAAAGTGTAAGAAGATATGGTAATGAGGTGGTGAGCTTTTCTGGTAATGCTATGGGTCTCATAGGGGCATCTCTTTGATTTGTGTCCTCAATATGACAACTGCCATGACAATCAGTGAAAAACTTTCCCAACTCATGGCCTGTTGGCTCAGGCCCCTTCCACACAGTTGAATAAAATCCCACATTATCTGCTTTGAACTGGGATATATGACAGTGTGGACTCTGATATGCCAGTTCAAAGCAGATATTATGGATTATTCTGCCTTGATATTCTGGGTTATATGGCTGTGTGGAAGGGCCTTCAGTAAGGCTGCTTGTTCATTCCAATGCTTTCTTCCCAAGCAGGTTTTCTCCTGTGTCAAGCATTCAAACCCCCACTACTCCAATAGCCTAGTAAATATCCTCATGCATTTCAGGCACTGAAGAAAAAGGGGAAGCTTCTTTTAAATATGCTGTTTTGAAATGATTATTTGCGCATGTGTTCATAGATGCTTATTGCTGCATTTTGCTTTTTTTAAAATTGACATGTTCAATCCATTGGCTAGTTTTCCAGAAAGAATAAGTCAAATCTAAAGTAAGAGTGTGCTCTGCTCCAGTTTGATGTTAGTCTGCTTGGGGTAGTTTTCTTTTACTTTGCTAGACCTGAGGAAAATAAGGCAGGTACAAGTTCACTTGTCCAAGTACATTACAAATAATCTCCTAACTTGGTTGATTAGCCATCCATCCCACAGCTGACTAATTGTGGCTTCAAACTTTGAATGCATATTCGTTCACAGATACAGATGTTTTTATCTTTCACTTTTGCCAATTTAATATTGTTTTTTCACCCTGACGCTTAAAATTGTTTAATTTTTACCAAGTTTTGTCAGTGTTATATGACTTATAATTAGCACACTGGACTACTGGTAAATGTTGTGGTCCACTTTCATAAGTAGGAGCAAATAGGGCAAAGACTGGAATAGTGATGGGTTAGATTGATGAGATAGTTCAAGCTCTAACCAGGAGTATAGGATTCCACACAGCCCTATATCCCAGAATATCAAGGCAAAAAATCCTATGTTATCTGAGTGTGGACCCAGATAACCCAATTCAAAGCATATATTGATTGTGGGATTTTCTGCCTTGATATTCTGGGATATAGGGCTGTGTGGAAGGGCCCTGAGACAACCAGAATGACTAAATGCCAGAAGGCAACAGACAGGCAGTTGACAAACTGGGTGCAAGGCTTTAGTATCCATTTTGTAAATAAAATAATAATAATAATAGTTATTATTATTATTATTATTATTATTTCATTTATTTTTATCTCAGTTTTCTCCTATGGGTAGGATTCAATAAAATAAAAGATACTTGTGCATAATAAGCTTGTATATACTTGCTTGCTTGATTTATAGCCCTCCTTTCTCTTAAAATTGGGGCAAAGTGGAAATGCCTACTTATAATAGCATTTCACTTTTTTAGAGCTGATTTTTGTTTTTCGCAACATTGGGCTAGGGATATTTTTGGTTCTAATACAGATTCATTTAATATGTACCCTGTGACACCCAACGTTTCTTTTCCCTCATTGCTTTTCCATTGTGTGAGGTGTCTGCTTCATCCTGCTCCTAACTGTGGTTGTTGTCATTTGAGTTTCAAACCATTGATGAATGAATCTGAATGCCCTCTGTGTATGTCCATAATGTTACCATCCAGTAACCAAAGCATTACCAACATTTAAGGGCTTGGTAAGGGTAAAGCCAGCACTGCTTGCCCATCTGCAGTTAACAGTTATTGTCTTTCTTTACCCCACAGGATGCTGGTGGCCAGCAAATTGGTTTTCTGCTGGGTAGCTGTGGCATTGGCTTGGCCCTTACCACTGAGGTTTGCCTAAAGGGTCTCCCCAAAACACAGAATGGAGAGATTGTGCAGTTTAAAGGTTAGTGCTTGATTTTAATAGTACCCTTTATGATGTTGTATAAAAACGCCTTCAAAATTCTGGTTCCTGCCAAGAGGAGCTTATCTGTATTTCCAAGCAAAGATCTAAGAGCAGAGGAAGACTGACAAAGAATCAAATGTTCCAGTTTTGTTCAGGGATTGGCAATCAGATACCTTTCATGTTTCAACTGCAACTCCCATAGACTCTGCCAGAATAGCCATCAGGAAGAAATAGTAACCCCAATCCAAAACATTACCCAGGCACCATCTTGTTTACTTATGCCTTAGCTGTTGTGATGGCAGAGGTGTAAAAAAACCTTCAATTGTTCAACCAGTTGGCTGTCACTTCAGATTGCCATAAGTATGTCTTTGAAAAGCATCAAGTTAATGTCTTTCCAAGCTTGACATCCCTTGATTGGAATTGCGAGAGATTAAAACTGGGAGTTCCAGAATTGGATTATTATTACATTCAACACATGTATTCTGCTCCTGAGCCCTGTAACCCCTATTACAGTGAGAATGTGTGCTACAACCCACTGTTTTGCTCCATGTTCCTTGCCTGCTTTTTAAAGCGCAATCAAAAGATTCCAATTAGACACAATGAAGCTATAGAATTCCAATTTGGGGTGGGTGGGATATAAATACACATGATGGTTGAAATTCTATTGCTGAGTTACATATTAGTAAATGTGCACTATTCACAAACTCTACGTGGCTCCTAATTTACATGTGGCAACAGTGAAAACCTCCTAATTTTCATTTAGGCCCCTTCCACACAGCTGAATAAAATCCCACATTATCTGCTTTGAACTGGGATATATGGTAGTGTGGCCTCGGATATTCCAGGTTTCTTTTTTTGTGACAGGAGCGACTTGAGAAACTGCATGTCGCTTTTGGTGTGAGAGAATTGGCCGTCTGCAAGATTGTTGCCCAGGGGACACCCGGATGTTTGGTGTTTTACCATCCTTGTGGGAGACTTCTCTCATGTCCATGCATGGGGAGCTGGAGCTGACAAAGAAAGCTTAACCCGCTCTCCCTGGATTCGAACTGCTGACCTGTTGGTTATAAGTCCTGCTGGCACAAGGGATTAACCCATTGTGCCACTGGGGGCTCCTAGATATTCCAGTTAAAACCAGATATTGTGGATTATTCTGCCTTAGTATTCTGGGTTATATTCCTGTGTGGAAGGGCCCTATGTGGGAACCTGTTAATGCAGTCAATGGGGCTCTGTTCCCCTGTTACTTGGAAAGCAGCTGAACATATCTATGTGGCTGAATATAAAGACGATTAGTTGTTTTGTCACAGTTACGTGTGTAAGGAACCCACAGTTATTGGGGAGCAATTAGTATATTCACAGCAAACTACTCTAATATGAATATTGGTGTTTCTTCTCAGAGGTAAACGAAGTGTGACCCATGAACTGTATGTGGCTCTTTGGACTATTATTTTGTACCAATGGGGTTAAATCATTTGTTTCCCACCCAAAATATTTTAATATACATATACCCATGTCCCCAAATGCCATTTCACCATTTTAGATCTATGAGAGGCTTTTTTTAAAAAAACCCAAAAAGTCACATGGAAGTGATTTCTTGGCCCCTCCCTTTTGTTAAAAAAGGCCTCTTGTGGAACAGAACTGTGACACAAATGCCCTTCCCTTTCCCTAGAGGACATTTGGTGGAAAATTGATTTGGAGGGTTATAGCAATGGTTGGATTCTTCCAAAATCTACTGGAGGGGCAATGCAGTCCCTAATTACCTGACGATTGCCTACCCCTATTCATTAGGGTATTTGCCTGTTTGTGAACAACTGTCCTGTGTTTAGCAGATATCACTTCCCCCTGTAAATGATTTTTAAGTGGATCCAACCATCTAGAACCATCCTGTAAGTCATTTACAAGTGGAGCCCATTTCCTTTTAAATAATCTTTTCCTGATTTGAACATAGAAAGCGAGCCAAATTAGCTTGTAAGGCAATGTAACAGGTTCTTTTGCAGGAGTCTGACTCCTTAATTTGCAGCACAAATATATCTGTACAAAATTATAGTCTGAAGGCTCTTGTTGTCTTTTGGTTCTAGGTTGGCCACGGCTCAAATGGGTTGTAACAGATTCGAAGTATCTCTCCAAGTCACCAAAGGACTGGCAGCCCAACATTTCAAACGCAGGGACTGAGCCGGCTTATATTGAGGTATTTAGGGAAGGGGTGTTGATGGAACAATACATGTTACTGTTGTGATATTCTCTAAGAGCCTGGGTTTCTAGCAGAAAAAAATAATGTAGTAAAAATACATACTTTCTCCTTGAATTGAAAATCAATCCTCATATCTACAGATCAATAATCTTCATGTAGTGGTGAAAAGATGCCATTAACAGTTGAATAGAGAGCTTTCGTTAGTATGATAATTATTTCACAGAAACGTCAGGAGAGAATGCCTCTAGAACATGGCCATATAGCCCAAAAAAACCTACAACAACCCATTTCACAGAATTACTATGATTTCAACAGAACATAATTTAAGTTGTGCCTTAGCAAAATATGAACTGCTTGGGGAGGTAGGTGGGGAGTGTTTCGTCAATTAATAGCTAGCTAGGACTAACTTACAGTGAAAGCTATTGTGCCTATTGTGTCAATCCTTCTACCTGAACAGTTTATAGAAATAGTACATTCTAAACCTCATGTCCAGCAAACTTTTACCATATGATGGATCTGTGGAATGCACACCAACTTTTCATCCTCGTTCATCCTGATTCGAGAAAATTGAAGTATCAGGGACCAGTGAATTCAGGCTGGTATTCCTTCATCCTGACACAGGAAGGGGCAAAATCAGGTCTCAGTGGTTGTTAGACTATGCCACCCATGGAACCTCACCATTGTCCAGCGTAATCAGACAAGTACAGTAGGGATGTGGGGTAGGGATGAAGGGCTCCCTGCATTCAGTCTGATGGGTAGTTAGTATATGGATAGCACTGCTGATTCTTGAAACAAGGACATGAAAAATGTTTGACATCAGTGTGCTTTATTTCCAGTACAAAACCAGCAAGGAAGGGAGCGTCATGGGTGTAACAGTGTCCCGAATTGCTATGTTGTCACATTGTCAGGCTTTGTCTCAGGCCTGCAACTACTCTGAAGGTGAGTACTCTGCTGTCTGTATAGTTGCATACACAGAAGGAGTAGCAGTCAGGGTAGGCATTCCTCATCCCACCCCTAGCAAATTGTGAAATTATTCCTGAGCCAAGACCTAGACTTTCATCCTCCACCCAGACACGTTCCTCAAGCTCCAAATGCATCCTTGCATTTTTGCAAAACTAGACATTTGCTTTTTTTTTGGGGGGGGGGGGGGGGGGAGGACACAAACATTCTGAATGAAAGCAAAGACTTACATCTTGCTTTAGAGAAGAATGAACTCCCCATAGAGGAATTATGTGCATGACCCACTAAACCAATGTGGATCAGTTTATACTATCAAATTTTTTTCTTGTGATTATAGATTTGGGCACTTGCCCATGTGGAGAGAGGCTGGCATGATCAAAGCATTATAGTGACACATCCCATTAAGATGCTTGCAGTCACCTATATTGTAACTTGATAATACTTTGTAGTATTAATTAGAAAAAAAGTTAGAGAGTATCCAAAGAAGCAATGTAACCATAGAAATACATCCCTAGTAGCTCCTGCATCTGAGGAAAATTGTATTGCACTTTATTTTTTAATATTTGGACATTCATTTCACTAGCCATGTTTTTAGCTTTTTTTTAGAATATACTTGAACAATGTATTCATGCTTTCCAACTTTTTCATCTGTTCTGATAGCATAACAGCATACATAATACTTCATTGGTTAATTTATACTATGCTCATACTGTCCCTGTTGTACTTTTAACTGGCTACTGCAGAAAACCAAATCTCATTATTTTGCTTTCTGCCTTTCTTTTTAAGCAGAACTGCTTGTAATTTTAAGCAGATGATTGGCATGATCACTGGGGGTGGGCAGGTTTCCTATTAAGATATTTATTGTAGAAATGAATAGAGAGATTAGATGTATACAGTCATGGAATCAATAGGGTTGAAAGAGACCATATGGGCCATTCAGACCAACCTCTTGCTTAACGCATTGCTTAAAGCATCTCCAGCAGATTGATGCCCAGAAACTTTTGGAAGATAAAAGTTAAAATAGCATTCACCTTTTTGCTGCAGCATCACTCTATGATCAACAATAATCCCAATAATCTCTGGTAATACCATTGAGTCATGTATCCCTTATCCTATATTTGTGCCTTTGGGTTTTGTGGCATAAACATAGAATTTTGCATTTGTCTGTCTTCAATTTCATTTATTAATATCTGCTCAAGTTTATATAGTTCATTTTGTGTTTTTACAAAACAGATATGTGAAGTGGCTGATAAAAGAGGATTTAATGTATTTTGAGCAGCTATGGACCTGTTTTGTGGGTTCCTATGCTTTGAAGCTGAATAGGTATTAATGTTTCATGGAAGTTGAGTTATACGTTTTGCACTTCTAAATCCACTGCTAATATTTCCATTCTAGGTGAAACCATAGTGAATGTCCTGGATTTCAAGAAGGATGCAGGATTGTGGCATAGCATGCTAACTGTAAGTCAGCATTTTAAGGGAATGATCTGGGGTAGTTTTACTGTAATCTTTTATAGTTTTCTCAAAAATCTAGGCTTGCCTTTCAAAGTAGCCAGTCTTCTGCAAAAATTGCATTGGATAGACCACATCAGCTCTAGTTTCTGATACAGAACATATGCCATCCAGTAGACGCCATCTGCTTGCCCACAGAAAACCATATTTAATAATCTAGAGCTGATGTGGTAGTAGTAATCTTTTGTGGATAGTCAGCCTCTCCCCTCCCAACATCCAGTTGCCTCATCGCTATAAGAGGGTTTTGCAAAACCAATCGCTCTCGTTGCCGTGTGGTTTTGAGGCAACGGTGTAGAAATGTTGAGACCACAGACCATATTTTCGTTCTTGCAGACCATTGGTGGTACACGGACCACAGGTTGGGAACCGCTGCTCTAGTCCAACAACATGGCCACATCATAGCTAACTGGATAATCTTTTAAAATATGCTACAGAGGCAGAAGTACATAGTTTGAATATCTAAGCTGCTTTGAACCTGAAATTTGAGGAAAAGACATGACAGATTACCATAACCAGATCTGATATCTTCTAGGAAATTATATTTCCCTGGAATTAAAGAGGAAATCTTCAAAGTGTGCGCTAGCTGGTGCAGGCCTAGAGTTAAAATAAAAACTATGCCTAAATGGAAAATTACGGTGATTACACTATTGCTCCATCAATGAATTAATTTATGTAATTATTTCCTGACCTCTATTATCAGGAAAAATCACATTTTTTCAGGGAAAATAGATTACATCTGATGAAGAGAAGTCATTTTGGACAATATTGAATGCATCTAGTTTGAGTTTGTGTGCCATGCAAACAGTTTCTTCTAGTGTGTGTGTATATATAAACTGCATTCTTCCTTGTGCTTTACTTTTAAAAATGGATTTCCTTTCTTTCTTTCAGAGCGTCATGAACAAACTGCATACCATCAGTGTACCATATTCAGTTATGAAGACCTGCCCTCTTTCTTGGGTACAGAGGGTTCACACTCATAAAGGTACATCAGACTTTGAATAGATGTTGGCTCATCTTGAGCACAGTGGCGGGTCTTCTTTTGGGGTTTGCAAGGCATTTTTAGTCCTAGGAACCTCCATAAGGGCACTTGCCCTTCCTTGGGATTCAGAATGTGACTCATTTAATAAAACAACTTCCAGTTTTAGGGCTGGAGATTTTCTGCTAGAAAAAGATGGGGAGGCCACACCTTGCACTAAAGAAGAAAGGATGTCTCTGGGGATTTCCAGGAGTAGCAGTTCTTGTTTCAGAGCAAAACATGACTGCACTGAAATGTATCCATAGGGATAATATGAGTGTACACTGACCATATAATGGAATTTCAAATTGCATTATATGGCAGTATAGGTAGGGCTTTACAGAGTAGAATCACCGTGCTCAGGTTTATGCTGAAAAGAATGCACCTCACAAACCTGTAAAATATCCTCTACCTGTCCTCCTTAGTATTGTGTCTCTTCTAGGTTTTCACTTGCTCTATCCAAGTTACTTTTAAGTAGAAGAACAAAAAAGTATCCCCTGCATCAATTCAACCTGTTTTTATTCCTCTGGGTTGCAGCTAAGGTAGCCTTGGTGAAGTGCCGAGATTTGCACTGGGCCATGATGGCTCATCGGGACCAAAGAGATGTGAGCTTAAGTTCCCTGCGGATGCTGATTGTGACTGATGGTGCTAATCCCTGTGAGTAGCCCTGTAGCCCTGCTTTTCTCTTGCACTTCCTGTTTCGTGAGCAGATTGTTTTCCAACATTTCTTGGAACTGTGTATCTGAGAGAAACTAAGATTAGTGCACATTCACAAAGGTGCAGAATGATTCCTTAAAAATTGGTAGAACACTGTATATTATGTTAAGTGTCTGAGATTTTGTATGTTATGTAATCCAAAAGTTCACAAACTGTATGGCTAACCAAATGAAATGCAAATGGTAATAAGTTGTTAACAAGAAGTGAGGCCTCAGAAAGTATCCTCACTTCAGGGACTTCCAGATGAGATTTTATGGTAGGTTGGTTCAGACTTTGCAATAGGAAAAAAAATTCAGTGGCAAAATAAGCTGCCTAGAAGGAAGGTTTCAGCTGGCAAATGGTCTTTAAGAGATACAGGACCTGCAAAAATATTTGGATAAATGTGGATTTTATCCAGTCTTAAAATGATTCTTTTAAGGTATGGAGTAGAATAGAAAAGGACCTGATAGGGTGAGATAATTATATCTGTCATTGTTGGTTAAGAATTTTTGTGATGAAAAAGTGAAAAAATCACAAATAAAACAACCTACTTTTGCCAGAAAGAATACCTCTAGAAATCCCTTAAGTCCATAGAATTATATTGAAGGACTTAGACATTTTTAGAAAGGTGTTTTCTCTAGGAAATTCTAGGTTTTCCAGCATGATTGTTTTGCAATTCTATTTGAAATTATAAATGCCTGTGGAGTTAAGAGTAATCTCTGCTAAAATGGAGAAAGGCAATTTCTTTGGATGCAGGAGAATGGAAGCTCCTTATTAATGAAAGAGACATATGGGCATGTGCATGTTTAAATTGCTCACAGGGGATGAGGCCACAGGTCTTTCAAAGAGATGAGCTACAGATTTACATAGGGTGCTCCTGCTTAGTTTCCATAGGGTGCTCCTTCTTTATTGCCTGGCCAGATGGTGTTAGCAAAGAGTAAGTTTTGAATGCAATTAATGGTTTCTAGATCCGATTGAGGAGGAAGCCTACAATAGGAACATCTATGTTAGTCTTGTTGAAGTGAATGATTGCTGAAAATTTATAATCATCCACAAATATTTTCAGGTCTGGAAAGAGTCTGCAAAACGTTCTGATATTGAAAAGCATCATTCCGAATGTGTTGCCCTCTTAGTATTAAAATAGGTTCCAGTAACACAGGTTTGGATGCTTGAAGAAGACCTCCACCTCCAAAAGCTTTAGAAAGAGTGGGGAGAGTTATTCTGTTTTATTGCTGCATAACTTGGTATTGCAGTTCTATTCCTGCATGTTTCCTCTGTGGTTGTCTACAGATAGACCCACTACAAAGGATGATGTCAAATGCCCAGGGTTTCAGAAATGCGTTATGGCTCTGTAATTAAATGAACTGGTCTGACATTTGAAAGAGGCACTCTATTACTGCACTTCCACATGTCTGCAATGCACGCCAATGCTTGCAAATCTTATTAGATGGAAAGCTCATATAAATTAGGTATATCAAGACTTTTTAATCAGTCTTTGTGGTTGTGTTGGCAGGCCCCAATTCAACATTTAAAACGAGAATAATTGCTTTTCAGGGTCTGTGTCCTCCTGTGATGCTTTCCTGAGTTTATTCCAGAGCCATGGACTAAAACCAGAGGCCATATGTCCTTGTGCTACATCTGCTGAAGCAATGACTGTGGCAATTCGAAGGTATGTCTAGTTTTCCATCTAGATTGTTTTGTGTGTTCAAGAGCTGCTCCTACATATAGAAATACAGTCAGCATTTCATATACATCAGTTCTGCATCCATGGATCCAATGAGCCACACCTTGAAAATATTTAGGGGGGAAAATCCAAAAAAACAATCCTTGGTTTTTCTGTACACCAAACACTATGCTGATGTGTAAGCATACCCTGATATAGTCTTCTTCCACCTGCACTTTTTTGAATTTTTCATCATTTTATATGAGGGACACCATTTTACTATACCATTGTATATAATTGGACCTCAGCATCCATGGATTTTGGTATTCACTGAGTGGTCCTGAAACCAAATCCCAGTAGATATGACATGCTCACTATATTTGGGAAGAAATTTTTACCTGGAGATTCTGAAGCTGAGTTCTTTTCAGTGCTAATTAGATAAGTAACTTTTTGCTTCTGTTCTTTGAACAGATGGTAGAACCGTAATTTGGATGTAAACAGACACACACGGATAATCTGAACATAGTAGAATCCAAAGAAGAGCTAAAGACGATAATGAAAAATATTCCTATTTTAATAAATATGTGTTACTCATTTCAGAAAACATTCCTTACATATGTTCATCACTCATTTTGCATTATGGTATATGAGCCCCCGGTGTCGCAGTGGGTTAAACCGCTGAGCTCCTGAACTTGCTGACTGAAAGGTCGCAGGTTCGATTCTGGGGAGCGGCATGAGCTCTCACTGTTATCCCCAGCTTCTGCCAACCTAGCAGTTTAAAAACATGCAAATGTGAGTAGATCAATAGGTACCGCTCCGACAGGAAGGTAACGAGGCTCCAATCAGTCATGCCAGCCACAGGACTTTGGAGGTGTCTACGGACAACGCCGGCTCTTCAGCTTAGAAATGGAGATGAGCACCAACCCCCAGAGTCTGACATGACTGGAATTAATGCCAGGGGAAAACCTTTACCTTTTATACAGTAACTAACAAACTTAAAATTGAAAAAATGTAACTGTTCCAAATATTAAATGTTTTTAAAACATAAAAAGGTATTTGTTTATTGTCTGCTGCATGTTCGATTTTAGTTCAAAGATGGAAATGCTCACATCTCTTTAAACCTGCTAAAAGGATGTGATTTTTGTTGTTCACTCTGTAGTTTGAGGACTTTGTGAGAGTAATTAAAATAGAAACCCGAAGCTTTGAAATGGGTTCTAGGCTGGCTTTTAAACTATTAATGAGAAACATAAAATATGAACAGGGATTATATTTAAGATTTATATACATCCTTTATTTCTAGATTACTGGGCCTAAATTAGGAATTCTCTGGCCCTCCAGCTATTGTTGAGTTTCAGCTTTCAGCAGTCCTAGTCATTAGCAGTGAGGAATGTTGGCATTTACAGTTCAGTAACATCTGGAGGGTTGCCCACTCCTGATTTAAGTCCTCAATTTCTTCCTGATGTGGAATGGCTTTGCCCAACATCATCAAGAGGAATAAGCCTGTACCATTGGATTGTCTGAATTTTTCTCATCCTACAGAACACTCCATGTCCAGCAGATTTTGCATCAGTTCTCTGGGTAACTTTTGCATCAGTTCTCTGGGTAATCATGTTGTGTTTTTACTGGTGGCCTGGTGTGAAGTAACACAAGCAATAAAATTTTCCAAAGATTGGTAGCTGTGGGATTAATTATGTGTGGGAAAGCCATCAGGAAACTCAGTTCTGAAAACTGCCCTGTCATTTCAGTTTTGTGAAGGAAATATCTTGATGGGAACCAGTAGTGTTCCCTGTGTATTGTGCTATAATATAGACATAGAGTTCAGATTTGCAAAGTCTACTTTAGTTATTTCTCCTTTGCTTGAACACCAGTTTTACCAGTAGAAACTGGATCGAGAATAGTAGCTTTTTTTTTTGTTGCTATTGAACAATTAGAACTTGGGATGCTGATACAAAATTTCCAATGACCTTCTATTGAATTCTGTTCACCTTCCTGCCCCTCCCTCTTGAAATCTTTTTCCCCCTCAGGCCTGGTGTCCCAGGGGCCCCTTTGCCTGGAAGGGCTATCTTATCAATGAATGGTCTGAGCTATGGTGTCATCCGTGTGAACACAGAAGATAAGAACTCTGCTCTCACTGTGCAGGATGTTGGACACGTGATGCCGGGCGGTGAGTATCGAAATGATAATAGTATTATGTATTGTTCTTGAGAGAGAAGAGCTGTGAGATTTTTCAAATTTGTTTCATTCAGAATCATGTAGGAAGATGAGCTCCAAGTAGCTTTTCAGCTTCCTGAACTGGACCTTATAAAATTGCTGATTAACTTTCCAAGTGCTGATGTCTGAATCTGCTCTTCCCTTCACATTAATTCTTATTTTAGTTTTATATACTTTATACTTCAAACTTGTGGAAAGGGGCTATCTTGTTGTTGTTTTGTTTTGTTTTGTTTTGACCTGATATCAGGTTCCTTTGGCAGCACCAAGGGTTGAGAAGAAGTGATTAAAAGAATAAAGGAGAAATGTAGCCGTGGTTTCAATCACAAAGGCAGCTTGTGCTATGATTGAAACTAGTAACCCACTATTGTTGCAGTGTAAGTTCTCTGCTACTCTGTAGAAAACACTTCATTTGTTGGTGATTCCTGTCATTCAGGCTGGAATAACCTGAATGGAAAAAGCAGAAGGGTTCCTCTAATCCCTTTGATCTTTACGGGTTTGAATTGTCTTGGTCCAGTAAGCTTCTGTGGCATATACTTGGCATATACTTATTTCTTTAACAGAAATAAAATTTTATAGCAATTAGCTCATTTGAATTTTTGTTTTGCTGCCTGAGCCCATGTTGCCACTTGACAGATTCTTCTCTTCAGTCTTATTCTGTCCCTGACTGCCCCCATCCAACAGAAATAATCATGCATCCAGGGAGGAATCACCAAAAATGCAATATGAGTGAGTTGATCACTGTGTTTATTGTTAACAGCTGCGGAAGCACAGAGAGTGCATTAAGCTTCCCAGTTTGGTCCTGTTTAGTTCTCTTGCTTTTGAGTGTGTTCTGTACCTTCAGCAAAGGAGCTGATTCAGCCTCTGGTTGGGAAGTGTCCTAATGCCATGTGGTTTGTTCTAGGAATGATGTGTATCGTGAAGCCTGAGGGCCCTCAGCTGTGCAAGACAGATGAAATTGGTGAAATCTGTGTTAGTTCCAGAGCTGGAGGGATGGTGTATTACGGGCTGACAGGAGTCACTAAAAACACATTTGAGGTATCTAATGCTTTAATTCTGTTTGTAGCTTTCAGATTTGTACGTTATTTTGTCCTGTCAGTGAGCAAGCCTTCAATGTCTCCCCTGCACCCTTTATTTGTTTATTTGTTGCAACTGAACCTCCCTGTTTTTACAGTCATTAGCACTTATAATGTATTTAGAAGTGAGTTTAACATTCTTTTTCATATACATTGTTCATCGTTCTCACAGCCATCCTCTTAGATAGGACAAAGGTATTCCTAATTCACACAATGGCTGGGGTACATTTAGATACTGTATACAGCCCCATGCCTATGGGCCGAGTACCTGTGGTTTCATCTACTCTCTTCTCACAAAATATGTCTCTTCTGGGAATTTTCTAGGCTGTTCTATGGTATGCTTCTGTCAGAAGTTACCATAGAGTTGAAAGAACTCGCAATGCCCAGAGAATTTTCTAGATCCTTTAGCGTAACTCTATGGTCGTTTGTGGCATATTTAGATAAGGTTCACCGTGATCCATGGCTTCCTCTTTCCATACCAAGTTCAAAAATGTGTGGCCTGGAGATACAGAGGTTGTACTATACCAGGGGTCGGGAACCTTTGGCCCTCCAGGTGTGGTGGACTTCAACTCCCACAATTCCTTGAGGCTCGGCATTCGCCCCAAAGGCTTACCTTGGCCCAACGAGGTTTGTTTGGCTCTTTTTCATGGAGGACGGGCAGCAAAGGGGGAGAGACGAGCGTAACGTAGCTGTGCAGATGGCGAGGAAGGATGCGGAGCCCACAGACTGGCCTCGGAGGGAGAGAGCGGGCGGAAACCCCTGCGGGCAACGCGCCTCCTCGCCGCTTCGGCCCGTAGCAACCGCCCCGCATGGACCCCCTCCCTAGCAACGACGCCGGCTGAGTGACGTCGTGCAGAGCTTGTCGGGGAAAAGGGAAGGCGAAGGCTGGAGGGAAAGGGCTCTGCGCTGTTTACAGAGAAGCGGCGAGGAGGCGCGTTGCCCGCAGGGGTTTCCGCCCGCTCTCTCCCTCCGAGGCCAGTCTGTGGGCTCCGCATCCTTCCTCGCCATCTGCACAGCTACGTTACGCTCGTCTCTCCCCCGCTGCTGCCCGTCCTCCATGAAAACGAGCCAAACAAACCTCGTTGGGCCAAGGTAAGCCTTTGGGGCGAATGCCGAGCCTCAAGGAATTGTGGGAGTTGAAGTCCACCACACCTGGAGGGCCAAAGGTTCCCGACCCCTGTACTATACTTAAAAGGAATATGAACCAGAGTGGAATTGTGGGGAGGCTTAGGATGCAGAGGCTGTGCCATTTTCCAGGACAGTTTAAATATATACCGTATATTCCGGCATATAAGACGACTGGGCGTATAAGACGACCCCCAACTTTTCCAGTTAAAATATAGAGTTAAGACGACTCCCATGCATAAGACTACACCCGCGTATAAGACGACCCCTGACTTTTGAGAAGATTTTCTTAGGTTAAAAAGTAGTCTTATACGCCAGAATATACTGTATGTCCTATGTTCTCTCATTCATAGGGATACAGATCTCTGCAAAGCATCCCTTACAGTTTATTCTCCTTGCCCTGTTAACCTTCTTTCTCTCTGTTCCCTTCTGCCAAACAAATCCTTGTGATGTTGTGAACTTAAGATTGTTTTTGCTGCTGTAATGAACTTCAGGTAACTAAAGGAGGAAAAGTTGGTGCACGCCTCTGCTTCATAATATGGGATTCTGTACTGCAGAAAAACAATGTTTCCAGTCTTGCTAAGTCTACTAGTAAACATGCCTTGTGCCTGTCAAACAGTCAATTGTGTTTTTGTTGACGTTTGTTTGTTTTCTGGGCTTGCAGTCAGTCCGAATTAATGTCAGAGTTAGAGTTGTATAATCAAAGTTTTTCGAGAGGAAATTATTTTTATGGCTTCTTACATTTGAAAAAAGGCTCCTCTTATATTGTAGTGTAATGTGCTACATATCTTTCCATGTAGAAAAGTCATTGCTCCTCACTTATTTATTTTCTTCTCACAGGTCATCCCTGTCAATTCATCTGGCTCTCCTGTGGGTGATGTACCCTTTGTGCGCTCCGGCTTGATGGGGTTTGTTGGACCTGTACGTTGACCTACTTTTGAGTGCATGTTATATTCAAGAAACTAAATGTACACAATTGACCAAAGTTATGCACAAAATTTTGAATTATTTCATTAAATGCTTCCCAGTATTCCACCTCATAATAGTTGCTTTCCCCCCCCCCTTCAAAAAAGGGGGGTACAACTATTATATGGTAAAATGTTTTGGGGCCTACGGGGTCTCCTTTGGCTGCAGGCAGCCACTAACCTGAGCATCTGCTGGCCAGAGCTAGAAAGCTTACCTTAACTGCCGGCAGCCAAGGGAGACCTCCTTGCTCTCGCACCATCCCCCACCTACATGCCTGCCCCTCAGAGCTATGGGGCCTGTTCCAAGGGGCAGGGGTACAGGCAGGGATGCAACTATTATGCAAGAAAGCATTAAATCCCCAAATTGTGACCCCAAGAAGGGGAGTGCAACTATTATGAGATGGTGACTATTGTGTGATGAATTACATCCAGTTATTATATATTTTTAAACGTCAGACATGAATCCTACCTATAAGGGACATAGATGTACATTTCCCAGTTTTATATAGGTTGGAATACTGTATGACCCCCATTAAATTGAAATCCTGTCTCATTTTTATATTAACTAGCAACGAGGTTGATTTAATATAGTTTCTGAGTATCCTACCTTTAACTTTGCTCAGAGATAATCCTTCACTTTATTGACAGTCTGGAAGCTATCAGATAAAGCTACTTCTTAGAATTTTCTCTAACTCCCTGCATTTAAAAAACAGAGCAAGCATATTACTTTAAAAACATATTTCTTCATTTTTTAGTATTTTATTTATTTATTTATTTATTTGTTTATTTATTTTAGCAGAGTATGAGGAGAAATGTACATATATGCAGAGAGGTCTTAGCATCCATTATGTTGACTTAATTTATCATCTTTTTGGTCCTGGAACACACTTTGTGAATCAACATCTGAGATGCTTAGGTTCTTTATCTCCTGCGATTTGAATCACACCTAATGCTTTGTGAATAATGTAGAATCTTCCTCCCAAATTTGCCTTTAGCAAAAAAATGAGAACTGGTTTGAAATTTGTATCATATTTTGGTCCAGGTGTGGACTTATACAGAAGTATATATGATAGATCAGATGAAAACAAATATGAAGGTATTTGTATTCCAACATGACTAGATTTCTCAAGTTCTTAGTTTGTAAAATGCCTGGTTTAAGTGGTCACAGTTTCTTTATGTTACATCTTCAAAACAATGTGCTTAAGATGGGATGTGTATATGTGGTTGTCATGGAAGCTGAAATAAAATGGGGGGGGGGATGAGGGAAGTATTAACAAAAGGAGAAAGAAGCAGCTCTGTTCACTGGTGTCCTGTTTGACTTACAGGGTAGCCTGGTATTTGTGGTTGGAAAAATAGACGGGATGCTCATCGTTAGTGGGCGCAGACATAATGCTGATGACATTGTGGCCACTGGACTCGCTGTTGAATCTATCAAGACAGTTTACAGAGGAAGGTTAGTTTAAACCTCCTCTACGTTGGTTGATTACCTTATCCTGTGGACTGGTATCTTTATGAAAGTTAATGGAAGTCACTCTTTTTCTCCCCTAGTATGTCTTTGAATATGTGCTCGCCATATCTTGAATTTAGTTTAGAAATGAGAGGGGAAAGACCTCATCTTTTTATTGAAATCAGGAGGATCTTTTAATAATGGTGGCATTAGCCAGCGTAATGATGAGATAAATGGTGCAAATTAATGCAATTAATTAACTGAAACTGTTCAGAGTTGTACCTTGTGCAGAAATCTCTGCAAACAGACACAGCTAATGTTTGCACCAAAGCATTCCTGCCACAAGAGATAGCTAATACTGTATTTTGAAATCAGGATTTCTGAATGTTTTTTGGAAGTGGTAAGTATTTAGAAAGCTTAGTAAATGCTGAAGCCTTTTGCAGTGAATTTTTCACTTTTGAGGCAGTATGGATGGTTTTATGAAGACAAACAGATGCTAACAGGAAATATGATAGAAGCTCTTGAAATGCATGATTTTGTCTTTTGTTGCTCTTTCTGTATGCCATGTGTCCTGGTGATGCCAAATCAGGCCTCTCTGTACATATCTGCCCCAGGATACTTTGTCCAACTCTGTGGACATCACTATGTAGTAAAGCCAATTTTTGCCATGGAATGTTAATTTAATAGGAAGCTGCAATACACCCTGGCTTTCCAATTAATGTACCTGTCTAGTGCACGTGTTTCCAAATATCTGTTCATCCTCTTCATACTTAGGGGTACACCTAAAATTGAAATGCATGAAGCAGGTCTGCTTTCTTCCAAAAATAAATTTCTTTGTAGCCCTCCTGGGCCGTAATATAACCTTGTTAATCCGCTGCCCAACTCCCTTTCTCCTTCTCCTCCTTGGGAATGGATTGATTCGTCTATTTCTAGGCCATGTCCATTTTTTTATTTATTTAACCTTAATTCTGCAGTATAGTTTCAGCATCTGTATTTCTATGCACAAAATTTGCATTAATGTCAATTTGCAGTTTTTCTGTATTTTGTACACCCCCTTTTCTATGTAACTTCCCTAATATATAGAATTTCTTATGAAATTTTTGAAGTGGGAACTGCATTGCAACATTTCAATATGTGTGTATTATATTATATCCTTATATTAGATGGATAGTTCAAATTAAACGGTTCACCCAAAATGTATACCAGATAAAATTATCTCCCAACCACCTCTTCCTCACTGTGACTTTTCTCTCCCCCTGTGCTTTCCTCATCCTGTTGTGCTAACAAGCTGTCTGTCTGAGCATTTACTATGCCGTTTCTGTGTCCTAATATGCTGTTCACTGAAGCGTCGTAGCTGTCATCTGTCAACTCTCTTAAAAGGGCTCCTTTATTGCAACATGGACAAACGTAAATATTTAAATCAATAAACACCATTAGCTATTGAGATATATGAAAACTAGCTGTAGGCTGTCATGTACCTGTTTAGAAACAGTAACACTTCCTTCTGGAGATATTGCATATGTTCCAAATCTATAGAGAAGGTATTGAAGGAAGGATGATGATATCTGTGAAGGGAGACTTTGGGTGCTATAGTTAGTGGTTATAGTTTGACACCCCCCCCCCCCCCCCCCATATTGTCTTGGGATATGTTCCAAGACCGTCACCTGAACTCCTACTCCGATTGATACCTGAAACCCTGGGAAAATGTGAATCCTATATTTTGACTATACTTGGGCTGGAAGCATACAATAGAATCACACTGGAAGACCTAGGGCCTCATCACACTCTGTCATTTATCCACTTTAATCCATTTAAAATGCAGCGACTGTCTCCTGCAGAAATCTGGGATTTGTAGTTTAGGGAGGTCTGGGGCTTCTCTGGATGAGAAGTTTAAAGGCCCCTCCCTAAACTGCAGACCTCAGAATCCTGCAGGAGACAGCCACAGCATTTAAAGTGGATTAAAGTGGATAAACGCTTGAGTGTGATGAGGCTCCTCGAGAAGCCCACAAATACTTCAGGCAGGGGAGAATATTTTGGGGGGTGTAAGTGAATATCAAGTCCATGGATAAAGGGATCATACTGTACTTGAAAAAGGCCCTTTGTGGTAAAGGTTCTGAGGTCTTTCCATGCACTTGGATTATTCCAGCTTGTGTTTCTGCCATTTCACTTCACCAATATGCTCCCACCTTATACAGCATCACATGTGTTCCTTCCCAGGATTGCTGTGTTCTCTGTGACTGTTTTCTACGATGAGAGGATTGTGGTGGTAGCTGAGCAGCGACCAGATGCTTCTGAGGAGGACAGTTTCCAGTGGATGAGCCGAGTGCTGCAGGTTGGGACAGCTGGAGCAAATGGGTTCCCTCTTTCTTGGAAGAGTCTGCAATTCTTTAGAATACTGTATTTACTCAAGTCAAATGCACACACCTTTTTTGGTGAAATTATGTTGCCAAAATTAGGATATGTATTAGATTTGATGGTGCATTACAATCATAGGTTTGCCAGCCTCGGCCTGATGGAGGGGCGCAGCTTCCAGTTGGGCATTCTACTGCCTGCCTGCCTCCCTGATGCGGCCTTGCCTGTGCTGTGGGCTTGTTGTCCTCTTGTTGCACTCGTTATTAGGCCCAGTTTTTTTCAGCACCCCCAGAGGACCACTCTAATGTGCCATTGAATCTGGCTGTGGCTTCTCTCCACTGCGGGGGGTGGGGTGGTGGAGTGGGGTGTTTTATCCTGTTCTTGCTTTCTTCCCCTTTTTGTGTGTGCATTACATTTAGCAGTTTACAAACATGTAAATGATTGTTCATACATGGGCTCTGGGTGCTGGAATGCCATCTTCTGTTTCTTGTTCATAGGCGATTGACAGCATTCACCAAGTGGGAGTATATTGCCTCGCTCTTGTTCCAGCCAATACTTTGCCAAAAACTCCTCTGGGAGGGATCCATATATCTCAGACCAAGCAACACTTCCTGGAGGGGTCACTACACCCATGTAACATTCTCATGTGCCCTCACACATGTGTAACCAATCTGCCAAAACCCAGGCAGAAACAACCAGGTAATTGAGGAGAAACTGGGAGATTTAAAAAAAAATGTATGTGCTCCACCTAAGTGGATTGAAAGCTTGTTTTGAAGAGTTGGTGAAGATTCCTTCCCTTAGAATTCCTTCCTGAATAACTTAATTTGGGAAAGAATGGACATAGGGAATCCACAGATAATGAGTGTATTTTGAAGTTATAAAATTGAATGAAGTGATTAAAAACAGCTGGATACTTAGCCACTACTATTTGGCCATCTTTGATTTATCAATAAGTATTGAAGACAGCTCTTACTTATGTGGCATCCCAGAGGCCTTAGGAAGGATCATAGGTTCCCTGATGAGATAAGAAAGGAAGTTCCAGCCTTAGACATAGAAATGTATTACTCTCGCCACTCTGTGCTACAGCATCGGGGGAAAGGTCTGAAGGTCTTATGTCCCACAATTCTTGAGAAGTCTTTCCTGCTCATTTCTTCTAATCTAATGGAAGAAAAATAGTTTTAAACAATAGCAACAACAATGTAGGAAGGGCAGCAATTTCCTCTTCTCCCTTGCTTCTGCCTTCTCTGTGAGGCCATTTCAGTTTGATGGGTCTTGTCTTCCATGACAATCCTGTTATGCATATTAATTTCCCTGTTTCTTTGCTGTCAGTACCCCTTAAAATATTTATTTCTCTACCTGGTCCTCAGTTCCAGATCTTCATGCTCTCATGATATACATTTATCCCTCCATGTTTGGTTTGGAGCAGAAGACCTATACAAAAGTGAAAAACCACAAATAAAAAGGCTATCTTTTTGCCTAGAACAACTCTCTAGGAATCTCTAGAGAAGTATTCTCCTAGGAATGTCTAGATCAGGCCTAGACAACCAGATGTTTAGACTTCAGCTCCCAAAATTCCTGACTATTGGACCAACTGGCTAGAGCCTCTGGGAGTTATAGTCCCAATACCTGGAGGACCGCAGGCTGTGCAGGCCTGATAGAGATTCTCCAGGCTGACTCTGTGGGTCAACATCTGGTGGAAGATGACCATGGAGTAGGACTGGATGAACTTGAAATTCCTAGAGAAAACATTTTAATATAATGTATGAGTAGTTAAATCTGTACAAGTCAAACCTGCAAATGTGGAAGGCCAACTATGCTCTTCCATGTAACTCTCCAATTTCTTCCTTTTGTCCATTTGTTTGCATTAGCCCAGTCTCAAGTAAAGCTCAGGGAGTCTTCCTGACGTCTTCAGAATCATAATGCTCCGTTCCCTATCTCTCATACTGCTGTTTTTATAGAGCAGTGGGATGAAGCTTTCATTACCAAGTTCTTGTATGTTGTTTCTGCCCATAGGTGTCGGCCCTGCCTCTGTGATGGTGGGAAACCTGGTTGCAGGGAAGCGCATTGCACAGGCTGCTGGGAGGGACCTTGGACAGATAGAAGAGAATGACCTGGTGAGAAAGGTGAGTCCCCAGAGCACATTACCCACCTTTGCATTAGCACCTTTGTCAGAGATGTGGTGTGGGAAAATTCCAATGAAAATTCTTCACAACAAATACATCCCATAAAAGTTCTTGATGCTGACTCTCTCATTTTCACTCACTCAATGCATCCATAGTTGTCTAGTCTATTGTCCTGGAATCAATCATGTTAATTGGGCTAAATATTGAATATGATATTCTAGTTATTCTTTTAAAGCAATAAGCATCAACAAACTCTTGCCCTCAGTGGAGTGGACTAGCAAGTGAATACATTGCAAAGTTTGTTTTTATTTTACAAAATCTCTTGCTTCTCAATTGTCACAAGTAGAATTAGTCAAAACAAGTTGCCCTTGCTCACATACGTCCTTTAGTGAAATAAACTAGATTTATTGAATCAGGTTTTTTTTCAACTTGAAGCAGAGCTGGCAATTAGTGCAGCATATGAATGGGCGAACTTGAAGGTCTTACATCTGTACCTTTACACACAAAAGTTATACTGTTGATATACGATATTTTTTAAACAGCTCCCTATAGGTATGTGCCCGTTACAAATATAGTGTTGTCATTTTCATAAAATATAAAGGAAATATATGTTATCTTCTTTACATTATAACAAATATTCCAATAACAAAACTTCAGCAGAAAGATTTGCATATTCAATATGTTTGAATATAATATTTAAACTGAGTAAACTAAATCAAAGTAATATTATGTAGAACATTGGAAATTTTTACAGGAAATTTTGCAGTTTTATTCCCCTACCTCCCCCCCACCCCCCAAAAAAAAAACCAACAACAACAACCACCTCATATCACTGGCTTGTGCAAACCTCTCTTATGGCCCTATCATAGTAGAGCAGGACTGCCATCCTCTTTTCTGTCATGATCTGAATTTTCTTCAGCATACAATCTATTCCTTTCTGTTTTTATGTTGCTCAATGACCAGGGGGCAGTCAAACAATGTCCTGGATCCCAGGTCCTTACATGTTCCGTAAGCTTTCTGCTGCTCCTGTTTGTACTGGAGTCTTGCCAGTCAGCCAGACTTGTGGTCCATTTGATAGTTCATGTTGCAGCTAACAGCCTTCAAAAGAACCTTGGTGATCTTCTGTATGCTTTGTGTTGCCTCATTCTGCACCATCTCAGGGATGTCCATGCCACTTAACCATTTCTTTTCTTTGCAGCATCAGTTCCTGTCTGAGATACTCCAGTGGAGAGCACAAGCCACTCCTGAACACATGCTTTTCCTCCTGCTTAATGCTAAGGTATAGATGGGATTGGTTGCCTTTGAAGTAGCTGTGTGTCTTGTGTTCCTTGTGGGGATCAGAGACATAGCTAGTTCTTGTTCCTTTCATATTTTGCGTGGGTGAATAAGTAATTCAGATTAAACGATTGTGTGCCATATTATTTCTTACAGACTGGGCTCATGAGGTTAGCCAGTTAATGCAAGGCTGTTAACATTAGAGAAGATACTAAGAGAAACTAAAAAACTGGGAGCATCCTTCAGCATATCGGAAGGAGTCACAACATCATATAAATTAATTAAAGATTTAGAGAAGCACTAAATCAAGAAAACTTTAGCTAGTAATGATCTTCCTAGCAGCTAAAACAAAAAGATAAGGATTAGGAATTGGATTAACATATAATAGTCCCTTATACTGTCAAATTCTAGCAAGTTTTGAGGATATGAATTACTTGAACTTTGAGCAGTAGCAGAATCCTCCAGAAAGGCTGGGAGGGACTTGATCCAACATCAAAGCCTTGGCTATTTAGGATCACAGTTGTAGTCAACCTTTGAATGTTATTTTCTTGTTGGCCATTGCTATATCTCATGGCAGAAGGGGTTTTCTTGTGTTCAGAGAGAAAGGGGCCCCATTTTAAGCCACTTGGGGAGATTACATTACTGTGGTGGGGGATACTTTCTCTACTATTTTCCAAATCAAGATCGGTTGCTAGTCGTCTTTGTTAAAGTTTAGGAATGCTTTGTAAGTTTAGGACACTGTAACACACTGATGCACAGAAATCTATATTTATGTTTGCAACAGCCATGTGTAACAGAGGCATTTTAATGAGAGACAGGGATTTTCACATGGCCACTTCCCTAACAGGCTTGCAAGGGTTGGAAGCCATAGTTGAATTCCAACTTCAGCAAAGTGGATCACCTTCATTTCCTTCAGATGTGTTTACAACAGTACATTGTAGTGCACGTATTAAAGAGTCGTAACACATCCTCTTTTAACTGATGTGATTGTGATAACACAGGCATAATTGTTCAAAGATCCTCCTTACAGTTGTTGCAATTGAAACAAACCCATTACGATGGAAATGAACTGCTACAGTGACTGAGTGGTTCTCCCGGGGGGAAAAGCTGGTGTTTCTCCTGCTTTTGAGTGGGGTATTCAGTGGTTGTTTCCTTCTCTTTTTGCAAGGGGGCCCCAGTTTGTACAGCCACCTGCCTGCAGCTGCACAAGCGAGCTGAGCGAATCGCATCGATTCTATATGAAAAGGGACACCTCAATGCTGGTGACAATGTGGTGCTGCTCTATCCTCCTGGTAAGAAAAGTCCACAGTTGTTCTATTGATGGGGAAGCAGTCTCTATTCACTGGAAACCTCTCTTATGTATGGAACTCTGTGTGGTGTTGGTATCCAGAGATGTAATATGCTGAGTGGAGGTATATAGTGTGCCAGAAAATACTGAACTGTCAAAGGAAATGGAAGGGATGGTAGGGAAGCTGAGGGCATTGATTACCTTGCACTCTTGCTGTGGCCACATGGGTCCTTCTCGGCACACGCTAAGCCTTTATTTTCTGTACCTCACCTTGTAACTGAAATCATGTTAATTGAATACTTCTGAAAATTGGAAGGGTGGTCATAATGAAATACCATACATGGCCCTGTAGAATCTTCTCCTGCTATAAATTCTCTTCAGGTAGAATTCTCTCTCTGTCTTTCTGTCTCTCTCTGTATCTGCAGTTCACTAATTTTAACATAAGACTTTTAGTGATTCTGAATCTTAAGTTCTCTTGGATGCTCCAGGATATTCATTTCCTTTTCCTGGCATTCTACTAAAAAGTTGGTTGCACACCAGTGGACGGAAATCCAAAAAGCAGCATATTTCTGGTGTGATTTCAAAAAGAAAGCTTTTGGAAAGATTTTTAAAATGCACACTTTTAGCCAAAAATACTGTAAAAAAGAGTATTAGTGATTATTCTAAACGTCACTAAAAAGGGTTTGGTTTCTCTAACTCTGCTAGATGGCTGATTCTATGGTGATCACTCTAGTGGTCTTTTATCAGAATTTCCTTATTGTTCTGCTCTGAATGAGTCACCATTTCCACTTTTTCCATCCCCCAGATCATCTTGATGGCTTCCTCCCTTTTCCTCTTTTACTTTCACTGATCTTATTTAGCTACTAGTTGTCCTTCTAGTTCAGCTGTGGGTTTGCTTCTTGCCCTCAAAGGTTGTGACTATTTAAATTGCTTGCAGTAAAGCCCAGAATTAAAATAATGGCAACAGTTAACACCAGGAAAGTGATTATAAGTTGTTTCTCTGTTCTATCTTCCTTGTTTCCCTGCAGGCATTGAGCTCATTGCAGCATTTTATGGCTGCCTGTATGCCGGCTGCATCCCTGTGACCGTCCGGCCTCCACATGCTCAGAACCTCACTGCCACATTGCCCACTGTGCGGATGATTGTAGATGTGAGTAGCAGATCACCCAGAGCCACTTCTCACATCCAGTTCGATAGCTTGCCCATATCCTATTGTATCAGAATCATAAAATCTTGTTTCTTGAACATCAGCTAGTATAGACAGTATATAAAGCCCGTGGGAAGCTATTTTCAGTAATGCTGTTGTAACTGTCAATAAAATAGGCCTCCTCAAACTGTTTCCCTTGTAATACTCAATTGTAAAATGACTAAATACTTCTACGTATTTAGTCATTTTACAATTGTAATTAGTTTTCTTATGAATGCTTCAGCATTGTCACTGTACTGGATTTTTTATTGAATAAAAGCAAATGTAATGTATTAGGCAAAAGGACATATGAACCTGGGGCCAGGGAGTTTCAGATTCAAGTTTTACTTCAGCTATTAATTATCAAGGGGTAACATGGCAAACTGCAGCTTCTTAGTATCGCTCTCTTTCCCATAACGTTAAAATGTCTTTAATCTTGAGCTACTGTTTAGATTTTTTTAATGAAGTATTGATATTATGTTTGAAAAGTACTCTAAAGCATGAATTATGTTTATACTTGGTGGTGATGCCAGTGGTAAATGTGAGGTGACCAAAATACCTTGATTCTTAAATTCAAATTCTAACATTAGTATATGTTCTGTGTTTTCAAGCTTTGTTTCCTAGCAGTAGTGACTTTTGGGGTATATTTTAGGTCAGCAAAGCTGCCTGTATTCTCACAAGTCAGATCTTGATGAGGCTACTGAGATCCAGAGAAGCGGCAACTGCTGTTGATGTGAAAACCTGGCCAACCATCATTGACACAGGTAACAAAGCCTAGTAGTCAATCTAGCTCAAACTTCCAACAGTTTCAAAACCTCCCTCCAAGTTTATTTATTTGCCATGGTCATATAAGAATGAAATTTCTCAACAGTGATAGAATTAAATGGTTGCGTACCCACAAAAAATAAACACAAGCTGTTTGCGATTTCAAGTTGATTCCTCTTATTTTCAAAATAAATGCAGTTACTAAGCCTGGTAGACATCTTGATAGAATGTTCTGAAATGATGAAAAATAAGGAGAATTTGGTGAAGTCATGAATGAACTCCTCTAACTTACAATAAGTAGATTACTTTATGAAATCTGGTGAATCTCCAAGGCTTCACTTTGTTCTGTAGCCCACCTGCATTGGGTACCGGGCACAGAAAGAGTAATCATATAGTATAGTTGAGTTGGTTATTTACATACATATGGGCTTTCTCCTCATCTCTTAGGAAAACTGTTTATTAAAAAAATACAGACAGTTGAACTTTGCCTGAAAAGTGAGGACATTACATTTTAATGATGTTGAGAAATGTAGTTCTGTTGTATGTCAGCATTTTCCATTTCTTCATTCCCCAAAGAAGCTCACTTTATGGACCACATGCAAAATTAACTACTTTTTTAAATTTACTGCAGATGACTTGCCCAGGAAGCGCCTACCTCAGGTTTATAAGCCACCAACTCCAGAAATGTTGGCATATCTGGATTTTAGTGTTTCCACAACAGGGATGCTTACAGGAGTAAAGGTACAGCCATGCTACATTACTCAATCTCTTTGGGTGTCTCTTGTAGGCTGAACTTCCAATTAGTAGAGTTTTAGATTTTAAATGTAATCAAACCAGACTGTGTCTTGTCTGGCCAGATTATCACTGGATGGGTAAACCTACACATCTTCAGTTGTAATGCAGAAAGGGGGGGAGGCCCAGAGAGCAAAACTGCTATGTTGTACGCATGGAGCTGTGGGCTCAAGAGGGACCTGAGAAGTGCCTTCATCTTTGGATGAAATGTGGCTGACTGGAATATGAAACTGCTCCATTCGTTAAGAAAGGCTTGATTTTCATAGCTGGACTACGGTTACATACAGTTTAGATATTGACATTATCTGCCACTAAACTGCCCCCCCCCCCAAAAAAAAAAAAAAAGAACAGACAGGTCAAACGTTATTTTGTGATACATATACTACCTGTGTGAAAATGGGCAACCTTTTTGGATTATTCTGAGAAAATATACACTCATTTAATAATTGGTTTCTCCCTGTACTTATTGGCCTAATAAGGGTATAACCCTTCCCTGAATTTATCTTACAAGAGGGTGTGAAGATGAATTTGGTAAAAAAAAAAAAAACACAGAGATTATGATAGTGTTGTAAAGAAGTATATGGCTAAGGGAGCTGGGAATGTTTAGCTTGGAGAAAAGGCTGAGGAGAGGACATGATAGCCATGTTTAAATATCTGAAGGGATGTCACACTGAGGAAGGGAAAAACTTGTTTTCTGCTGCCCTGAAACCTAAGACATGGAGCAATGAGTTCAAATTGCAGGAAAAGAGATTCCGCCTAAACATTAGGAAGAACTTCCTGATCGTAAGAGCTTTTCAACAGTGGAACTCCCTTACCTCAGAGTGTGATGAATTCTCCTTCTTTGAAGGCTTTTAAATGGAGTCTGGATGGCCATCTGTTGGGGTGCTTTTCCTGTATGGCAGAGGGTTGGACTGGATGGCCCTTGGGGTCTCTTCTAACTCGGTGATTCTAAATCAGCAGAACTATATATATTATAGATGGAGTCTAAGCTTGTTTTCTTGATTTGCTGAAAAGCTAAGCTGGTGCTCCAAATCTCAACATTATCTGCTTCAATTGTGATTAGCTCATGGGCTCACATGTAAGATTGTATTTATCAGGATCCTTTTTGTTGTACCACAGAGATTCAGTGCCATCTCCCTCACCTGTCATCTCTCCTTCTTTCCTCCAGATGTCCCATGCAGCAGTCAGTGCTCTCTGTAGAGCCATAAAACTCCAGTGTGAATTGTATTCCACCCGGCAGATTGCCATCTGCCTTGATCCCTATTGTGGGCTCGGCTTTGCACTTTGGTGCCTTTGCAGGTAGGAGCCTGGTTACTTTGTGATTGATAGCTGTCTTTTAGTTTTAGTATTTGTTTGCTTATAGTAAATCTCTGAACAGGGTTTAGGAAGCCTTTTATCTTCCAGATGTGTTGACTACATCTCCCGTTATTCCTTCCTGCTTCCTGTGCTGTGTTGGGCTTTTGGGAACATCTGGCAGGTTAAAGGTTGCCAACCCCAGCACTTTGCAGTCAAAGCATTCTACATATTTCGTATATCCTACATGTAGACAACAGTATGCTTGGGGAATACATATCTAACATTATAAGATGAAAAAAAAAATAACTTGTGCAAAAAATGTAATTCAAATGGAGCCCAAGAGTGCACAGAGAATTGTTTTTAAACATAGCCCTCTAATTGTTCATGAATTAGCTCAAGCCTAGAACTTGTATTTCACAACAGAAGGGCATCATGCACGGAACATCCTTTCTCTTGCAGCAAGATGTGCAACTGAACGCCAAATCACCTATGTCAGATAAAGCATGGTTTTAGAGTCATGTTAACACAGTGAACAAAAAAAAATCTCATAGATAAATGGCATGCCGCATCTACCAGTGCTTACAGCGTTTCGTGGCTTGGGCAGTCATGATATCTCCCAGCAGTGGCTCCTCCACAGTCATTGGTGGTCACCAGTATACCTAGAAATGCTGCCTGTTCATATACACCTGTACTGGTGATGGAGGTAGATCACTGTCAGGTCAGCAGGTCGTAGTTCACACTCATGGGCTGTGTATAGTTAGTAAACTCTACCTGTTCTGAGAACTGATATACTGTCTTCTCTGTAATCTTCCTTGACAGTGTGTATTCTGGTCACCAGTCCATTTTAATTCCTCCTATGGAGTTGGAATCCAATCTTTTCCTCTGGCTTTCCACTGTAAGCCAGTATAAAATACGGGACACTTTCTGTTCCTACTCCGTCATGGATATGTGTACAAAGGGCCTTGGGAATCAGGTTGATGTATTAAAGGTAAGAGGCTGGAGTTTATTTCATAGGTATTGGGGTTTAGGCGTATAAAAAAAAATCCTTTATGTAAAGACACAAGGCAGCTAGAATAGAATTCTGAAGAAAGCCACTTCTTTTTCTTTTTATCAATATGGTTTGGCTCTTTCAGTATAGCTTTCAGATTTATTTTTAAAATATAGTGCAAGATCTACTGCAAAAAAATTAATGAGCCCCATTGAAATGAATGAAACTAACTGCATGAGTTTTGCGATTTAATAAGTACTTCCATTTAACTCTATCAGTTTAAATCTAAAAGGGAAAAAACACTCATCCTGAATTTAATCTACTGTTTTGATAGCACATTTATCCCCATATTTTTCAAATTATCTTTTCCAAGAAATGAAAGCTGAAAATATTGATTATAATGGAAATACGGCAATTTTGTCCTTTCAACTGAAAAATATGGGGCATTCAAGTATAATGCTAATGTTTTGTTGCTGGTGGCATGAATTATGGCAGGCCTCACTTCGTGAGCTAAATGCATAACATGGAGCTTCAAGTTCTTATTTCACCTGAAAATGTGAAACTATAGTTTGTACAAATCACCCTCACTTGAATTACATTTTCAGCTTTTTCTGGCAGGTTAAAGGTCTGTTTTTTAAACATCCTGCTGTTCCACATTCAGGTTAAACAGGAAATTGTGGTTTGTGTCAAATAATGGCCATGCATTTAGACACCTTCCTCCTGAAAGAAGAAATGGAAACAGAGGAGGGATCTAGGACAGTAATATCCAACTTGTGGCCCTCCAGGTACTTTGGACCTCAACTCGCAAAATCCTGATCGTTGGACAAGAAGCTAGGGCTTCTGGGAGTTGGAGGCCCAAACACCTGGAGGGCCACAAGTTTGACGCCTCGGATCTATGGTCTGAAGATCACTGCAGCTTTTTCTTATAATAATGGTAATCCATGGATTAGGGTTGCTTCTAAGGGCACATCTATACTGTAGAATATATGCAGTTTGACACCACTGTCACTGCCATAGCTCAATGTTGTAGAATCATGGGAGTTGTAGTTTTACAAGGACTCTAGCCTTCTCTGCCAAAGAGTGCCAGTGCCTCCCCAAACTATAACACTTAGAATTCCCATAGCATTGAGTCATGGCACTTAAAGAGGTGTCCTTTTACAATATAGAAGCATCCAGTGTCAGCCATAGTTTACGGTTATTTCTGAAGGCCCTTCCACAAAGTCATAATCAAGGCAGAAAATTCCGCAATATCTGCTTTGAAGTGGGTTATCTGATAACGCACTGCTATATATTCCAGATCAAAGCAGAAAATGTGGGATTTTATTCAGCTGTGTGAAAGGGGCCTATGTCAGTGTCTAATGGTTATCCTAGACTTGGCATCTTTTGGGTCCCTCCACCTCAAACCCAATATCTTCCAGATAATTCTGTCCAGTCCAGTCAAAATGCTTGCAAGAATGTATCAAGTGCAGCATCTCAGGAAGTGCCAGTAAGAATTTCAGGATGATATAATTAACATAATGTACTATGCTATTAAAAGTAATTGATGTTGCAGTCCATAGATCTTGTGCAAAATACCTTTTTACCTTTTTTTGCTCAGTGGCTTGACTAAACAAAGTTAATAATTAGGTCTGTTGATGTGGATTCAGACAATTAGAGTAGCTATTAATTTACTTCTTATCGTGATTTGGTGGATATTGTAAAAATGAGACCCTTATTGAAGCTTGACCTGTATTATTTGATGTCAGCTGGAATTTTCTCAATGACGAATCACAGTGAATCACTGGTCCTCATTGTTAGAACTCCTTTTTCTGTGTTAGTGTGACCAGATCGATATCTTGCCGTGTGCACAAACACACATATTGTTTTAATGATTACTTAACAACCCGAAATGGTACGCACTGATCTTACTCTTTGAGGGGTACTTTGTGTTTGATCCTTCACTTTTTCCCTTTTGCCACAAGTGGCTGCAAAAGCTCGGGACAGAGATCTAAATAAGGCAGGTGGTGGGGAAGACAACTGTTTGGCACATTTTGTTCATAAGGTACTTGTGTGTGTTTCTAGAGGAAAAGATCATGAGAATTAAACAGATGATAGGTCCATGGTTCTCTAGCGAGTGTAGGGGAATTAAGAGCTGAATCTAAAATGTTCAGATCTAGTGTTAGAATCAAAAGGGTGAAAATATAGTTCAGCTTTAGAAATTGAACCCCTGGAAGCTGTGTGGAAAATTTACAACCATTGGCCTTTTAAAAAATTATATTGGAAAGTAGCTATTTTCTTGCAGTTCCCTCATTCCTTTTTCATTTGCAGGCAAGAGGCATTCATCTGTCAGGGGTCCGAACTTGTGTCGTAGTGGCCGAGGAGCGACCCCGGGTTGCCCTCACTCAGTCGTTCTCCAAGCTCTTCAAAGACATTGGCCTCTCAACCCGCGCCGTCAGCACTACCTTTGGGTCAAGAGTCAATGTCGCTATCTGTTTACAGGTAACATGGAACTCTTATGCCTTCTGACATTTGGGACAGAAATTGTGCTGTTAAGATAGTTCTTTCCTTCCTGGGCATTAGCTTATCCAACCTGCTTTGCCCTTGGAGTATTGAAATGCCTTTACCACTTTTTCTGAAAGAAGGGGTTTACATATTAATTTCTCTTTAACATTTTAGGGAACCTCAGGGCCTGATCCCACCACTGTTTATGTGGATCTGAAATCCTTAAGACACGACAGGTATTCCTCCTCTTCTTCTACTTCTTTTCCTTTCCTTTTTAAATTGACTTTGTTTGAATACTATGAACAAAATAGTATATAATGATTTAATAATATATACCAATTAATAATAATGATTAATAATTATTTATAGTAGAACATAGATTTGCAAAGACCAGATTGGCTTGATTTTGATCAGGTTGACATTTGTCTTCCTAAAATATTTAGAATTAAGTCTTGAGTGGTGACAGGCAGTTTAAGGGGTTTAAGGTTTTTGAAAATGATAAGCAAAGAAAAAGCTCTGTCTTTAGATTTGAACACATTTTAAAATGTTGAAAAGTTACTTTTCATTATCTTTTAATAATTCCTTTGAATAATCCACTTGCTTTGAATAATCCAATTTACTAATACATTCCTAACATATATTTTGAAATATGTATTTCATACTATGCATTCCTGTTTCTCCAGAGTGCGACTAGTGGAAAGAGGTGCTCCCCAGAGTCTGTTGCTCTCAGAGTCAGGCAAGGTAATGTCATCTTTGCTGTGATGTACACAACCAGACAATTTTAGGTCCTTTGTAAAATCAGGGGACAGTACAATCACTTCATTTTTTGTGGCATCAGGTTAAAAAATGTACGTACTTGTTTATGAGACATGAGCAACATTGCTTGAGAGGTGTGTCTATATTTAGTACTAAACTTAGGGCCTCAGCACATAATGGTACCTTTAAAAATCTTCTCCTTAACCCAGTTATCCAATATTTACAGAAGATTTGGGGAAGATGTTGCTATGTATGTTGCTATGTAATACATTGTTGGGCTTAGCCTCATGTAAGCTGCCCCAAATCCCCATTGGGAAGATGGTGGCGGGGTATTAAATAAAGAAAAGATGTATACAACTCTCGCTGAAGATTTTGTAATGTACAGATAAATCCCATTTGAAGTCCTGTTTTTGAATGCAAGTAATCATCATCTCTTAAGTTCCTGAATAAGTATCAAACAGTTATTGCTATCATGATGGAAGGACATAACATGGGATGTAGTTTGGAACTGCAGACGTGGACACTACTGAACTGAACTGAAACCCAGCCAGCCAGCTTCAAAGTTGGAAATACCTCTTTGCTATATTATATATCCCATTTTTTCATCTCTATTAGATACTGCCAGGGGTCAAAGTGATCATTGTAAATCCTGAGACCAAGGGACCTGTTGGAGATTCTCACCTTGGAGAGGTATGTGCTGCTTTTGCTCTTGGTTTATATTGGTGTGTCTGGTCCTCTACTGCTGTTCTCATTCGTTTCAGAACAAGAAGTCTCTGGCCTCAGGATTGCTAATGGGACTTGTTTTGCTCAACCTGTTGAATTTGCTTGCTGAGTTTGTTTTGAATCTTACATTTAGTAGATAAGTTTTAGAAAAATATAGCCACTTTGAATGAAGATGCATTTCAAGGCTCCATTTTATTCCTCTTATTGATAAGTTAGCATTCAAAAAGATGCATCTGTTTTATATGTTAGAATGCATTATCCTCCCTTCATCCTGTTCCAGTATACGGTTGATTAAAAAAACCCAGCCTCTGTTTGATCTTCTTTAAACATTGCAAGTCTAAAGTGAGAGCCAGTGGTGTGTTTAAGTGTTGAACTAGCACTCTGGAGAATAGCAGTTTAAATCCCCATTGGAACCCACTTGCTAAACATTGTATCGGCTCATCTTAGGATCTCCAGAAACCACAAGTCAATAAGACTAATGGCTTGCGTTTTATCACTTTCACAGATCTGGGTGAATAGTCCTCACACTGCCAGCGGTTACTACACTATCTACGATAACGAAACCCTCCAAGCAGATCATTTCAATACCCGCCTGAGTTTTGGGGATGCTGCGCAAACTCTGTGGGCACGAACAGGATATCTTGGCTTTGTGCGCCGGACTGAACTCACAGCAGCCAGTGGAGGTAGGAGAAAATTCTGTACTTCTGACCATGATCACATAAAGAGGACTCCAGGAACAATTGCATTTGATGTTAGTTTCTCCCTGAATTAGAGGCACTATATGGTTTTAGATTCAGGAGTGACTTTCAAAACTATGCCCAACATAATAATGTGATCATGGCATAATGATGTGATAAAAGATCTCTAGTAGCTTTCATAGCTAATTATTTAAAAGGCAGGGAGCCTTTGTTTGTTGAGCTTCCACAATAAGATCATGTTCACTTCGCTCAGTTCAATTCAGCAACTCCACTTTGAATTCCTTGCACATCTGTTGTTTCCTATTCCTTCCAGAACGTCACGATGCCCTGTATGTCGTTGGGGCTCTGGATGAGACTCTTGAACTCCGGGGCTTGCGTTATCATCCAATTGACATAGAGACTTCAGTTTCTCGGACGCACAGGAGCATTGCTGAATGGTATGCACTCCAGAATTATCTTTGTTCCCCTTTGGATCAGGAAGCAACATGGCTGAGTTAGGGTATAGCGGGGTCAGAGCTGGGCAGTTGCATATTGCATGTAACACCATTTCTTGTAACTTAACTTTTTCAGATAATTATATTATGGCTTTTGAGAGTAACATCCAATACACTCTCCCAACAAGTAACAATTACTTATTGATTTTATTTTTTACTTGGTCAGTGTATGCTTTTGGGAGATATTGTGAATTAATTCCCTCCTGCCCAAAACTTCAGGCCAAATGGGTTTTTTAAAAAAGTGACAGAACTAGCAAAACCAGGCAACTTAATGGATTTTTTGAAGCAAGTTGTACCAGCAGGTAGCAACAAGTTAAGTTTTAAAAATTATAACAAATGCCAGAAGAGATTTTTTTAAAAGAAAAAAGAATGATTTTTCTAGAATAGAACAGTGGAAATAGGGCTATAGTCATAGGAATCTGGACCCCTGGTTTTGCCATATCTTTTGCCACCAAGGCAGAATTGATTTGACTGCACACAGCAACAAATACTGGCAATGTATGAAGGCCCATTGATAAGGGTTTCAGGTTTTCTCTCCTATGCTTGTATACAGTTGTAAATTATTTCAAACTGTTTCTAGGAAGGGGGGGGGGTCATTTCAAACCATTTTCTACCCACTGTTTAGCATCTTCTCACATACTGAACTGCAGCAGACTTGAATCAGTGTTGCTAATCTTAATAAACCCCTTTCCTTGCATACAGTGCCGTATTCACCTGGACCAACTTGCTTGTGGTGGTTGTAGAGCTCTGTGGTTGTGAGCAGGAGGCGCTGGACCTCGTCCCTCTGGTCACCAACGTGGTCCTCGAGGAGCACTATCTGATTGTGGGCGTGGTGGTAGTGGTCGATCCCGGGGTCATCCCCATCAATTCCCGGGGAGAGAAGCAGCGCATGCATCTCCGTGACAGCTTCTTGGCCGACCAGCTGGATCCCATCTATGTTGCATACAACATGTAATTTTTGGAAGTGCAGGTCTCTGTATGTACTGTTTACAAACCTTGCAAGGACGAGTGGAGGCTGTAAAACATCAAGAAGAAGCTGGCTGTCAAATAGCAAAGGTGGACCAAGCCATCTTAACCCCTCCCCTCCCCTCGTCTTATTGGGCTGACAGCAGGATGGACTGATCTAAAGGCTGAAAGATGGCTGCCAATTGAAGAAGTCATGTATTTGCAGGAGCTTAGCTTTATGGACATGGAAAGTTGGCCTGCATGAAAAAAAAAAACAACAAATTACTAATGCCTTTACTGTAGTGTTAACTTTTTCATCTGTTGTAAATATTTGTATTTTTTTCTAATACTGTTTTAGGATTCTATGAGGGGCAGGTTTATTTAGTTGAGAGACCACTCTGTAACTCCAACAACCGAGTATTTCTCATTCCCCATAAACTGTGTGCTTTAGGACAGTAAGTTAGCTTAATTATGTAGTATTCTATTAATATGGGATCACAGTGATTACTTAAAATTGTGCCATGACCAAATCCAATAATCCACTGAACCGAAGAATTACTTATTCCTATAGATATTTCTTGAAATTAAACAAAAAAGGATTTGCCTATATTTTAAATATGTAAATATTAATATGCATAATTCATTTATTTAGAAATTTGGCTTGAATAATGATAACGTATGAGGTAGACTGTTTTAAGGATTTTAATAAGGTCCTTAAAATCAGTTGTGTGTGTGTGTGTGTATGTGTGCTAGATAATTAATGCAAGAAATGCAACTAGGTTATCTGTTCAGTTTTTACATTTTTGCTCCTGGCCAGACTATGTCATAGCATGTAGAGAAACCAATGTTTTAGAGGCACATGTTTTTAAAAAGAGGCTGAAATCCATACGCTTTAAGAGCATTTTGAAAATGACGACAAAAATCACTACTCTGGAATGTTTCATATCATCTTTCCAGCCTCTGCTTGCTCTTGTCATGGGATGATGTGTATATAGACGGGTTACCAGTTAACTAGAACCACTCAGTTCATGACCCACATCATGATTCTTCCTTTTCCTTCTTCGTTTGTGTGCAGTAATATATGCAGATGCCAGAGCAGTTTTTATTTAAACTGGAAAAACGAAAGCCCTGCCTTTGATGCCCTTGCTGCTTCTTGGCGAGGCTTTTGACTGCAGAGTGAGAGCTTTGGCAGAATGCCTTCAAAGCAGCGACAAAGCAATCCTGTCGGCAGAGTAGGACAATACCTCTGCAGATGTTGCGATTGTCCCATTGGAGGATGGCTGATGGGTTTCCAGTCTTCAAAGAACTGATGACAAGAGATGCCTTAAAGTGTGCTGGAACAACCTTGGTTTGTCTGGGAGGGGTTCACAGCCCCCACTTTGTCTTTGCTGAGCTGGGGAGACAAACAAGATTTCAGTCTTTTCGTTTATTGCATCACCTTTTGGGGATTGCACCCTTCAGGGTCTTCTTCCATGTGTTCCTTTTTGTTGTTTGTCAGCAAAACAAAACACTGAAAGTGGATGCCAGCAATGGTAACAACTCTACTTGGGCCAATTTGTGGTCTGTTTTGTAAATAGCTAGTCTATTTTAATATCTGTTTACCCACCCTGTAACAAAGCTAATGTTTTTAGACATTTTTAAAAGAGATATAAATATAAACTTGGATTAAATCCTCAACTGCAGCAGCTATATTATGTGCAGCTCTGGCAAGATATCCCTTAAAACAAATTCCAAATGTATACTTGAAAAAACTTTCTCTACAGACGTTCAGACTTCTTTTTTTTTAATGGCCTGATGTATCAATATTTTAGACAGTGCTTTTCAGTATATTAACAAAACATTTGCAGTTACCTTGGTCATACATAACGGTGATGGGTTGTATCATAAAATGAAGAATTGTGGCAGAACTAGAACAGGCTGGAGAGAGTCCCATCGCTTCAAACTGCTGAAATATTAACCGCTAGTTCTTCACAGAGATGGTCTGAATAGTTTGCATTATCAGTATTTCCACAGTGTGGTGCTGCTACATAAACAGAAAAAAGCCCTTCATGCTGATGCAGTCTTACTTTGTAGTAGTTTGGGAAACACACACAGACACACACATAAGTAACACACAACTCAACACACATAGAGGCGAAGCAGTTGCTGGCTTACAGCATGCGTAGTATATAGATGGGCTTTGGCATATAAATGCCCTCTGTGCTCCAGCCCTTATTTATTTAACTCCAATCTTGACTTAGTAGGAGGTCTTTCTCTCTTTCCTTCTGTCTTTGAAAACAAACCACTTTCTTATTGTCCTTCCACTGAACACAACAATAGCATGTTCCTCTGCCAACAGCTGTGGTGGTATTATCTACACCTATGTGATATCTTCCCCACTCCACTTCTCCTTAACACAATGACTTCTCCACAGATGTAGTATGATAGAAACATTGTGTGCAGTACAGTTTGGAATACTGATCTTATATACTGTAAATGGGGAGAAATCAATATTTCAAATCTGCATATAGCCCTCTCCCTTGATCTGATTATGGACCCCCTTAATTTAATGTGTGATTTTGATGCAGAGCATTCTCTTTCCCAGAGTCTCATAATTACTATTCCAGGGATTTCAGTTCTACTTGGGGTTTTATTTGGTGGGGGGGGGGGGGGCGGGGGAGGATTTAGTCTGGAGACCTCTTCAGTGCTGCACAATTGTTTGCCTTCAGGTCACTTATACAAAATGGCTGAGATTCCAAAGGAATGACTGTGGGATCGGTGTCATCTTTGCCTGGGCTCTGACACTGATTTGCTCTGTGTGGCTTTAGGTATGTTGTTCCATGTTATACATCACCACATGCGACATTGTGGCTTATAAATGGAATTCTGTTAGGAGCAATTCCCTGTAGCGTTTTCCAAGTTCACTCTCTGGAGCTAACAGTTTTCTTTTGCACAGTTAGCGGCGCTGCCGGTGGTTTTGAGTGAATTAAAAGAGCCAGCAACAGTGGTGCCAAGGACATTGTTTTTGTTTGCGATCTTAGTGATGTCGAACTCTCAAAAATAATGTGCCTCCTCTGTATGGGAAGGCTTCTTTGTTCTGCTCCAGTGAGTGGACCTGCTGAACATAATTTTTCTTTCTCCTACAATTCCCATGTCATCTTTCACACTTTTCCAGAGGGGTCCCCAACCCTTTGGAACAATTTACAAGGCTGCAAAGAAAAGGGGAATTGACAAAAATGACCACTACTTCTCTTGTAGAGGACTTTGGGACCTATGGCCATCCAGATGTTTCCAGGTTGCAACTCCCATTTAGTGACCAGAGATGGTGAGGAGTTCGGCAACATCTGGTCAAGGACATACATTCCCCAGCCTTGTAGGAGCTTGCATGGGTTGTGTGGATCTGTGTCAGGCATGGGCAAATTTTGGCCCTCCAGGTGTTTTGGACTTCAACTTCCAGAAATCCCAGCCAGCTTACCAGCAGTTAGGAATTGTGAGAGTTGAAGTTCAAAACTCCTGGAGGGCCAAAGTTTACTCATGCCTGATATATGCAGTATCCACTGTTATGAAGCAACATAGAAAAGCTGTTAAGCTGAGAATTAGTTTACCGCCATAAAGGCACAACCTTACAGTGAAATCACCTGTCATGTCTTACTTTCAAAGAGTTGCTCCTCTTGTAAAGTATGTTAATGTAACTATTTCTGCAATCCTGTTCATTTACACTGATTTTTTCCTCATTTTGGTTAACTGTAGTCACGAATGATGGGCCATGCTCAATTGTGCTGGAGATAGCATCGTAAAAAAACTCAATAATCATTGTCTTCAACCCTGAAGTCATTTTTCCCTTTTTTTGTTAATGTCAATACGTTTACCATTGTCAGATTCAAATTACAACGATGTAATTATGTATAAAGGTTTTTTATTTATTTCAAATTAGGTTTTAGATATACTTTTTAAAAAATTTAACATCTGGCTGGACAGTGTTCCATTAACGCATTGATTGTGTCTCCTTTGTCTTGTGTTTAATAAATAATGATGCCTGACCGTTTTTATTTGTGTCATGAACATTTTATTCCACACTTTCTTCAAGGAGGGCAGAGTGCTTTGCATTGTTTCTTCTGTCATTTTTCAGGTGGGATTCAGAGCTATTTACACTGAAAAATATCAAAGTGAAATAATAGCATAGGTATTTGAAAAAGAGAGCCATTTAAATTGAAGAATAGAACAAAAGTAGAAATCTAACTTATAAAACTTCATTAGGAGATTAGGTTATGTACGCTCTCCCCTCTGGGAAAAAAGGGGGTTGCTTCAAAATGCCCCAAATAGAGATCATTTCCCCATGTTTAATGCCCTCCAGGGATCAAAATGAAATGTTTCACAGAAGTTTTTTAATCTCTCAAAATTAACCAAAATGCTCATTAGGAGCAGAAACGTGAAAAAACATGTACTCGTGTCCCATAGAAGATGTTTGTTTTGGCCAGGGGGGTGGTGTGTGACCAACAAATAGTTTCTTTTCAGGAGCAGGGGCAGATTATTATTATTATTATTATTATTATTATTATTAACTTTATTTGTACCCCGCTAGCATCTCCCGAAGGTCTCGATGCGGCTTACACAGGCCGAAGCCTCAGAACACAATACAATAGAAACATAAACACAACAATAAACAAAGCAAATCAAATAATTAAGCAAAATAACAGCAACAGTGACAGTGCATCAAGACACTTTAAAACTGGGCCGGCCGGCGCAATGGGGTACAGGGTTAAAAGTGCTGAAATGGCAGGAGGAACGTAGGATTAAAATGTCCAAGGTAACCTCGATGTCCAAGGTAACCTCGATGCTAATGCAGTGTTCTTCCAGAGTGGCTTTCTCCTTCGTAATCATTCCCGAGTATTGGTTGACTACTGGTAAGTCAAATATCTGCCAAATACAGCAGCCTTCACTAGTCTGTAAATGTAAAGAGAACATGTGATTCTTTGGGAAAGGGAAGTTCTGACTCATGATATGACAATTCAGCCTCTTCCATGTAGAATCACAGAATCATGGAGTTGACAGAGACGACGAGCCATCCAGTCCCAACTCCCTTCTGCCATGTAGGAACACATAAATCAAAGCAACCCCAACAGATGGCCATCCAAGCCTCAGCTTAAAAACCTCCAGAGGAGACTCCGCCACACTCTGAGGCCACATATTTGACTCCCAAACAGCTATTGTGGCCAATAAGTTCTTTCTAATGTAGAGTGGAATTTCTTTTCTTGCAATTTGAATCCATTGCTCCATTGTGTCCTACGGCCCTTCCAGACAGGCCCTATATCCCAGACTCTGATCCCAGGTTTTCTGCTTTAAACTGGATTGTTTGAGTCTACACTGCCAGATATTCTGGGATAAATAGAAAACCTGGAATCAGATCCTGGCATATAGGGCCTGTCTGGAAGGACACCAAGTCTTCAGAGCAGCAGAAAACAAGCTGTGACATCCTTTCAAATATGTAAAGATGGCTATTATCCTGTCGCCGCTCAGCCTTCTCTTCCCCAAGCTTCTCCAAACATGCCCAGTTCCCTCAGCCATCCTTATAGGGCTTGGCTTCCATATCTTTGACCATGTAGCACTTCACATGCTAACTAAATGTAACTAACTAACAACCCCCCCCCCCCCTGATATTTCAGCAGAACAGGATCATGCAGAAGTTGACAATCTTTTAAGTATTGGGCCTAAACTGCATAGAACTTCAAAGGTAATTAAGCTGGGAGTCACTGCAGAGTGAATAAAAACTAAGTTACAGGCACTGAATAAACAGACCCTTTTGCTGAACATGGAAGTGTCCAATCCCTTTTCAAAGGTGGCTATATATACTGCACCCTGCTTATGTTTGATGGCAACCTATAAAGCAGAGATTATTCAGAAGTATGTTCTTCAGAGGATGTGGCCTATGAGTGTAATCAAGGATGTGTAACAACAGCAATTATCAATAAATACTTTCTGATAGTAGCCAGCATGAAGTTGTGCTCATCTTGAACTCCAACTTGTCACTCTCTTGCTTCACAACTCTCTGGCAGGTGCAGAGTGCTTGCAAGTGAGGGATTTCTCTCACTGAGGTAAGAAGCTCCTGGCTTTCTTCACATGAGACGTGAATGCTTGTTGGAGGGTAAATGTGTCAATTGGTGTCCTCCTTGTCAAGAACAAATGTGCTTGAGCCCATGCAAATATATGGAAATTTTGCAATTGAACGTATGGCTTTCCAGATGATCTTGGTGCCTTGTTCCCACCATCCAGCAAGTGTAACTTATGATGAGAAATCATGAAAATTGCTCATTCATACAGTAAGATATTGCAGTTCGAATGCAGTAAGGCTAGAGCTCACAGGAGAGTTTCTTAAGTTGCTCCTGACACAAAAAACAAAAACAGAGAGTGTGCTGAATGACCCGCCTCACTTAATTAATACCAGTGTCCTAGGACTATATCTACAGCACTTCCAGTTCTAGTTTAAGGTTGCACATGTAGTCTCTTTAGGACTGGGAACATTTCAGGAAGTCCCTCTTACATTAAAAGCTGATTGTAAGCCATTGTTTCATCAGATCAAAAATCAAACAGCCATGAAGGCCATGCAATTACATTTTACGTGATTGTGATTTATGTCCCAGTCCTAAAATTCACTGTAACGGCTAATCAGGATTTAACACCATGAACCATGATGTCAGCACTTTCCTTTGCAGACATTGGTTGCTCTTAAAATTGTTGAATGTGGGAAGAGTAGGGCAGTTTTTTTTAAATATTGGTGAAATTGAAATATAATTTTTAAAGTACTGACCATTCCTGCATTGCATTGTACAAGTGTTGAAGAAAAATTTAAATGCTGAAGTCAATAGAAGCAAGTGTGAGGGTTCTTCAAAACGTTTCCGCACTTTTTCAAACTCTTGTTTAAGAATTTTTTTAAAAAACTAATCACATCACTTCTCTACATAGTCACCTTCCTTTGCAATGCATTTTTCCAGCATCATATCAACTTTTGAATGCCATTAGAGATGAGACAAGGAAACACACTTGTCTGAGATCATGTTTTCAGATGTAAGTGGGGCAGTAAGATATATCTATTAGCATACCATACCAATCTGCATTAATTCTACAGTGTAGACTCACCCAAAGTTTCCTTTATAAATAAAAGGCATGTGTATATTTTAAATACTATTAAACACATATTTTAGAAACAAAACAAAAATGTTGAATACAGAGTACTAAATGATCAGGATGCTGTGCTATACACAATACTATTGTGCTCTTGCAGTCTTTTCTGTAGAATAAAGAGGAGCAATAGAAGATAGTACAAATAATTATAAACAAAATGCCAGAGTTCACAAATCATCCCCAGCATATTTAGTCAGTAGATTCATATCATTCTGATCAATGCAATTAAAGTGCATTAAGTGAGTCTACACAATAACCATATAATGCAGTTTCAAACTGTGTTATATAGCAGTGAAGATAGGGCTTACATTTCCAAAGGGGTAGCTGTGACAATCTTCTGCATTTGATGAAGCAGGAGAGCTTGTGCTGGGATAAATGTGTTAGAATCTCATATTAATTACTAATTAATCCCTATTAAAAAGTAATTCTTAACTAATATTGTCATTGCAGTCTATTATCTATATAAATAAAAGTGTAATGTTCATTTGTGGGATTAACATAACTAAAAAACCACTGGATGAATTGACACTAAATTTGGACATAATACACCCATCAGGCCGACGAGTGACCATCACTCATAAAAATACTGAAAAACACAGCAGAAAGGACTTAAAAAGCCAAAAAAGCAAAAAGATGCTACAGCACATGCACAAAACGACTCCCCCTGGCAAACAAAACACACAATAGCATATCCACACTCTTCCGGACTACAGCTAGTATCCCCTAGACCAGGCCCTTAAAGAGAGAAGGATGGTCCAAATGCATTGCTTCCAGGTTGCAAGTTTTCTTCTCCTTGGATTTCCTTGAGAGCATCCCAGTCCCTGCATATTTCCAATTTCCTATTCCTGGACTGCATCTCCCAGCAATCCACCAGATAGATAAGATAGATAGATTAGATATAGATAGGTAGGTAGACAGATTGATCAGGAGGACTGCTGGGAGTCTTAGGCCAAGAAGAAAGGAAGAAAGGGGAGAAATTACAGGACAGGAGATTCCACCCGAACATTAGGAAGAACTTCCTGACTGTAAGAGCTGTTCAGCAGTGGAACTCTCTGCCTCGGAGTATAGAAGCTTTTAAAAAGAGTCTGGATGGCCATCTGTCAGGGGTACTTTGAATGTGCTTTTCCTGCATGGCAGGGGGTTAGGCTAGATGGCCCATGGGATCTCTTCCAACTGTATGAACCCTCAGCTGTCTTTGCCAAAGGTCAGGAGTTTTGTTGTTTACTCTTTCAGTTGCTTCCTACTCTTCATGACCTCATGGACCAGCCCATGCCTGACCTCCCTTTCAGCCGTGGTGACCCCCAAGCTCTTTCAAGGTTGAGTCAGTCACTTCAAGGATAACATCCATCCATCTTGATCGGCCCCACTTCCTTTTTCCTTCAATTTTCCCCAGCATCATTATCTTCTCCAAGGTATCCTGTCTTATTATGCAGCCGGAGTACTTCCTCTTTGGGTTGCTGTGAGTTTTCCAGGCTGTATGGCCATGTTTCAGAAGCATTATCTCCTGACATTTCACCCACATCAATGGCAGGCATCCCCAAGGGTTGAGGGATATGTTGAGGGGAAACTGGGAAAGTGGTGTTTATATATGTGTGGAGTGTCCAGGGTGGGGGGAAGAACTCTTGTCTGTTTGAGACAAATGTGAATGTTGCAACTAGTCACCTTGATTAGCATTGAATGGCCTTGCAGCTGCAAAGCCTGGCCACTTCTTGCCAGGGGGAATCCTTTGTTGGGAGGTGTTACTTCATCTTTGCTTTTCATATCCTTCCCTCTAGTGAGCAAGTTCTGGGAGGTGAAGTCCAAAAACACCTGAAGGACCAAAGGTTGGGAACCTCTTAAAAAGTCTCTCTATTTTAGTCCAACTCAAATGATTAATCGTTAACTCCTAATAATTATTAATAGAGATTAGCTGTAATTAATAACTAAGGCTCCTTCCACACAGCTGAATAAAATCCCACATTTTCTGCTTTGAACTGGGATATATGACAATGTGGACTCAAAGGCCCATCCACACAGCCTTATATCCCAGAATATCAAAGCAGAAAATCCCACATTATCTGAGTGTGGACACAGACAACCCAGATCAAAGCAGAGATTGTGGGATTATCTGCCTGGATATTTTGGGATATAGGGCTGTGTGGAAGGGCCCAGAGTGTGGACACAGATAACCCAGTTCAAAGCAAAAAATGTGGGATTTTATTCAAATGTGTGGAAAGGGCCTGAGGGCCCTTCCACACAGCCCTATATCCCAGAATATCAAGGCAGGAAATCCCACATTATCTGAGTGTGGACACAGATAACCCAGTTCAAAGCAGCTATTGTGGGATTTTCTGCCTTGAGAGCCGTTCAGCAGTGGAACTCTCTGCCCCGGAGTGTTGTGGAGGCTCCTTCGTTGGAAACTTTTAAACAGAGGCTGGATGGCCATCTGTCAGGAGTGATTTAAATGCAATATTCCTGCTTCTTGGTGGGTTGGACTGGATGGCCCATGAGGTCTCTTCCAACTCTTTGATTCTATGGTATTCTGGGATATATGGCTGTCAGAAAAGGCCCTTAAAGAGACTCTAAGGGCCCTTCCACACAACCCTATATCCCAGAATATCAAGGCAGAAAATCCCACACTATTTGCTTTGAAATATCTGTGGTCCCTTCCACACAGCTAAATAAAATCCCACATTATCTGCTTTGAACTGGGATATATGGCTGTGTGGACTCATATAACCCAGATCAAAGCAGATATTGTGGGATTTACTACCTTGATATTCTGGGATATAGGGATGAGTGGAAGGGTCCTGAGAAAGAATAAGATATTCTGGGTTACATGGTTAGACCACACCTGGAATATTGTGTCCAATTCTGGGCACCACAATTCAAGAGAGATATTGACAAGCTGGAATGTGTCCAGAGGAGGGCGACTCAAATGATCAAGGGTCTGGAGAACAATCCCTATGAGGAGCGGCTTAAGGAGCTGGGCATGTTTAGCCTGAAGAAGAGAAGGCTGAGAGGAGATATGATAGCCATGTATAAATATGTGAGAGGAAGCCACAGGGAGGAGGGAGCAAGCTTGTTTTCTGCTTCCTTGGAGACTAGGATGCGAACAATGGCTTCAAACTACGAGAAAGGAGATTCCATCTGAACATTAGGAAGAACTTCCTGACTGTGAGAGCTGTTCAGCAGTGGAACTCTCTGCCCCGGAGTGTGGTGGAGGCTCCTTCTTTGAAGCTTTTAAACAGAGGCTGGATGGTCATTTGTCAGGGGTGATTTGAATGCAATATTCCTGCCTCTTGGCAGGGGGTTGGACTGGATGGCCCATGAGGTCTCTTCCAACTCTGATTCTATGATTCTACATGGTTGTGTGGAAGGGCTCTGAACCTACACTCAGATAATGTGGGATTTTCTGCCTTGATATTCTGGGATGTGGGGCGTGTGGAAGGGCCTCCCACAATCCCTGACCATTGAGCAAGCTGGCTGGGCCTTCTGGGAGTTGGAGGCCCAATCAGGTCGCGCGAGCCCGCTCTGAAGGGATTGGTGCTCGCGCTCACGGGGCTGCTCTGGCATTACAGCGTGTGGTTGTTCAAGGGAAAGGGGGTGGGCTCTAGGGTTAAAATGGCGCCGGCTCACGGGCGGGCTCGCGCGCTCTAGGCCCGGGCCTCCGGGGCGCTCTATGGTCCCGAGGGTGTGCGCGCGCGCGCGTCCCTGGCGGGGCCTAGGCCGGCGCTGCTGGCAGTGGCGCCCGCTTCCTTCGCCTCCGCGGGTGGCTTCCCTCCTTCCTTCCGGCGCCGAGGCCGAGGCTCTCCTCTGAGGTAAAAAAAATGGGCGCGACCGAAGCGACGAGCGCGAATGGGGCTGTGAGGGGAAACGACGGTTGGTGGGAGGAAGGAAAGGAGGGAGGCAGGAAGGCCTAGCAGCCCCTTCCTCCTCCCTCCTGTCAGTTGCCCCCTCACAAACCGAAGCCCCTTGTCCCGGCTCCAAGGTGTCCCAAACGCTTCCGTTCCCAAGTATCTCGGAGAAAGAGAGTGACTGATTCCTCCCTATTTTCATAACTTGGTTTGTGACTTAAACAGGCACGGGCCAGCTTGGGCCCTCCAGGGGTTTTGGACTCCAACTCCCAGCATTCCTCACAGCTTAAGCGGCTGAGGGGGAAAAGGAAGGGGCCTGAGGCTGTGAGGAATGCTGGGAGTTGGAGTCCAAAACCCCTGGAGGGCCCAAGCTGGCCCATGCCCGGGAGAAAACACTTCAGCACCGCATTTATATTACTTTTCTTCCCCACTGCGATGTATATTTGGAGGGGGGATGTATTTAAAAATGCAATTATTTCTTAAAGGACCAGCTGTGTGGATTTTAGCTGTTTGTATGTAAGGATGCTTCTCAGCTGCAGAGTTAATGTAGTTTGGCACCAGTTTCACCGCCTTGGCTCAATGAAAAGGAGTTTTGGGAGTTGTAGTTCTACTGCAAGGTTTCCTACCTTCTCTGCCAAAGAGCGTTTGGCCGAACTACAGGATTCAACAGCCAGATTACATTCGTTCTCCAGTGTAGATGCATTCCTTGAGATTCTGTTCCCCCCCCCCCCCCCCCGAATGATATTTTCCCAAAGGAGACTTGTCTTGTGTTCATGTCATAGGGAAGACCTTGCCATTTTTCTCAGTCTTCAATTTTTGGTTTGGGATTGGAATAGTTTATTTCGAATAATTCTGCCCACCTTTGCAATACAGAGCCCCCAGTGGTGCAGTGGGTTAAACTGCTGAGCTGCTGAACTTGCTGAGGTTCAAATCCAGGAAGCAGGGTAAACTGATGTTAGGCCCAACTTATGCCAATCTAGCAATTCGAAAACACGCAAATGTGAATAGATCAGTATGTACCGCATCGGTAGGAAGGTAACAGCGCTCCATGCAGTCATGCCAGCCACATGACCTTGGAGGTGTCTATGGACAACGCCGGCTCTTTGGCTTAGAAATGGAGATGATCACCACCCCCCAGAGTCGGACACAACTAGACTCAGTGTCAAGGGGAAGCCTTTACCTTTTTGCAATACAATGCTGAACAATCAGTGAAATTGTTTATTGTGTTTACTTTTATCTGTTGCTTTGTGTGTGTGTGTGTGTGTGTGTGTAGTGTGAGTGCATAAAGCACACACTGATGTTTTTTAGTGCACTTCTTGCAAGGAGCTCTACAAAAAAGTGTATAATCGAGTGATGGAAAAAAATAGATAAGAATGTATGCACCTACACAACATACCATAGTGTGGTGCACTCTTTGCGACAGAAATGACGTCTAACAATATAGATATATATCGTATATGTATCATTGGCAGGGAGGCAGCATTTATTGTAGTTTCCTTTGAAGATATACTTATTAGTAAATACAGTTAGTGTTTGATATGTGACATGTATTCAAAGATGTTTATCTAAACATCGATTAGATGCCCTTGGGGTCATTAGGGTGTGGATAATAAATCTTTTTTTTTTTTTTGGTCGTGTCAGGAGCGACTTGAGAAACTGCAAGTCGCTTCTGGTGTGAGAGAATTGGCCGTCTGCAAGGACGTTGCCCAGGGGACGCCCAGATAATTTGATGTATTTATCATCCTTGTGGGAGGCTTCTCTCATGTCCCCGCATGAGGAGCTGGAGCTGATAGAGGGAGCTCATCCGCCTCTCCCCGGATTCGAACCTGCGACTTGTCGGTCTTCAGTCCTGCCGGCACAGGGGTTTAACCCACTGCACCACCGGGGGACTCCATGATAATAAACCTGAGTTACTGGGACATTTGTGGGTGATTTGCAGTAAACCAACAAAGGCTTATGATTTTTAATAGTTTTAACAACACTAACAAGGAGAATATATCCCACTCAAAATTATCATATGAAAGTAACGAAAAAGCTTATTTTTTTCCTAGGGCAGTAGTCCTCAACCTATGGGTCCCCAGGCCTATAACTCCCAGAAATCCCAGCCAGTTTACCAGCTGTTAGGATTTCTGGGAGTTGACGGCCAAAACATCTGGGGACTCACAGGTTGAGAACCACTCTCCTAGGGTATACTTAGATTTTCAGGCATTGCCAGAGATCCTGTGTGGCACAGCATAGGGTAACAGTCCTGCATGCAACGGAGAAAGCAGAGAAACACCTAACAATGTCCCTGTAGCAATGATTACGTCATCCACTGAGATTCACTGGTGTCCTCCAGAGATCTCTGTAACAGATATAATTATTCTCCAAACCCTCCTTCTGCTTTCCACCAGCCATCTCAGCATTATCCATCACAATACCTATAGCTGTGTATATGCCACTTACAGGATGCCAGCCATTCTATTATTACATGTGTGGCTTATTATAGCATTTAGTAGTCATATGCTTCCATTAATAGTGGAAAATCTTAATCATTTTCTTGAGGTTAAAATTTTATGGCTTCGGTATCTTGAAAAGATAAAAAAGGTTGTATTTTGGTTGTAATTTTTATTGCTATGATCTTTTATTTTTTAATGTCCCACCTCAGGTCTGCGCACCACTGTTGTATATTTGTCATTGGTTGAAAATGAATGTTTTAATATGTCTTCCAGAAATTAGTCAATATAATGACTGTGTTAAAAAAACAACTTTAAATTGTCTTGTTTATATTACCTATATATATATGAGTATATTTGTATATACACACACACAAGAATAGCCTTGAATTGCTCTGATAAGCAGAAATGTGGGGTGCAAGTATTTTAAATGGGTTATGTGAAGGCATCAAAAATATCAGGCTTGATGCTTCCTTTTAAATGTGTACATTTGTTATTTCTTAGTGACATTTTTATGTGCTTCTCTTTTCCTCCAGATCCCACTTTTTGTGTAAGCCATTAGTTTAGCTCCTTAGTATTCAAGTCCTATTGAAATGAAGTGTAAACATGTGAAAAACCCTTGTTTTTCTCATTCTTTCTAACTGGCTGTTATATTTCTCACTATTGTAATTATTACTGTAAATTGGAACACTCTCTTGTATAACAAGTGATTGCTTTTTATATTTATTGTACACTATAAATAAATATTTCTACACTTACATACTTACTAAATAATTTTACTACCAAGACATGAATTTGCCCAAAGTAGTTTACAATTTTCAAAATACAGTACAAGAAAAAATAAACTGCCCTAAAAAGAATACAAAAACTGAGTGAATATGTAAGATCATATTTAAAATGAATAAAAGTTTAATTAAAGTTCAGAGTGCAAATTTCTACAAAGAACCCAAGAACAAAGAACAGAGGAGAAAGAAATTGAATCGTACTCACATATCTTCTGTTTTACTAACAGTTATACATTTTTGGAACTAGGATGATATCCCAATTCACCGTGTACAAGTAGTTTTCTTGTTTTTGTGCTAAGATTTTATTTTTATTTTTATTGCACAGTGGCCCAGTCCAGTATAATTAAACCGGTGGAGCTTTGTACTCTATCTGTGTTAAAACTGATTTTAGACCATACGGAGTACAACTAAAGGATGCCAGTTAACTTTTTTTTTGTCGTGTCAGAAGCGACTTGAGAAAACTGCAATTTGCTTCTGGTGTGAGAGAATTGGCCGTCTGCAAGGACATTGCCCAGGGCACGCCCGGATGTTTTGATGTGTTACCATCCTTGTGGGAGGCTTCTCGCATGTCCCTGCATGAGGGGTTGGAGCTGATAGAGGGAGCTCATCCGCGTTCTCCCTGGATTCAAACCTGCAGCCTGTAGGTCTTAAGTCCTGCCGGCAGAGGGGTTTAACTTACTGTGCCTCCGGGGGCTCCTAGTGTTAACAACTGAGAATGGTTTTAACAGTAAATGTGGTGGCAGAGTGAGAAATAACATGGAAATAAGCTGTATTGTTTTTATACCATACAAAATAGAAAGAGCAAATGAATTTGTTTCAGTGATACTTTTATTCGGAATTCACAGTATACACATGTGAAATGAAACAACAGGCTTCCATTATTAAACAAAAACAAACCAAACCTTCTAGAGATTCCTTGAATACTTCTTTTGAAATTGATCTACATTTTCTTTTACCATCCGCCACATTTCTCATGATTTCTAATTTTAGTGGCCAAACGTATTAAATACATGTTTTGAGCAGCTAATGGAGCAAGGTGAACCACTCTCCTTTTTTCTTTGTAGTCCTTTCTAAACATACTATCTTGGATTTTGGAGTCAGTTTTTGCTCAGTATGTGTGTTGTAGACAGGCAGGCACAGCTATAGCAGAATCCCATTTTTTTCAGTCCATGCTTTATTGCAGTGGTTCTTAACCTGTGGATCCCCAGATGTTTTGGCCTTCAACTCCCAGAAACCCTAACAGCTGGTAAACTGGATGGGATTTCTGGAGTTGTATGTAGGCCAAAACACCTGAGGACCCACAGGCGGAGAACCACTGCTTTATTGGGTTATTTACTGCAGATTCACTGCTGCAGTCTGACACAAAAACTCTGTGCTTCTCTAACCCGCTTTCATTATCTTCCAGCTGAAGCTGCTAAAAAAAACCTCCAACTAGTCTGAGGATGAAGAGGAAAGAGGGTTGAGTGTGTGGTATAAAAAGGCTTTCTAAGAAGGAGCTTTTTTCAGAGGTTTTGTTAACAAAGTTATATCTACATGATAAATATTTGTTAAAAGTAAAAACACTAAAAAGGTTTAAGAAGCATGCTCTGAAGATAAAGGGCAGTAAGGCCAAAGATGTCAAACAGTAATAAAAAAAAGAATCTGAAGAATATGGAGTCCAGACTAGGACATCAGATACTGAAACACAGAACTGTTTATATGGCATCTTTTCATAAACATGTAGTAAAGATGACCATGTATTTATAGTTTTGACTTTTGCAGATTTAGTTATTAGTGAATTTGATTAAAAATGTTATCCTGAGCAATTTCTGTGATCATCTATCTCCAGTTATGCTGGAGGACCTAGAGATTTCTAGAGCAGTGGTTCTCAACCTGTGAGTACCCAGATGTTTTGGCCTTCAACTCCCAGACATCCTAACAGCTAGAAAACTGGCTGGGATTTCTGGGAGTTGTAGGCCAAAACACCTGGGAACTCATAGGTTGAGAACTACAGTTCTAGAGAAAACACCTCCCTATGAATCTCTAGGTGCTTCAGTATATAATTCTATAGTTGGCTTCCAGCAGCTCACTACAGAATTCTCACAGTATCCAAAATGGAATATTTTTCTCCTTCTGTGGTTTCAATCTTGAAAAATACCTTTTAATAAAAGTGAACAATAACAATTCTCTGTCTGCACTGTGTGTGAGGGCAATGCCTCACTTAGAGTGACGTATCAGGAAGCCTGCCATTCAAATTACGTCTCTGCTATGAACTCCCTATGTGGCCTCATTCAAGCTGTTTCTCTCTCACTTCCACCCTTCTCAGAACTAACCTATCTTGCAAGATGGAGAGGGAGATAAAAGTAGTGTCGTTTACGTGAAGAATTTTGACTTAAAAGTTTGGCACACATGCAAAGTTTTAGTAATTGAGTTAAGCATAAGGGGAATTTTTTTACGTATACCATGAGCTTGGAGCGTACAATATCTATTGTATAAATGTGAATTCTTTTCTCTGAAATGCCAGCAGTTTGAAGGCCACTGTTGAAATAGGATATCTTAAAGCATCCCTATCAGGGCGGTAGTGTGTTTTTTTCAATAAAAATACAATTTTTATTGTACCAACCCCAGAGATCCCTCCATTCTGAGGACCAAGATCTATTGGAAATTTCCAGTGTCAAGACCTTGCGTCTAACAGCAACCAGACAAAGAGCCTTTACAGCAGTGGCACTATCACTCTGGAATACTCTGCCACCTGAAGTCCGTGCCTTGCGGGACTTACCAGCTTTCCGCAGGGCATGTAAGACATACCTGTTTCGACAGGCTTTTGATTTTTGATATTGCTGTTTTTAAATTGTTTTAGATTGTTTTTTAATTGTAAATTGTAAATTGTTTTAAAATGGTGTTAGATTTTAGCCATTCTTGTAAGCTGCTCCAAGCTCCAGGGGAGTGGTGGCATATAAGTTCGAATTATTTTTATATATATATAAAAGATATAAAAGAAAACAAAGATAATTAAAGAGAACAAATAAAAACTCAGTACATTATACAAGGCCCAGTGCCACAAAAAAAAACAGAAACAAACAGTTTATCAAAGGCTTGTTGGAATAAAAGCTCTCCATGTGGACCCAGAAAGAAAGCAAGAAAGGTCCTTTACTAGCCTTTCTGGGAACAAAGGTCCAAAGCTTGGGAGTAGCCACTGAGAAGGACTTCTTTCTCCCGTTTTGCCACCAAATATACCTGTCAGGGTTATGAGAGATCTCAGAATGCAGGTTCATACAGGAGAATAGAATACTATCCTTCAAATAATTTGGGCCTGAGCTGTGTAGGGCTTTATTGTTAAAATTCCCATAAAGAAACTGTCCTTGATTGTATCCTGTGTAATAGAATGAGTCCTTGGTATCCCATGGGGTTTGGTTCCAGGATCCTCCATGGGTATCAAAATCCATGGATGATCAAGTCTATATATAAAGATATAGAAAAATAGTGCTCCTTATATAAATTGGCAAAATCAAAATTTGCAAGGAGTAGGAATATTTTTAAGCCATGGATGGTATGAATACATGGATTCTGTGAATGTGGCCTACTTGGATACAGACGGCTGACTGTATGTCCCATAGGTCAGTTTGTTAAAGCACCAGGTAAAAAAATCAGTGTAATTCCATGTAAACAAAGAATGTTCCACATAGAGCAGTTCTCATTTGTGCTCTTTTTATCTGTAAGTGTTGCTGCACTGTTGTGGCTATATATATTAAAGGCAGTTCTGGGAAGCTCAGTAGGGTCAGGTCTGTTAGTGCTTGGATGGGCCACCAAATGAATCCCACCTGCTGTACGCTATTTTCAGAGGAAGTTGCTGGCAAAATCACCTCTGAGAATTCCTTGCCTTAAAAAAACTATGAAGTTCATGGGGTTGCCATAAGCAGTTTGAAGGCACATGCAGGCATTGCTTTATCACCCTTTCCTGGAACTCAATTACAGTTTTCTTCCCATCTGCTGCTGCTTCTTTATTTCTTCTTAGCCAGTCAGTATTCGGTGCCATTGATTCCCATTCCCGCATAACTGCTTGTGTGTTTTTAAAAAATCTATGTACTTATTTGACTCCAGTACTCTAGACTAGCTTGTGATTTGCTGTCATTAAGTATGTGAGAGCTAAACTTTCAACAACAGTTGTGTAAATCATTTGATTAAGAAAGAAAGGACCGAAACAATCTTGAATTTATATATCTATATTTCACATCACTATTATATTCAGCACTCATTTCAATTTTCAGAACCAGACTTCTGTGGTTGATCTCAGCAGGGAAAAATCAGTGACTCATGTTTCCATTGAATGAAATATAACTTCCAGTTTCTCAGCAACGGCTCTTGCAACTATTTCAAGTGTTGTGTAATAATGTGTTCAGAACAAGTTGATCATCTTAGAATGCCTTGGAGGTATTTTTATTGGAATCCTTTGTGTGTAGATAGTGGTGCTGTTGACTGGGAAATACCCAATTGTCCTACAGGGTACTCACATACCAGTTACATTTGGTTGAAGCAGAAACTTCTAAAACAAACCAGAATACAAGGGGATTGACCTCCCCCTCTCGAGAAAATTTGAAAATAGGGAGGCAAAGGTGCCAGGGAATCCCATTTTCTTGAATAAATCACCAAAAGAAACAGAACAGTTTTCTGATTTGAAGAACTGTTCCATATCTTTTTAATACATACATATACATATACAAACACACACACATTCTCAAGTATAGCTGAATGCAACCTCTTTTTCTATATCAATTCCAACAAGATGATCTCTAAGACAGCTTTCCTTCTTGCCGTTATGGCTGTCCCTTTTAGCCTTCTCCCTACACACATATGCCTCTTTCTGACTTCACAGTATATTAATAGCTAGGACTGGCTTAGTGCCAAAATTGGGTGGGTAGAGGGAAACACTCTCAACACATTTTAGAAAAGCGTTTTTATAATCATTACGTTCTTCTGTACTCATTCCAATAAATTTTAGAGCTGAGCAGAAGTTATGAGAGAGCATACTGCAAAAACATGAGCTACTAGGTAGAAGCAAAATCCTTAATCATCACAGTATATCAAATAACTGCTGCAGATGTGAAGGTCCAAAAAATCTTAGCGGTGGCAGAGAGAAAGCCCAGATCATCTCTCAGTGTCGGTAACTCCCTGAAAGTTGAAAATCCATAAATCTCTTTAACTTAAATCAAACTTTAAAAGTTTCCACTTCTGTATGTTTCACTGGTTTCATCATGGCGTAGGCTTGCTTCACTATGTCTGAATTGTATATATATGTTGGCATCCCATTGATTAGTCCCAGATAGAGTCAGTCCATTCAATCAACTGTTGAATAGAAAGTCAGCCATTTACTGAAAGGACCTAATCTACCTGGGACTAATCAGTGGGATTTTAACTTGTATATACAATTCAGAAATAGTCAACAGGTAGGTAAATTACATTCATTTATTTGGTCTACTCTATCCAAGGATAACAACAGAATTTAGGCCATAGGTCCAGACACATTGCAGACAGTGAACTGTCAAATACAATATATGTGATGCTCAGAAACGTTATTTTCAGAACTGAAGTTTCAGGTAAATAACCTGTTGGTTTTGTTTTGTTTTTGTTTTAACTTAAACACTGACATTTCCCCCGCTAACTTAGCTGGAGCTTGGCAATGGTTACAAAAGGTTTCAGGCACCAAAATTGTTGTAGACCCGTAGAGCTTCTTTTAAAAATATTTAATAGTAGTAAATTGTTCATTTTGCTGTGTATTCTTTTTTTTTTTGTTTCCTCATAGGCAGAGTATGGAAGAAGCACACAAAACCAGTAACAATTCAGCAACCTCTCCACAAACAGCATTGTTACAAGGTACCACTCTCCAGGCCACTCAGCTTTCTCGTGTTTCTCAACAGGTAAAGAAAGCTACAAAAGGTCAGATCCTCTGAGGAATTTTTAAGCAGATTAATTGAAGTTTGATTTTTATCAGTTGGATTTTTATTGGTCAAGTAAGTCCATGTGCATGTATCTTCAAGGATTTTTAGTTAATTACTGTTTTCCTGACAAGATACACTAAATTTTGGAATGTGCCATAAAATAATCCACCAGAATCGCATATGACCTGTTCCATTAAATAATCTATGTAGCAGAGATCCAAAGAAACCCTTTTGCTCAACTTCAAAGATATGTAACAGGACACCAACAAAATGCCCCCTGTGGAAATTGGTATTGATGGTATATGCATTAAGACCGATATGTTGCACATCCCATAGTGCATTCGCCCTGTTGTGTGTTGGTCTTGTTCTATACCAGTGGTTTTATCAACCCTGCTACTGGATATAAATGTTACAAAACTGCCCAGTTCTAATTCCTGCAGTCCACTTACGTAAACACGAAACTCCCAAAAGGATTTGTACGCAATGTTCTTTCTCCTTTGTTTTTAGATCCTCTTCAGTGATCACTTATTGTCACGTGTGCAAAACTCAAGGCCTGTGGGCTGAATCCAGCCCATGTCATTTTATGTGGCCCTCCAGATTCTGGACTACAACTCCTGTATTCTTCACCATTAGACATCATGACCAGAGCTAATGGGCATTGTGATACAGGAACATCTAGGAGGCTACAGTTTATTCTATTCAGTCAGGATAGTGGCTTGTGGATATGATGTCTGACATTAAAATGTCCAGTAATCTTCAATCTCAGTTCTGTTGGGTTGCAATTCTCATCATCCCCAGTTTGCATGGTCAATAATCAAAAGTGAAAGTTGTCTTTCAGTAACATCTGGGGACTCAAATTGGGTAAAAACAAAAGAGCACTAATTGCTATGAATATAGATATAGATATATAGCTGGCCCTCTGTGGATTCAGCAGCCCTTTGAAGGCAACCATAAGGCTGATGTGGCCCTCAATGAAAATGAGTTTGACACCCCTGACATATGTTGACTACTTCATCAGTTAAATGAGAAAACTATTTTTTTAATTGCAAAACCCCTTAATGTTGTTTCACTTAAGAAGCAAAGTCTGAGTGCTTATGAAAAGTTATCTACTAGCAAAAAAATCATAAATCTACAAAGTATAATAATTGGTTTACTATTATTTGTTTAGAATATTCATTCATCCCAAGAGCCCTTGGACAGCAGTAACACAACAGCTGCAATCTACCAAACTCTGAGGTTGTGTAGTCTCTGTTTTAATGGGTTCATAAGTGTCGTCTGTTTAAGTTGGGTTGACGAAACTAAGACTGCGGTGTTGTAGAACTCCTACTGCAGATTCCCTGGAGTTTAGAGCTTATTTCTTTCCAGCAAAAGTGTGATTTACTACAGTGACTGTAAAATTTTTGAATTAGTACTTAAAGTGACATTGTGGTTTTCCCATATGGCTGAGGTTTGTAGTGGTCTCTGGAAGTGAGTGAAGGTACTACATGTCCCATCATCTGTGGTCCGTCCTCCCCCAAACCGTACCAGAATGTTGAGTGGGTCATGGGGCCTCTGTGTGCCAAGTTTTGTCCTTATCCGTCATTGCCTGAGAAATGCCTTATATTGGTACATGGGACTTCCCAATGCTGTGGAAATGTTGACTACTGAGGACATCTAGTGTGGCCTTGTGTGAACTGCAATACTAACAGATGCTCATCAGTCCTCATGCTTTCATTTATTTATTGCAAATAGTCTATATTTCATAACTCAGCTAGCAAATTATTTATGTATTTCAGATGTCTCTTAGAGGTTCAACTCCTCTTGGAGCTTTCACAAAATCTGTGCAACTTTGTGGGGATCAAGTCCAGGGCGTCATTCATTCAGCTCAGGCCTCCTCGGTCATTCATTCACCCCAAGGGCAATCGGCACAGGTAAATGGCTAACTTTGGGCAGAAGCCTGTTGTCTGAAATATTTAACACACTTTAACCTAACCAGCATTGCCAATATAATGCCATTATCTTTTGCAATGGCATCTGAGAGAAATGAAAAGTCAAGAAATGTCTCTATATCTGTAATTAAGCAGCAGTATTGTTTCTATGTATTAAACTGTGCCTGATATTTTTCTCAGCTCTGCTCCAACGTAAACCAAATGGCATCACTTATTCTGTAGAGCCTGTTTATACCTCAGATGAAAGCAAGCACCATATATTGTTTCTGAGTTACTTCCTTCAGCCAGAGAAATGTACTGACGGTTTCTCAGGGCCCTCTCCTTGTGGCATTAGCAGTGCTGTGACTTGGATGTGAACATGGAACTCAAGATCTGAAGGCCTTAAGTAGAGGCAGTCGCTGGGTTACAGACAAGATATGTTGTGTAGGATTTTTCTGGTTGAATTTGTATGTAAAGCAGAACAGTGTATCTCTCTCTTTCTCTCTCCCCCCCCCCCCCTGTGTGTGTATACACACACACACACACACATAGGCTTTGGATAGCTGAGGGGAGGGTTAAAACCCCTGTAATATTTTTTAGCTGTCTGTGTCCATGTTCAAAGAACTTCACCTCACTTTCTGTCCCTGTGTGAATTGAATTTTGAAAAATGTGGCTTATTGTGAAAAAAAGAATTGGTGAAAAATCTTCAGTGGAGATATGTTTTCCCTATGAAAACTCTTCTAGGAGTGAATTTCCCTTCCTAGGGGCAGATTTTTCTCACTTCCTGTTGTCTCACCATTTGTAACAGGAGCCCCAGTGGTGCAGTGGGTTAAACCCCTGTGCCACCAGGTCTGCTGACTGAAAGGTCAGCGGTTCGAATCCAGGGAGCGGGATGAGCTTCCATCTGGCAGCTCCAGCTTCCTATGCGGAGACATGAGGGAAGCCTCCCACAGGATGGTGAAACATCCGGGCATCCCCTGGGCAACATCTTTGTAGACGACCAATTCTGTCACACCAGACATGACTTGTAGTTTCTCAAATCACTCCTGACATGAAAAAAAACAAACAAAACCAAAACCATTTGTGATTAGGAGTCAGATGTAAGTCGGATGTTTGTAACTTGGGGACTATCTGTATATAGAAGTGTTGCTTATTTACCTTCCACCATCATCCCTACACCCTCATTTCTGCTGCGTTGAATTATAGATTACAGAGCACCCATGGTGATCATGAGGTTGGTTCCTAACACACCAAAATCCTTGGATGCTTAAGCCCCATTATATATAAATGGGATAGTAAAATTGTGTCCCTTGTATAAAACGGCAAAATCAGTTTGTTTGTTTTTTTTTGGATATTTTGTGTGTGGGTGGTTTATTCCATGGACATGGAGGGCCAAGTGTATAAGCCCCTTGAGTCAGGGCTTTGTCCTCTTATATTATGAAAGCCCATGACATGCTGGTGGTGCTATGCAAGTTATCTAATAAATGTGGGTTTAGGTTTGAAATTTTATCCCTTGCTCTCTAAACACAACATTAAGGTTTTGGTGTTTCTTTAAAGTGTATTTTCCCCCATAGGCTTTGGGATGGGGAACACAACGTTGACACATGTGCCAAATGATTTCTTTGGGTTCATTCCCAGCATTTCTGTAGGGCTGACATTTCGACATCACACCACTGTTTTGTTCTGTGGGAAAGCAATGGCAGCATAATGGGCTCAGACTTGCTGAAACTACCAGGGTCTCCTTACTCAAGAGCAGCTATGGGAATTAAATGTCATGACTTCTAAAACCTGCAGGTTGGCTCCTGGATTTCCCTTCTATGAACTGAGGAATCCCTTTCATTGTGATACAGCTGCAGTTCAGCAGGCACATTCCGGCTAAAGGAAAAGGCAGGCAGTAATGATTTGGGCAGATTATTACTGTACCTTTTCACATTATACCTACCTTTAGAGGATGCTAGCTGTTGATGCTACTAAAGAAAGACTGAGTAGTCCTTATTCCTTCCAAGATGACATTCCTAGCACTGCAAGGCAAAGCATGATGATAACATAACTGTCCCCTTAATGACGACAATATTTGCAGTCCAGAGAAAACGAATCTCTCATACATATGACCCAAGTATTTTTCCAGATGTTTAAGGTGCATTTTAGAAATCATTATGTACTTAGTGTCACTTTTAAAAATCAGTGTAGTTGTGTTTGTCTTGCCCCCAAACTGCAGTTGCATGTCTTTTACAATAAGGTGATAAATTGTCTTTCTTTCAGGTGTCTTTGTCTGAAAGCGATGACTCACAAGATTCCTCAGATAGTATAGATTCTTCACAGAAAGCCAGGGATATTCTTGTGCGCCGTCCATCGTACAGGTCAGTAGGTTCTATAAAAGCATCTGTGTTTTTCTGATCTTTTGTTTGTCTTCTATGATTTTGAAGAAATATTGAATCATGTTTTCCCTTGATGATTCCTTATCTGTAACGGGCTGCCTGGGTTTTTCCTTGCAGACTATGCGGAATTCCTTTTGGTTCCAAAGTCTGAATTTATGCCATTGGCACCATATTTATTAATGGTTACTCTGCTTGCCAATTTGCTTCCACACTGAAATCAAGATAGATCTTTTGATTTAGTCAGTGACTAAAATATCCCAGGTACCCTGTATCTTCATGTGAGCCTATCAAATAACTTCATTCTGATTCTGGGGCCCTAGTTTGTGTGTCACCATCATAAAAAACCTCGCTTGGTTGCTCACTCTGTTACATCCTCCTTGCTGCCTCTATTAAAAGAAAGAGCCATTCTTCATGGCATGCTGGGCTCGTTGCATCATCAAATGTGGAGAAAGGTCTAGAGAAAGGGATTTGTGCAATTTGTCAATATATCTCAACCAAAAATCATTAGATATTTGAATGCTTATTAATGAATGTGTAATCATCGGTTATTAAGGTGTATTCTTCTGTGAGTGCCATCCTGTTCAGTGTAATAAGGACAACTCTCAGTTTATGTGGTAATCTGAACTACTGTGGTTTTAATGGGTTTTTTTGGGCCATTCTAATTCCCAACTTTTCTTTTTTGACATTTTTAGAGTTTCAAGCCCTCTCTATTGCAATAAAACAAAATAGACACTAAAATGAGACACCAAAACACTCATTAAGTCCTCCCTTCCCATGACCTCCTTTTGCCCCTGTAACCTCACTCTTTAAAAAAGAATACAAATAAAATAATGCATGAAAAACATTACAAGTAGTACTTCTATTTTAATTGCTTCGGCCTCTGTTTATTATAAGTGTAGTTAAAAATACAGATAATTTGGATATTTTGACTAAAATTCAGTTCTTGTAATTTCATCTTTTATTTCATATCTCAATATGATCCCAGATTTTTTCTTTTTTATCTAGATTATTTATTTCTTTATTGTATTTGTTTATTTATTTATTGTATTTGTCTGCAACCCTTCTCAGCCCTCAGACATTGTTTTCAATATAATATATTGTTGTTTTTCTCCCTTCATTTTAAAATTCTTATTTCATCAATTTATCCACTACATAACAAGACTATATTTTATTTTAATTCTTCCAGAGTATATTTATCCATGTTCCTTCTCAATGTTTTTCTTTAACAGCATGCCATTTTACCTACCTACTCACAAATAATCTTAATTCTTACAGTTTGAACATTTTATCTATAGTTCAATTCTTTTAATTTCATATTTTATGTATTACATCAATATTCCCCCTCTAGATTTTGGGTTATAATCAACAGTTTTTTATATATTGCTTCATTATATTTTCCCCTTCATTCTCACTACTCTTATTTTATCAGTCCACCCTCCCACTTCATAAAAAGAAGTTAGTACAAGTATTTTATTTTAAGTCTTCTAGAGTATTCAATTTGTTTATCCCATCATCCATTATCTGCCTTACCTCCCAGGAGACAGGAGTAGGAGAAGGAGGGATGATCCAGCCTCAAACAAACAGCTGTTTCTGTTTGTTTGCTTGTTTGTTTGTTTGTTGAACTGCCTCCCCTCTGATTAATAAAAACCCTTCTTTCTTCAAAGGCAATTTACAAAATCTGAAATGAAGTTCTTTGGAGAAAGGATGGAGGAGGGAAAATCTGAGTTTCAGAGACTTCCATTTCAGGTTTTTTAAACTGTCTTGTCTTCAGAGAAAGAAGGAAGGGTCAGCTCCAAACAGACTATTATGTGAAGAACACAAAAATACCAATTTTGCCACCAAAATTTTGCAATGACTGTTACTCAATGGCAACTATTATGCAATGAAATGTGATATTTTTCTTAATTTTTTAATCTTGACATTTGAGATGATTTATGGCAAGGCAGTGAACAGGGCTAGAGTGAAAAATATTTGGCACTGAAGTTGTAATTGTACCAACTTAATTCAGGATGGTTTTCCCAGCAATCTGTTTGAATAGTTTGCTGTCCTTTTTCTAGAAAAATCTTCAACGACCTTTCTTCCGAAGATACACACAATAGGAAAGGAGATGAGGCAAATCCAGGTGTCTCCACTGTCACGTCTATGTCTGTCTCTGCACCTGTTTACCAGACCAGCACGGGACAATACAGTATGTAACATTAAGAAGGTTTTGTCCTTGGAAATGTTGCTCCTAATGAAAGTTAAGTTTGGCATTAGTATTTTTAAAAATCCATCTTGGGCTTCCTATCTGAAGCTTTTAAATCTTTTTATGGAGAATGATAGATAGTTCTGTCTGTCTCTTTTAAAAAGTGCTTAAGCAATGCAGCACTGACAAAAGAAAGAAAATGTTACTTAGTTTATTTAGAAAGTGAAGGGTGAATGAAGGGAATTATTCACAGGCAACAGAAAGTGTTCAGTGAACAATTCCTGCGGCAGCTGCGAAAGGAAAGGACGTTTTATAGGTTGTGCCTATATTATGTAGTGATCAACACCATCTTTCTCTTTTTTTTAAATCTCAAAAGTCGCCATTGCTCCAAATGGACCATTACAGCTAAATAGCCCAGGAGCAGAGAATGTGCAGAGTTTGCAGACAATTGCAAATGCTGGTGGGACTCCGCTATTACAGTATGTGCAAACGTCCAACGGTCAACAGATATTTGTGCCAAGTAACCAGGTGGTAGTGCAAAGTAAGTATATCAACAGTGGTTTAGGGCTCGTTAGAAGGGTTTTTATTCTGGCTATCTCAAGTTCTACCATATTCCAAATATCTTTGGGAATAATGTTATGGATTGTTGAAGGGTTTCATGGCCGGAATCACTGGGTTGCTGCAAGTTTTTTTGGCTGTATGTCTGAGAAGACCTCTGAACAAACCTCTGAGAATGCTTGCCACAGATGCAGGTGAAATTTCAGGAGAGAATGCTACTGAAACATGGCCATGCACCCTGAAAAGCAGCAACCCAATATTATGGATTATTCTCAAGTTCTTCTATTACATTGATGTTTTATTAGTTTTTAATTTGCCGGTGTACTTCTTTCACCTGTATGAAGCCTTATTCAAGCATGATTCTGTGACATGAATTCATGGTGATCTTAAATTATACTTGTCTCATAATATATACACATGCATAACTTGACCTTATGTATACGTCAAGGGCAGATTTCAGGGCCAATATTATGGATCGTGATATGACTTATGGGTAAATCAAGGGTAATTTGATAGAAAAGGGGAAGCAACAGTGTTGCCTCCGGCCACCAGATTTCCCTCCAGACACACAAAAAGGCCAGACATCACATGGTTGATAGGCATTAATGGCATAGTAATAACTCTTAGCCAAAAGAAGCTATTCCCCTTCTCTGAGTTAGGTGCCAAAGTTTGGGAGCTTAACTCATCTCTGAATAACATGAAAGAAGCACCAATCCTTCCTTTTCTTTCTGCTGCTGTGCTGCTTCTAGCTTTTTAAAAATTCTCCAGATAAGAAAATGGCAGTGGTCCATTTTTGGACCTTCCCCTCCTGTGGGCACAGAGAGAGTAGAAGAGGTTGAGTTTCTTTTAGCTTCTCCTGGGATAGGCTGATCAATTGTCTTTATTTAGTTCCTCTACTCAGAGAGGAGGTGGTTCCTTTTTTATTACCATTCAGATGCAGTACTTACACTAGGAAGTCCACCGAATTGTTTGCATATCAGGTTTTGATTTCTCTTATACATGAGCATATACAGTATGTATAGCATCCCCAAGTGAGTGTCCACAGCCTGGGCAGGAGCTGGGCTGGTGAGTGCATAGGGCATATCTACCAGGTTTTTACCTTAATGTGGCCAAGTAGAATATTGTACAAATACATTCTTTTTACGTGGACACTACCATTATAATGTTTGCTTGTTTGTTGCATTTATATCTTGCTGTTCTCTTAAAATTGCATTCAAGGCAACAATTTTCAAAAGATGCACTAAAACATTCAATTGCAAAATTAGGGAGGGAATTAGCTGAACTAAAATATGATTAAAGATAATTAAAACATTTAAAACCTATTTCAAACAAGGTTTCATTACAAAAGTAAAAACAAAGCAATGCTTATAAATATACTACTCTTCCATAATTAAAATTCACAATTCAAACTGAAAACTTCTTGCCGCACCAGATGAAGAGCAGGGACAAAGCAGTTTTCAAAACAGTGAGCACAATTGTACAGTTTTAAACACATAAAAGGCATGTACCTCTTTTAATCAGCTTGAAAGCCCTTGAAGACTGTTCGGAAACTTCAATTAGTCCAACAATCGGCAGCCAGATTGCTCACCGGAGCGACATTCAGGGGGCATACCACCCCCCTGTTATGTCAGCTCCACTGGCTGCCGGTTCAGTTCCGAGCACAATTCAAGGTGCTGGTTTTGACCTACAAAACCCTGTACGGTTCCGGTCCAGTGTATCTGTCCGAACGTATCTCTCTCTACGTCCCACCCCGAAATCTAAGATCATCTGGGAAGGCCCTGCTCTCGACCCCACCACTCTCACAAGTGAGGCTGGTGGGGATGAGGAGCAGGGCTTTCTCAGTGGTAGCCCCTCGCCTGTGGAACTCACTCCCGGGGGAAATCAGGGCATCATCATCCCTCCTCTCCTTCAGGAGGAGGGTGAAGACGTGGTTATGGGACCAGGCCTTTGGGCAATCAGGCAATTAAGTAAGACAGTCAGGTGAATAAGACCAACAGGATTGATGAAGTGGAATGGAAAACTAGAACTATGAGTTAGCGATCGCTGACCTTGTAAAAGAGGAATTGGGTTTGTATTGGTTTTTATTGATTTTATTGATATAATGCATGAACTAGTGTGATGTAATTGTGTAATTGTCTAATTTTGTGTTTTGTTTTGTACTGCAGGCATCGAATCGTGCCTTGCTTCTGTAAGCCACCCTGAGTCCCCTTCGGGGTGAGAAGGGCGGGGTAAAAGAACCCCAAATAAATAAATAAAGTGCCAGGCAAATATTTGCTGTTTCTAAATCTTCCAAAGAGACACATACCCAATTGTGGACTTGTTCACCTGTTAGACGTGATTTATACTTACGTGCATTTGCCAAAAGACAGTTAAGTGAAAATAATTTAGCTTGTATTTTCATTCCTGTTCCTCTGCAGCAGCCTCGGGTGACATGCAGACATACCAGATACGAAGCACCCCAAACACGGCTTCTCTCCCTCAGACGGTGGTTATGACGTCTCCAGTCTCCTTGACATCGCAGTCATCCAAGACAGATGATCCACAATTGAAACGAGAAATTAGGCTCATGAAAAACAGGTATTTGGTTGCCATTAGGCATTTGCCAGGGTACTTTTCCCTTAGTCTAAGTCTTGGATACAGCTATATTGGCATCTATGCTTGTTTTTTAATACTTTGGGGAGAGAGAGCAGGTTAGAAATTATTATTATTGTTTTGTTGGTGTTTTGCTTCTTCTAAGAAATATCGTGTCTGATTTTCTTATTTGCTGCCGCTGTAATTATGGTCTGTAAATCAGAGGACCCTTGATTTTGAACCTCTGAATTATCGGCTTGGAATACAAGTAGATGGGTTGGTCCTCTGGAGCATTGCTTCTTCAACTGTGGGTCACAAACCCTTTAGCTCAATGTTAGAATCACAAAATATTGTTAACAGTAAAAGGTTACTCAATCTAATAGCTGTTTTAGAAATTTACACAAATCTGCTAGCAACAATGCGCAGTGCTTACTCCACAACAAATACTTTATAAAAAGGAAAAATTTAGTACACTTTGCAAATGCCAATTTATTTTTTAACCTATTTTATATACCTATATACCTTGAATCATGTAAAAAATTATTGTTCAAAAAGGGTCGCAAGTGAGAAAAGTTCAAGGTGAACTCACAAATGGAATTCACTTTCTTTTCTCTTCCCTTTGGAATCCAGACATCATATCTTTCCCTGAGTTAAGAAGAGGGTCATGAGTGGCTCGTGGCCACACTCTGAACCTCTTACCCCATATCAGCAATTTGATGTTATCTTCTCTATCTTCACTTCTCATTGAAAGTTATAAAGTTTTCTGAAAGGGCAGGCACACATTCTTATATTTGATCACATTGTCCGCTTTGTATTTATTTATTTGTGCCGGAATCCCTTTTAGTGGCCTTTACAGCAGTGGCACCATCACTCTGGAATACTCTGCCACCTGAAGTCCGTGCCTTGCGGGACTCATCAGCTTTCCGCAGGGCATGTAAGACATATCTGTTTCGACAGGCCTTTGATCTTTGATATCCCTGTTTTTAAATTGTTTTTAAATTGTGTTCGATTTTAGCTTGTTCTTGTAAGCCGCTCCAAGCCCCAGGAGAGTGGCGGCATACAAGTTCAAAAAATAAATAAATATCATAAAAACAATATAAAACCATCAAACTATTAAAACATATGATCACCAGTGTCATACTGTTAGACTCATTGTCCAGTAGCATTGTCTAGCCATTCCACATTCATTCATGATAGTTCATAACTATTTATTACAGTGAATTACCAAACGCTTGCTTGAAGAGCCAAGTTTTTACTCTTTTTCAGAAGGTCAGGAGGGAGGAGGCTGACCTAATATCCCTAGGGAGGGAGTTCCACAGGCGGGGAGCCACCACTGAGAAAGCCCTGTCTCTCATCCCCACCAGATGCGCCAGTGAGGAAGGCGGGATCAAGAGCAGGGCCTCCCCAGACAATCTAGATGGTTCACTACTTTGGCAACAAGTGCTCAACCAGCTTATGACAGATTCTTTTATATGCCAAGTGGCAAACATCTCCTCAGACATGCTTTAGTTACGACACAAAACTGCAATGTGCTGCTGTTCTAAGGCTCTTTTACTGCGGTAATTGAAATGTTGCTTTTGGATTTCAGAGAAGCTGCTCGCGAGTGCCGCCGAAAGAAGAAGGAATATGTGAAATGCCTTGAAAATCGAGTTGCTGTCCTTGAAAACCAGAACAAAACCCTAATTGAAGAACTAAAAACACTGAAAGATCTTTACTGCCATAAAAACGTGTAAGAAGAAGAGAACAAGGCCTTTTTTTGTTAACATCAGAATTTTCAGAGGGATTTTTTTTATATTATTTTTTAAAATATTAAGATGGAAAGTCAAACGTGAGTTTCTTCTCCTCAGATTCATCAACCTAGAAATGTAGGATTTTATTTAGAAGCCATTTGTGCACAAAAGTGAAACATGAAGCCTCTTGGAAGACTTCTGCTGGCACAACTGGAATCGCCATTACATCGGAATCAGTGGACATGTGCAGAGATGGGACTTCAGATACATTTGATTGTAGTGCTCGATCTTTTATTTTCTGCTGTCAAAGTCTATCGGTGTGTTTGGTCAGGTTCCAATCTCTTACATTTCTGATGGTCAGTTATCCTCAGCCCCTTCGCTTCTGGGCTCCTCTCTGCAGGTTGAACCCGTAGATGGCAGCAGTGTTTGGCTTTGCTCCTGCCTGCCACCCGTGTGTTCATTGAATGCTTGAGAAAGGATCCTGTCAGGAAGAGGGCTTTTCTATTATTGTATGTATATATATATATTTTTGGCTTAACTGTAAATTCTAATCTGTGTGTCAAGAAGATAGAGGCCACTACTTTGATAGAAGTATATATTTGCATTTAACAGTATGGTTTTTTAAAAAAGAAATGTGTGCTGTGGTTATCAGTGTTGGTAAAGGTAGTGGACTCTTTCTTCCCAGAAGCACATATAGACTGGTTATGAAGGGTGTTTTCCCCTCTCAAAAACAGATGACATATCACTGCTGATACCAATGTTTTGATTTTTGTAATGGCAGAACAGAATTGGTGAAGAGCGCAGGTTGAGCATTCCTTATCCTGAATTCCAGAATCATCTGTATGGGTGGCTGAGATAAAGACACTTTTGCTTTCTGAAAGTCCAGTATACACCAGATTTGTTTCCTGGACAAAATTATTGAAACTATTGTGTATAAAGTGTATGCGAAACAAATGAATGTCATGATTAGACTTGAATCCCATCTCCAAAATATTCCATTATAAGTCCACAATCTGAAAATCTGAAATGCAGAACATTTCTGATCCCAAGCATTTCAAATAAGGGGTGCCAACCTGTGTTTTTTTCCCCAAAGGGCTATTTCTGTTTAGTCACTGAATAGGATTTCCCATCCCCAGATAAACAGAAATGATTGTTAAGTCAGCAGGCGTCATAATGTTTGAAGATCTTGCATTGCAGTAAACCCTCCTTGCTTGGCCCCATGGTAAAACACATTGACTGGAAACCCACTGGAGAGTTAAGCACCCTAGTTACAGACACAGGGACTCCCAGCTCGAATCACCCAATCCTTATGAACTGGGAAGGAGCCACTGTGATCAATGAGGGTCTCTTCCCCTTTTGGTTGGGAGCAGATACCTGACTTTCCCTCCTCCTGTGAGTGGTCCCTCCTGCCAGTTTTGCTCACATAAGATTCCCATCCCTCCCAGTGGCCGCTCGCAGGTAAGTTTTGGGAGGCTTTCAGGGTCTCTATCCCTTAATCTAGGGGCTACACAGGGATCATAAATACAGCACAAGTGCAGAAGTATAGGCTTTGCATTTGTAACTGCCCAACTGGATTCCAGCCAACACATTCAAAATTATATACCAAAGGTAAAAATCTTAACATGTTATAATCAGTTAACAAGATTTCATTTGGATTCTTGATAGTAATTTGTTAAAATATCTCCAGTTTTTATAAAATAGTAATCCAGTTGAAGTAAGACACTGGATATATTTTTTTATAATTGAAGTATTACTTTTCCAAATTCTATAAAATTGAGTTTATATGAATATTTTAAATATTTATACACTTTCATTAAATATTTTTTCCCTTTCAGATTTTCAACTCTATTTTTAAGAGATGCTCAAGAAAACTATTTCCTATTTCTATATATTTCATTTGGCATAGTTTAATTAAGAGAGGATCCTTTATTGGTGTGCGCAGAAGAATGCACAGGTATCTGCACTCACTATAAAGATGTCAGGGATGATAATAATGTAATTTTGGTGTCATATTTCTAGAAATGTTAAAGGATCTTTTGCTGTTCACTGGATTCTTGACTACACAATGACCATTAAATTAACAAATATTGCCTTACCCTACTTAATGCTGAATTGTTACAATGGTGTCCTTTGAAATGTTGCCATTTACATGTAAACTGTGCTAGTGCAAGCCATGTTAGAAATACTGGACATCTTGAGATTATTATGACAATCATTCCAATGACAGTCTTATTAAATCATTCCTTCTAATACCAAAGTTGGTGGTCCTGTCCCTTGAAGATTCACCGTAGAAAGAGTGCTAGCCAAATACATTGATGGTATCTGCATATGCTAGAGACTGCTGACATATGCTAGGTGAAATGGCTTTAAGGGTTTGTTTTTTTTCAAAGGCAAAAATATACAGCAAATTCTGCCTTCTTCCCAAAATTAAGCATTTGTGTAGCAGATAATGTTAGGGCATACCCAAGTTAGTCTAGAATATCTGTATGCAAAAGGATCCTGTAGCACCTTTGAGATAACTGGTGCAACTTCTACAGAAACTTATAATAATACAATTTGGAGGTGGATTTATGACCCAGTTTCACTGTGCAGTATCTAAACAAACACTGCAGGAACCAATTCCAGGCTGTGGCCACAATAGCTGCTGAATGCAGTTTGGAACCAAACTCAGTATTATTTTTTATGCAGTCCACTGAAATGTGCTGATGGCCCTCTCCATGTCCATTTGGGATCAGCGCTAGATCGTGGCAGGTCATAGGAGGTAAGACCAAAGGGATATAAAGCAAGTGTTCTCATGGGAATGATGTGATTTCCTCTCAGGGGTGCTTGTTTACCTTCTGTTTCAGGGATTTTACAGCGTGTTAACACCAGTGCTCTGATTTTTCTGTCTCAGATTCAAGCTCTGCACAGAATATACTTTGATTGGCTGTAGTGCTTTTTTGGCTTGTTCTGGACTTTTCAGTGAGTTTTTGTTAACACACAGTTTCTAGCTGATAGGCTTTGCTTGTAGGAGAATGTAGAAGAAGCAACCAAGACTAAACTGTAATAATACTATGTAACAACATTTGACATTTTTTCTGCTCCTGCTTTGAAAGTGTTATTTCCTGTTTAATGGTGTGATACTTACTTTGAAAGTAATTGTTATGCTCCAGAAACTTGGTTTTTGTGGCTGCAAAAAACTATGTTGAATTGGTTGAGAGTCTGAGATACTCACTGAAAAGCTACAGCAAAATGTGCTGCAGATGTCCCACAAAAACAAAGTTTTTGTGGTTTAATAAACCTTTTCTATGTTTTGATGATAGAGCCAATCAGGAAATGACATTTCTAACCCAGGAAAAAACCTTTTAAATAGTGTAAAGCAAGGGCAGGGGAAAAGATAGATTTATTACTATCAACTCATAAGATCTGCAGTTATGGACAGCAGCAACAAAAGTACTTTCTTATCCCCCAAACTATACTGTTGAAATAAAGATGTAGAGGTTGTAGGCCCAGAAACAGATAGTTATGTGTGTGAGCTCCAGTCTATTCTAGTACTACCATTTAGTAAGTTACGTGGCGTCATTAAAAAGAATGGCAGATCTTGTAAGTACAAATCTATTTCCTGATTTAGTCTGAAATCCTATTGGGACATTATATCACAGAAATTCTAGGCTCACCTACATAGGGAATGAACTACATAGGGAATGAACTACTATCCCCATATGCAAGCGGCAAATGCCAAGTGGCCAGGCTCCCAAGCTGGCTAGTCTGTGAGAGGTTTACAGTCCAGCAGCAGAAGGACCCCGGCCTTAATATCCCAGTTCTTCAAATACTATGTGACAACAGCAAATACTGGCAGAATACACAGCTAAAACAGTCGTTCTTATAACCATATGCCCCTTTCTCTATTAGAGGAACAAAGAACCTGAAGAAATATTACAGCTCACTTTGCAAAATGTTATCTGCATTGAATTGAAAAATATATTTTATTTTAAAGCAGTATGATAATATAATTATACAAGAACAGCAAAATAAGGGGTTTCTTTTCCACAGGACATTATGCAAGGCTAACCACTAGAGTCCAAAGAATGAGCGCATGTGAAATACTTCTATCGATGGCTCTGTCGAACAAAAAAATGTGAGAATTTATCCAAGTTCTGTAATGAGCTGTGCGTGTATAGATTCCTGGAAGTTTTGGCCGACCACAACCAAGGCCAAAACTTGTGATTCCCACCAGATAGTATTTGGTGGCATCTGGGAAATAGCACATTAAAGGTCCACCACTGTCTCCCTGGAACATGAAACACAAAGAAAACAATTTGAATGCTGCTAACACTCCCAGTTTAAGGTTGGGGAGAAACTGCAATCCAGTAAGATCTGACATCTGACTTTCATGAATCACTAGAAGAAAACACCTTTTCTATCAAACATGGGTAAGTCTGCAAATTCTGTAGTTTTTCCTATTTAGACTGCAGTAGCCAGAAGCAGGCAATTCCCACATTTGGAGCACCCCTCAGCATCTATTTTCAAATGCCTGTTTGAACAGAAATAAAGTCCCAAGCAATTCTGAAATGAAACAATGGCTGTAATATTGTTAGTTACATGAAAATGTGTAGTTTTCAAAGTGTTCCAGGAGGTACTTTTTATCCCCTTTCATTAATGTCTGTCACGCTGGGGGCAGTGGCTCCTCATTTTTATCTAGGTGTGCAAGGGCAACCACAACATATCAAGGCACGCTCTCACAGAGAGCGTCCAAATAGATGGAGCCGCTCCTAAGAAAGCCCTTCCTCCAGCCTTTGTAGCAAACCAGGACAGAAAGAGTGAGAGTTAAGAGGAAAGAGCCCCTATACTAATAAAATATTGTGTAACTCAGTGGTCTTGATGGATCTTGGTCAATTTGATCCAGCCCTTATAACAGCAAACTATGTTTAACAGTATATGTAATGTATTTATATGCCATTGTGTTTATTACTTTTTATTATTTTAATGTATACTGTAATTTGTAATATTGCCAATCCGGAAGCCGCTCTGAGTCCCCTTCAGGGTTGAGATAAAGCGAGGTAAAAATGCAGTAAATAAATAAATAGTATATATTAAAATGAATATTTCTCTTTTACCTGACAACTATCAATACCTCCACTTTCTGCACCTGCACAAAACATATCCTTTGTTACTGTCCCTGCATACCAGTCAATTCGGTTACAGAGTACAGATGGAAAAACATCTACTTGTGCTTCCTGTAAGACATCTCTGAGTCTACCTGTATTGAAAAACAACACAAAATTTCAAAAGAGGCTTGGTTTTAATGTTCTCTCATGCACTGCTTCTTAAACCGTGGGCCCCAGCCCTGAATAGGGTCCCCTTAGCTCAATGTTGGAATCACAAAAATAAAAAATAAAAATGGCAACAGTAAAATGTTTCTGAACACCACCCCAAAAGCAAACTCCTTCAAATGAAATCTTGCCAAGAAAACCCTGTGAGAGATTCACCTAAGGGTCACTATAAGCACACACCAGGAACTAGGAAAATGGGTTTATATTTCTGTGGAATGACCAGGGTGGGACAAAGGACTCTTGTCTGTTGGAGCTAGGTGTGAATGTTTCAACTGACCACCTTGATTAGCATTTGATGGCCTGGCAGTGCCTGGGGCAATCTTTTGTTGAGAGGTGATTAGGTGTCCTTTATTTATTTATTTATTTATTTTTATTTGTATGCTTATATACCGCAATATCTCAGCCTACAACGGCGACTCATTGCGGTTAACAGTACTTAAAAACAACAATAATCAATTTAAAAGCATGAAAAACATATACAGTACACAGTATCGGGCCACCAATACAGACCAATGCATCTCTTAATTAAAATCATAATCCGAATTCATCGTCAATAATTACCAGTCCTTGATCATCAACTTCATCGCACCGGATTACCCGAATGCTTGTTCAAACATCCATGTCTTAAGTTTTTTTGTCCTTGTTTGTTTCCTCTATGTTGTTTTGCTGTTGTAATTTTAGAGTTTTTTTTACTACTGAAAATGAACAAAATCTGGCTACCAGTATTTAAAAAACTCTAAAATTACAACAGCAAAACAGGTCTACCCAGTGAGTTGTAACTTCCAGTTTATCTGTGTGGTTTAGTGTTTATTGTTATATGCATTTTAATAGTGTTATGTTTTATTTCTCTGTCTTAAACCTATTGTACCCTACTTGGAGCCAAAAGGGGAGGTGGGAAATACTATTATTATTAAAATGTACTCCCATTCCTTCTCTGGCTTAAGCTTACACCTTCCAAGGAAAATTTGTGGCAGCTGAGGGAAAAGAGTTTAGTGGTAAAATGTATGATTTCCATGCTAAAAATATGAGATCTGGCTTCAGAAATCTTCACAGGTTATTTATTTATTATTTATTTATTTATTTATTTATTTACTTTGCTTATATACCGCTGTATCTCAAGCCCGAAGGCGACTCACAGCGGTTCACAAACAATAGAAACAGTAGAAACAGCAGTGGTTCCATACAACATATAACAATTGACTTAACACATTATCCATAAATTACCAATAAGCAATTACAATGCACAATTATTACAAAAAACAACCGTACCCAATCTTCTCATCATCCAAGCGTAGTCCAGATTCGTCGTCCATTGTTCCATTCCTATGTTCCATTACCAGATTGTACTAAATTACTCAAACGCCTGCACAAACATCCAGGTCTTCACCTTTTTGCGGAATACCATTAGAGATGGTGCTAGTCTAATGTCCGTAGGAAGGGCGTTCCACAGCCGAGGAGCCACCACCGAGAAGGCCCTATCTCTCGTCCCCGCCAGCCGAGCTTGAGAAGCAGGCGGGATCGAGAGCAGGGTCTCCCCGGAAGATCTCAAAGTCCTGGTGGGTTCATAGGCAGAGATGCGGTCAGATAGGTAGCTTGGGCCGGAACCGTTTAGGGCTTTAAAGGCCAACGCCAGCACTTTGAATTCAGCCCGGTAGCAGATCGGTAGCCAGTGGAGTTGGCGCAACAGGGGGGTTGTATGCTCCCTGCGCTCCGCTCCTGTTAAAATCATGGCTGCCGAGCGTTGGACTAGTTGGAGCTTCCGAGCTGACTTCAAAGGCAACCCCACGTAGAGAGCGTTGCAGTAGTCTAAACGGGATGTAACCAGAGCGTGGACTACCGTGGCCAAGTCAGACTTCCCAAGGTATGGGCGCAGCTGGCGCACAAGCTTTAGCTGTGCAAATGCTCCCCTGGTCACCGCCGAAACCTGGGGTTCCAGGCTCAGCGATGAGTCCAGGGTCACACCCAAGCTGCGAACCTGCATCTTCAGGGGGAGTGCGGCCCCATCCAACACAGGCTGTAACCCTATGCCCTGTTCGGCCTTGCGACTGACCAGGAGTACCTCTGTCTTGTCTGGATTCAATTTCAATTTGTTCGCCCTCATCCAGACCGTCACAGCGGCCAAGCACCGGTTCAGGACCTGAACAGCCTCCTTAGTAGCAGGTGGAAAGGAGTGACAGAGTTGGACATCATCCGCATACAGATGACACCGTACCCCGAAACTCCGGATGATCTCCCCCAGCGGCTTCATGTAGATGTTAAACAACATGGGAGACAATATTGAGCCCTGAGGAACCCCACAAGACAATGGTTGTGGGGTTGAACAGGTGTCCCCCAACAACACCTTCTGAGATCGACCCTCCAGGAATGACCGGAGCCACTGCAAAACAGTACCTCCAAGACCCATCCCTGCGAGGCGTCCCAGAAGGATACCGTGGTCGACGGTATCGAAGGCCGCTGAGAGGTCCAGCAGCACCAACAGGGACACACTCCCCGTCGAGCTCCCGGCGCAGATCATCCACTAAGGCGACCAAGGCTGTCTCGGTACCATGTCCCGGCCTAAAGCCAGACTGTGCCGGGTCTAGATAATCCGTGTCTACCAAGAATACCTGGAGTTGTGAGGCCACCACACGTTCCAAGACTTTGCCCAAGAAGGGGAGATTGGAAACTGGCCGATAGTTGTCGAATTTAGTGGGGTTATGATATTTATCTTGTCAGTCATGAGATGTCTATTGGTACAGCTGATAGGTTAACTTCTCAATGTGTTCAGAGCCTTGAAAAGCAGATTCCTGACTTGCATAATGCTGAACAGCATCTTTCTTTCATCACACTATCAGAAATTACTTTAGGGACATTTTGTCTAGGTAGATAAAGGTATGCATTGCACCACTTTATCAAATACCATGTGCTCTGCTTCCCTAATCTCCAGTGTCATTTTCAAAAACAAAAACAATACCTTTGTTTTTGTTTCAATGTGGCTTTATAGTGCCATCTTTCCTGTGAAGTGAGGAGGGAGTGTGAAGAAACCCATAAGTTATCTTGTCTGCATGTTTTTATTTTACTACATTTATGAGCCAGTGAAGGAGGCTGCAGAAACAGGCAGTGGCATTTAGCCCAGCCAGACTGGTTGAGGACAAAATGGCAGAGCTGCTCCTCCTCCTTCCTTAGTAGTAAGGTAGTTAGAAAAAATCCCAACTGGAAAATCTAAGGTGCCATCGAACCTAAGGCACACCATTTTTGATGCCTCTTAAACGGGAAGAAGTGTACCTTTGATTTGATGACATATAGTGTATTTCCACTTCTGCCTTTGTTTGCTCCTCCTAATTAGTCCCCTGTGTATCTTTTGGCACCAGGGATTGTCATACTGCTATTTTACACCAACTCTTGGAGAGTTTCTACAGCTAACGGAGAAAATAAATTTAAACTATGTTTATTATAGGCTGGAAAACCTGTGGTACTCTAGGGGCAGTTCCAGACAGCTCTTTAACCCAGGAGCATTCACATTTGTTAAACGTGATTGCTTCCGGGTTCAAGTCCACCCCCCACCCCCCGAAAGTGTGTGCCTTTCTGGGGGGGGGGGTGTCCACATGCTCTCATTGAACCTTCTTGGAGGACAGAGACAGCCCCACCCCTCCCCAAAAGCCTTTCTGGATGGGCCCTCAGTGTTACTGGACTACAACGCCTATGATTCCTGACTAGCAAGCCCAATGGCAATGAATGAGGATACCTCAGTCTAAGTATACCTATAGTCCATATTGTGAACACCCTGTTCATAATCGTCAGTAGACCAAAGACATTCAGGTCCACTTGCTGTAAAGTACAGTCTGAACAATGATTCTGAATTCCATATCTATGTATTTTAAAAAAAAGACTGAGCTCCCTAGATGCAAGTCTCTATCTCATCCTCTATTCTGGGGCAGTGATTAAAATTATTATTGTTTTTGTTGTTGTCTATAGTCTGGGTTCTACTTTTAATCAGCTGCCTTCCTCCTGAAACTATAGAAAGGAACTAAGCATTTTCACAGACCTGACTTAAAAATGAGTGGGAAATACAACCGATTCCTGGATAGCTTCCATCAACTGCAAAGATATTTAACATTTAAATGAAATATCACATTACTTCCTCATGCTCAACAGATTAAATTTCAAGAGGGAAATAAAATGAAAGACTTACCTTTCTCCACTGTGTTTCCCCATCCACTTATGTAACATGGGGTCTCATTAGTTATAGTAAGGGGACCATTCGGTAAGCAAACAGGTTGGATATATTCATTGAATTTGATAGAATCTATTAATTTGAACAAAGCAACATCGTTTTTAAATGTGGCCTGGTCGTAATTAGCGTGAATAATGATAGCCCTGACCCGGCTCTTTCTTGTATGTGTTTGGTATCTATAAAGATGATGCATTCCAATCACAGCGTTCCAAAACCCAGGATCCCTAAAACAAAAGATACACTTCTGTCAAATCAATTATTATGTTTAGAACTGCAATGTCATATACTCTTGCATCACACACTATGAAAAACTAAGGGCCTGGAACCACATTTGAATACCAGTGGAGTTGCGGGGGGGGGGGGGGTGGGTTTGTTCATTTGGGAGTTGTAGTTGCTGGGATTTATAGTTAACTTACATTCAAAGGGCATTCTGAACCCCACAAACAATAGAACTGGGGCAAACTTCCCAAACAGAACCCTATGACCAACAGAAAATAATGGAGGGATTTGGGAAGAATTGACTGTGATTTAGTGTGCTCTCCCCTCTCTGCTTGGAGTCTCAGAAACAGCCCTCCCTTGGCTGAGAGGCTGGCTAATCACAGCAGGCGGAGGAGTTTTGGTGGGAGGATTCGCCAATTTTTTTCCAAAAAGGAAGAGAAGGATAGGAGAAGAAATCTTCAGGCTTCTCTGCCAAAGGGTTCCTAAGACCATCAGAAATATGTGTTTTCTGATGGTCTTTGGTGACCCCTCAGGGCTCCCAACCCCCAGGTTGAGAAATACTGCTCTTGGGGAACAATGAAGAGGCTGCTGCTCTCAAGAAGTAAGAGTTTGCTCTCAGGTAGACCAAAGCTTTTTCTTTTTCTGTATTGTCGAAGGCTTTCATAGCTGGAATCACTAGGTTCTTGTAGGTTTTTTCGGGCTATAGGGCCATGTTCTAGAGGCATTTCTCCTGACGTTTCGCCTGCATTTTTCTTTTTCTTCTCTTTGCAGTCAGAGCAGACCCATTTCCACTGTCTGAATTGTTCCCCCTTCCCCACTGATAATGCATTTATGTTCTTAAAGTCACAAAGTGACTTTCAGTCTGTGATAATAGTACCTTTGTCTCATTTTTTCTGAAAATTTTCATTTTTTTCTAGGATAAAATAGAATAGCTTTTCCCTTTGGCTGCAAAATTTCCAAAATGTTTACATTTCTGCTTCCCTTTCCATTTGGGCCTCCTCCGTTGTAGCCTATCTTGAATTATTTACTATATTCCGTGAAAACACATAGAAACCGGATTCTAACAGCACAAAAGCTAACAATGCAGGTGTCATTTCTGTGATGCTTCCCACCGCCATTCCTGGATTTTGAGTCACAAAGACAGCCTCCCATATACTTTTTCAGTCTAGCCCAACAAAATATTTAAGGAGGACAAGGTGAATTCACAAACTTATGATCAAATATTTAATGTCTGATAGATATTCATATTCAACCAATAGATCTATCTAAATATTTTACTTTCATTTAGATTTTTAAGAGGAAAGATTTTAAGAATGAAGTATACATACCCCCTTTTAACACAGTGTGCAGCTGTTAGCACCGAGTTGTGATTAATTAAGGAACCACCACACACATGGACATAGCCTACACCAAAATGATAAATCTGAAGGCTAACTTGCCAGGGCCAGGCCCCAAGCTGAGCATCATGTCCACCAATAATCCGACTCCCTGTAGCTATTTCATCCACAACGGGCCTTGTTCCACATTCTAAAAATCAGAACACAGATACATTGTAAAATGCTATGTTTTGAAAACATCCAAGAGAACAAAATCGATTAATCAGGAAGGAATTCAAGTAGATCTGCTTTACTAAACAACTGATCTTGTCATGTGTTAGCCCAGCCTCTGATTGAAAACAAGGGGTTGGAAATACATTTTTCCTGAATAGTAATCTACCCAGGATCAGATACCAGTAATGTTTGGGTCAAAGTAATCCTACATATTTATTCACCCAATCATCCAGTGCATTTCCCCATGGAGATTTTTTTCAAAGTAACGTATGATGTAATTCCCTGCCCTAGAAAATTAGTACTACTCCATCTATTTTCAGTTTCCATGTGGCAGCTACAACAATGTTATTCTGAATAGCTTTTTGATATTTGAAACTTCTGTTTCATTTTTTAGGATCTGCAGACTATATGCAGATATATGTATATCACACCAGCAGCATATCTAACTACTGGATTGTTGGTTGGTTTCAAATATTCTTTCTGACACTTTCTGCCAAGTAAGCCAGGAAAATATGGCATAGAAGCACAGGCCTGCTGCAATATTAAGAAATCACATCTCTGATGAGAGAGCTTTACCTATACAGGCATCCTTTCTATCACAAAAAGCCCAACATGGTTGCAGTGGGGTAACACTAGTAAGTGAATCATATTTCCAGAATGGACAAAATATGGTGTGAGATTATTTTTCCCCCAGCTTAGAAGTGTCACAGCATCCAGAAAAGACATACTAGCAAATTAGGTTAGATTTTCCCCTGACATTAAGTCCAGTCATGTCTGACTCTGGGGGTTGGTACTCATCTCCATTTCTAAGCGAAAGTGCCAATGTTGTCCATAAATACCTCCAAAGTCATGTGGCTGGCATGACTGCATGGAGCACTGTTACCTTCCTGCCAGAGTGGTACCTACTGATCTACTAACATTTGCATGTATTTGAACTGCTAGGTTGGCAGAAGCTGGGGCTAACAGCAGGAGCTCACGCCGCTCCCAGGATTCAAACTGCCGACCTTCTGGTAAGCAAGTTCAGCAGGTCAGCGGTTTAACCCACCGCGCCATTGAGGGCTCCTAGAAAATTATCCGTTATCATTGCATGCCTTCAAGTCATTCATCACTTAGGGCAATCCAAAAGTGAACCTATAATTTTTTTTTCTTGGAATGATATATTCAGAACAAGATTTGTTATTGCTTCCCTCTAAGGCCGAGAGAGTGTGATCCACCCAAAGGCACCAAGTGGGTTTCCATGGCCAACTGGGGATTGGAGCCCTACTCTGTTATATCTCCTGATAAATAAATCAAGATGCTTGGTTTTATGTCCATTTCATAATTGTTTCAGGTTGTGGGAGTTGAAGTCCAAAACACCTGGAGGGGGGCCCTGTTTGCCCATGCCTGGTTAGTAGGATGGAAGTGGAGCTGAGAATTCCGTGGAATGAGAAAAGGCAGCTCTTTTAAGCCACTAAAACATTTGGGACTCTTGTTAACTATGACTTGGCATCACTGGCAGAAGCCATCCATGCCACCTGAAAGCGCTTGCGGCTGAGCTGGACGCGCAGGCGCATAACACGCGCTCCCGCCTGGCAAGGAAGCCGGGGGAGGGGTCAGCTTGGACGCCCCCCCCCCCCCCCCCCGCCGCTGAAGCCGGACTCCTACTCACCGTCTATGGGGATGATATCGGAGAGAGCGTCCGGCGGCAGTTCACTCAGGAGCACCAGCAGCACCCCACAGGCAGGCAGGCCGGGGCGGAAGCAGCCCCGCATCGTCCGTCGAGGAAACAAAATGGCGGCCCGCCTTCCCTCTCTTTCTTCACCGCAGGGGCGTGACGTCAGAGGTCACGTGGCGCGGCGGGAATGGTTTGCGCGCTCTCCGGCTCGGGGGGGGGGGGGGAATGGAAGACTTCCTTCCTTTGGGGAATCTGCCAGGAGGGCGTGGTCGAGGGACGCCCAAAGGAGGCAGCTGCGGAATACATTTAGGTCTTTAATTATCATCATGCAAAGATCTTGGAGAGACTTCTACGCTGAGAAAAGGTGCAAAGGGCCTCCACACTGTACCACGAATGCTGCTTGATCCCACTGGAACCGCTATCGTGGGAGCTGTAGTTTTACAAGGCCTTTCGCCTTTTCTGCCCAACAGCGCTGGTGCCTCTCCAGACCTCTGAAGCTCGGTTTCACTGAATGGTGACAAAAGTGGCCCAATCATGGGGTACTTTTCGATAAGATGTGTTCAGGAGGTTTCCACTGCCATCCTTTGAGATCTGCCAGAAGAGCCGGGATTTGGGCCCTCTTCTCCCGGAGGCCTCGTCCGGCGTTCCAGTCACTTTGCAACACTGGCTCTGTGCCCAGCCTGTGTTGTAACGACAACCCTAATCCACAGGCAATGATTAAGTATGCAGGTCCCAGCAGTCCGTTTTGTTTCTTCCTCATTCTTTGTTAAAAATCCAATTGTTAGCAAGAGTAGAGGACAGTCGAATATTAGGGCCCATCCACACAGCCCTACATCCCAGAATATCAAGGCAGAAAATCCCACAATATCTGCTTTGAGCAGGGTTATCTGAGCCCACACTCTGATGTGGGATTTCCTGCTTTGATATTCTGGGATATAGGGCTGTGTGGAAGGGCTCTTAGAAAGCCTTGTACCTCATTTTTCCTTCTTGTATTTATTGCTGATCTGAACAACTGGCAGCCCACTTTTACCTGCAACTGCGTTTTGAACATTAATCTAGAATGATTAAAGTGGGATTTACCTCATAGCTGACATTTTTTTCAGATGAACACTTGATACTAAGACGACCCTCCAGGTGCGTAATAAAGAATACTGGAACTATTTTGCAATAAAAATTAATTAATTACAGTTACGTTGAACTCTAGTCAGTGAGGTTCCCAATCTTTTTATGACCAGGGACCACTCTCCAACATTAGTACCAGATGGGTTACAAATCAGTTTTTGGTCAATTTTAGGTTTGGGTTGGTTGTTTGTGGTGCTGATTCAGAAAATTGCATTGGATAGACCACATCAGCTTTAGTTTCTGAACAGAACATATGCCATCCAGTAGTCACCATCTGCTCGCCCACATAAAACCATATTTCATAATCTAGATCTGATGTGGTAGTAGTAATCTTTTGTGGGTTGTCAGCCTCTCCCCTCCCAACATCCCCATTGCCTCAGCGCTTGTAAGATAATTTTGTGAGACCGGTCGCTCGTTACCACATGGTTTTGAGCCAACTGTGTAGTAATGGTGAGGCCACAGACTATATTTCGTTCTTGCAGACCACTGTTGGTCCATGGACCACAGGTTGGAAACCCTTTGTTTTGTCGTGTCAGGAGTGACTTGAGAAACTGCAAGTCGCTTCTGGTTTGAGAGAATTAGCCGTCACGCCCTGATGATTTGATGTTTTTATCATCCTTGTGAGAGGCTTCTCTCATGTCCCTGCATGAGGAGCTGGAGTCGATGGAGGGAGCTCATCCGCCTCTCCCTGGATTTGAACCTGCGACCTGACGGTCTTCAGTCCTGCCGGCACAGGGGTTTAACCCACTGCACCACCGGGAGCTCCTACCACTCCCCTAAAGACACCAGATCCCACCTGAAAGCTAAGTAGGGTCAGCCCTGTCCATGCAGTTAGTATTTGAATGCTGTAGTGCAACATGAAAGAGGCCTTTGGCTGCAGTCTTCTTTATGCTCTTGTTTCGATGCCCCAGTCAGCAGTCAACTGAGTTTTTGTTCCTGTGGAAACTGCTCCCACAGCATATGGTTACAAATTAAGGGGGGAGATTTTAGAAGAAGCTTCTCTCTCAACAAGCCAATGTTTTTGATGCCTGGGAAATGAGTTAATCTTAGAGCTGACATAACTGAATACTTCCCATTTATTACAGTGAGGGAACGCAACTAAAGAAAAAATGTGCTGACGAAAGCCTGGCACAGAGTTGATCCAAAGTCACTCAGGGCATGGCCACTTTCATGTGATTGCCTTAACAAAGTAGGGAGACCAATTTGATATAGTCCACACTTCATTTTAGCCCATGCTGAACTTTTTCATTAGATGATGTATAGTGTCCACTGAACATACTTATGCTTTGAGTGCATATATGTAAAAAAAAGACTGCAAATATTTTGGTAGCTTAAATAATAAACTTTATGAAATAAACTGAGCAGAAATAGCATTGTTTGTAGAAAGCAATACTTCAGCATTCCAGTTCAGCAAAAGACATCTGCCTCTTTATGGAAGTAGGTGAAAGATTAGCCATTCTGCAATCCAAAGGGTGAGGCCACACTGAATGCTGATGGTACTTGTTTTATTATATAGATATGAATCTATCCAACTTCTGTAGTTGACTACACGAACATAGATTCCAGGATGTTTTGGAATGCCACAGACAGTAGAAGAGCTGGTGATTCCTAAAATATAATATTTGGTGACATTTTGAAAATGACACATTAGTGGTCCACCGTTGTCTCCCTGAAACATGGAAAATATACTTCAGCATTGCTTATAGCATTCTGAAGTCTAGGGATGAAATAGAAGAAATGAGTCTCACTTAAACCCACATATTAAAAGCATACTCCTTTACAAGCAGATATATGTAGATAACTCTGGAAAATCTGAAAAGGGTAATCATGCTTTGATTTGAATCTATTCCCTATGAATAGGTTGCTTACAAAAGTTTACAGTGAATGTATTAGTATACCAGCTACATGTTCAATGAGCGTAACCTAAAGAAGGTAGGTTCGTTCTCTACTTTAATACATTTTCAAGAACATATTGTGCATATTGTAAAGAAGTGATTAGAAATATTACATTGTGGTATTTCTAAGGTCAGTCTATCAAGATTTCTAATGTAAATTTTGTCACAAAGATAGTAATTTGAGGAAAAGATGTTAGGTTACTTTGTTACTACCTTCACTTATTGCTTGGAAATACAGTTTGGCCAAATATGCTTAAAATATAGAAGGGGTTATTTCTACTTTACCTCGCAGTTATCTACATGTCCACTTGCAGAGCCCACACACATCACATTTCTTGATATTATCCCTTTATACCACTCATACTTATTACAAGTATATAGTGGAAGAATGTCTACTTGTGCTTCTTGTAATGTAAGTTTAAATTTACCTGAAAAAGAAGCACAAAATATTCCTGGGAGTATGCTTAAGGTAAGCCATTCACAGTTAGGCAATCTCATTTTTTATTTCTATCAAAACAGTTTCATTGAAATCACTATTAATTAATGCCAACACTCTTTCAATTTCTTAAATGAGTATTCTTGGGTGCTATGTGTAAGAGTGAAATCCAGCAAGCATAACAATTTGAGTGGTAACTAAAACGCCCAGAGATCTGGGTTCAATCTCACGTGTTTTCCTGCCACTTTTGTCATTTTTTTTTAATTCAAAAAATCTAAAGAAAAAATAAAATTCTACAATCTTTGAAGTAGTAGCACTAAAAACACCATCTGGATAAAGCATCCTAATTCAATCAGTTTTGCCTTACTTGTCATATACATCAGTATAATATGAACAGCAAGTTATACAATATGTAGATTGAAAAGTAAAGGTAGCTACATTTGGAGAAGATTATTTGTTTTTTATATTTCAGTGTAAAGCTAGTCATATAAGTTTCCAAGTAACTGTTACATTTGTGCTGGCAAATATGAGATTTGTAGATAGAGCTGTCTTCTATAGATTAGACAATGTTCATAATGTCTTAACAATTTAAAACTCCACGGCTTTTATCCAAAGTAATAAGGTGAAATAAATGGATTTTGCCAATAAATATTTACATTTATTTTAGTTTGATGTGGGAGAAGTTTACAAGCTCATATTATGAGCATCACAAATATCTACAGGATAAACAGACCAGGTGTTTTACTGATAGTATACAAAGAAGTTATAACACAGAAGCCTTTAGTCAATTAGGCCATCCTACTGCTGGAACAAGGAAATGACAAATCCTCCTTACCATTTACTCATGGGCAGATGGGGAAGGCTATTTCTACAAAAGCAAGCTTTATAACTTTAAAAATCCCATTAAGTCTTGGGAGAATACACCCCTCCCTCTCTGACTAGAAGTCCAATATCTTATGGATAGTATTAATACATCATCCATTTCACATTCTCAGAAGAAATTCTGGTCTAACTAACAGATGGATGCAAATGTATTGCACGTGCTATTGGATTTACCTTAGAAAAACCCAAAAAACTAGAACTGCAAGATCTAACAGCCAGACCAGCTGCAAAAGATACACAGTTCTCATTAAAATACACAATGATTCTGAGCTGCCTATAAATTTGTTTTCCGCATCAAAATTGAATGGCACTCATCGACATTTCTAGTAGAAGTTTATTCAGAGAAACTCCAGGTTTTTGTCATCTTAGTAAAACAATGTAGCTAAGAAAAATGGCATATATGATTCTGGCCATAAAAATGTGACTGTATATGCATCACCATGGCTTTGAATGTACAGGTCTTATCTGTAATGTGTGAAATAAACTAGAATCACAACAACACAACAAACTATATCAGTTTATTCCGAAGAAGAATGAATAGGTTTACCTTTCTTCTCTCTTTTTCCCCATCCACTTATGTAACATAGGTTCTTATCAGGCACTAGATGAAAAATGTCAGGTAAACAAACAGGCTGAATATATTCATTGTACGTGACAGACTTCAGTAGTTTAAACAAGGCAATGTCATTTTCATAGCTGCCCTCTTTGAAATCAGAATGGATTATGATATCTCTCACTCGTTCAGCTATAGTATGAGACTTCCATTTGTAAAGGTGATGCAAGCCAATCACAGCTCGCCAATACTCCGGGTTCCTATGACAATAAAACATCTTTAGAATCAATTACTATAACTTGAAAGTATTTTAGACTTTAAAGAAATGAAACATTTACAACTTAACATATTGTGTAGACTCAGGAAAAGATGTGCATGTTATAAAGTGGAACACAGTCATTGACACAGGAGTTACTATTCAAGGTTCCCAGGTGTCACTGAATTTCACTCTGCAAAAAGTTGTCCTTTGTGCAATTAAGTGTCTATACTACTACAAATTAAAGGACAATAAATAACTACTGGATGAATGCAAGCAACTGGAAATGAATACACTTAATTTGAAAAGTCCATTAACACAGCTGTACAGAATTACAAGAATTGAAATGTGACCAATATAAGTTATGATTGATCTTTAAAAAGTTATGAATGTGAAATATTTTTCAGTCTTAACTCTGGTGAGCCCTTATGCCTTTTAAAATTCAAGCTCCAACCACAAATTTCAGTTCCTAAGAACACTGAATAGCTTTCCATCTCTAATGCAAATACTAATGAGAATATATTGTTCAGATGTAATTGTATCATCTTAGTAGCAGCATGAAACAGCCCCAAGTTATTTTACAGATTACATAAAAACCTCAAAGGAAAATAAAAATGTTTGTGGTATTTCCATAATCCACGAAAAAACAATTACGGATTTAGACACAATAACTTCAGAACTCATTCACACAAAATGATTCATTTGCAAACATTGTTTAAGAGATTCCACTAAGAAAAATGTGTACAGAACACAGCAAGAAAGGCAGTAGGCATGTGTGTACCAGATCAAATTCCATTTCCAGTTGCTGGCTTTGGCTATCATTTCACCCAGCTCTTTCCTGTTGACCTCCTTGCTCTATAGTTTCTCTCTATATTATGGTGCCTCCAGGCAGGTACTTCTAACACTACTACTCAGGCAGCATTGCGCAATGATTCTTTCTCCTTTACAAGTGAAAAATAGAAAAAAATCTGGGTTCATAATCAACAGTCTGGAATGATTCTTTTGACTTGCAACAATCTTATATGGGAGAGAAGTAGGAGGGTCACTGATGCTTTAAAATGCATTATTCTCTAAAGCAAATTCATTCTTATAAAAAAGAATATTGGGGCAGCAATGGACAGACATCCCATTCATCAGAACACTCTTAGGTAGCAATTTTGAATTCCTAATTTTGATAATATTTGGGGTGAATAGAACACAATTAAGAACTAAAAGATACATACACCCATTTTTTAACGCAGTGTGCTGCTGTCAGCACAAAGTTGTTATCAATTAAAGAGCCACCACATTCATGGCGATATCCACCTAATGCAACGCGGTAGAGCTGAAGGCTAACTTGCCATGGCCATGCCCCGACCTGAGCATCATGTCCACCTACAATCCAAGTATCTAGTGTCATGTCATTCACAGAAGGCCTTGTTCCACAATCTAGAAGTCAAAACACACAATATTTGCAAAAGTCATAGCAAGCAAAACAGCGCTGAAAATTGTTAGTGCAATCCTAGGCAGAGAATTTGCAGAATAGAGGTAACAATCTCACTGAGATGACCTGAGATGAGTGAACAGACTTATAATACTTAAAAATACTACTCTGTACAATAACATCTTCAAGTAGTTTGGATTAAAATGTCCCAATTGAAATACATATAATTAAAATTATAAAATTAAAACAAATGTTTTATTAACTTTACAGATAATGGAAAGTTTTAATGAAGCACTAGGGGTTTTTTGCCTCTCAAATTGTATGTGAGAGTGTTTAAGTGGTCAGGTGCCACTATTAAGGAGTGCAGGCTTTTTGGTATTACACAGCCATACTTCAAAGGATATAGAATGTCAAAAGAATTTACTTCAAGTATCAGAAATTAACAGAGGGCAATAACGGAGAAGCTGTGTTGTATGGCTCATATGTGGCATTTAAGATTGTTTTTTGTAACTATCCCAATTGAATTTGAGTTCCACTCCGCAAATGACCAAAAGTGCTTCTGACAAGAGGCTCTGGGGAGTTCAATTGGCCATTTCATTGCATTGGGAGTTGGATCTGCTTGCCTTTAGAAAGGCATAGAGTGATCAGGCTTTTTCCCAAACAAGAAACTACTGTCTCCTCACTTTCTTTTTGATAATGTTGTAAACCTTTTCATCTATTCCTGTCATGTTGAAGGGTGTGCAATGCTCCAAACAAAATTTCAGCAAAATTACCAGCAATACTTCCAGAGGCTTTGGGAAGTGCTACTAACTGTTCTGGGGTAAAATTATTGGGACCCCAACCTTGAGAGGTAAACATTAGTTTACTTAGAGTCTTCAAGGTTGGTGATAAATTTTAAACATGGCTTGATTGTAGGCAGCCACCACTAGAGTTCCTGAACAGCTGTATTCTGCATGGACCGCACCTGAAGATATAATTTCATATTATTTCATACAGATTATTATTGCACCCTGGTATTAGTTCAGAACATGCACATCATCACCTGGTCCAGGTGCTACAAAAAAAAAAACCTGAGTAACATTAGTAGATTAATCACATCATACTTGCCACAAATTGCTTAATACTTTTAATATTTTAACTGTTTATTATTACTTGACTTATTAGTCAAAAATGTCCTAAATGTTTTACTTGTATATCTAAATTGCAATTTTGTTGTTTATTTTATTGATCTGTTTGTTACACTTTGTCGGCATTGAATGTTTGCCTTTTTTTAAAAAAAAAAAAAACTGCCCTGAGTCCCCTCAGGGAGATAGGGCAGGATAAAAATAAAGTTTTATTATTATACCCCAATTATCCTAATGATTTCCTCAAACATCTTCAAATATATTTTAAATACAATTAATTTAAGATATTGACCTAAAAATGTATACCTCAACCTGACAAAGTTAGCAAACCAATACATCTTTATGGACATTTGGTCACAATTACACAAGTCCAACCTCTGACCTGTTTCAGTTTCTAAAGATCCTCGGCAAATCAGAGAGCATGCAAATTCCAGGGCATAAGTGGAAGCCTGCTGAAACATGTCATGAGTATAATATGAAACAAGTATTTTGGCAGAAACTTTGGCACTGACTACTGAAAAACTCCCCATAGCATCCTGGTATCTATCAGATTCTACAAGCTTCCTGTACTAGAAAATCTCAATCAGTTACCCACATCTCCAGGGAGGGATTTGCACAATGAGATCAAACTGGCCGCACAATAGCAAAATTACTTACAGATCTCCACTCTCACAACCTGAAATCAAAGCCATGCTAAGATTTTTTTTCCTCTGAATTATGTACCAGGTTTACTATAAATTGAAACAGACTAAAAGTTGCCATGGAAACCATGAAGTCCTCAGTTGATCTTGTTATACAACCAATAAGCTTAGGGTTCTCCAACACATTTGAATCTGCCAAAGCATTACAGCCATCAAACACTATGATAGGTGATATATAAAAAGCAGGCTGATGCAGGGCAGACTGCCTTCCAAATGAGCAAAACAGAACCTTTATGGGTGGCAGTCACTCTTCCAAGCCTGCACTCCACCTTGCACCAAGTGCACAATGTTGAATCAGATCTATACTGCTTACTTTATTACTCAGGCCTCATTAATGCAACCCAGTCTGGCTCCCTCATCTATGATAACTGAGACCCTATTTTGAACCACACCACCTGGCATTCATTAATAGCATCAACCCAGAGGGTGCAGTAGCAACCCACTAGTAATTTGTAAAACAGGATTGAAGGAAGGAACATCTATGTCTCCTGCTCCTCCAATAAATTCTTCTCCTCAGTTTAGAGTAGTATTCTTCACCCAAAACTTCTTCCTCCATTTTCCTCTTCCTTCTAACATATGTGAGTTCATAAGACCTTTCCCACACGCTAGGTAACACAGCGTAAATCTATAAAATGTAATCTCCAAAAAGTTTACAACAGCTATGGAACTGTGCTATTTATTCAATTTATTTGCCATATTTATATATCACCTTTCTCAGCCCGAAGGCAACTCAAGGCGGTTTACACTAGGCACAATTCAATCCCCCAACAACATAAAATACATTTAAAAACATTTAGCATATAATGTAACAACCATACAAAAACAATAAAAACATAAATCCTCAGCGTCTCCTTACTAAAATCATTTTCTAGTCGTATCATCCAGTTGTTCTGTAGATCTATATTTGCCTGTTACTCTGCATTTGCAAATGCTTGCTAAAGTTCTAATACATAGAAGTAAAAGTAAAATGTTTCCCCTTGACATTAAATCTAGTCATGTCAGACTCTGGGGGGTGGTGCTCATCTCGATTTCTGAGCCAAAGAGCCGGTGTTGTCCGTAGACACCTGGTCATGTGGCTAGCATGACTGCATGGAGCATTGTTACGTTCCCGCCAAGGTGGTACCTATTGATCTACTCACATTTGAATGTTTTCAAACTGCTAAGTTGGCAGAAGCTGAGCCTAACAGTGGGAGCTCACCCCGCTCCCAGATTCAAACCGCTGACCTTTCAGTCAGCACATTCAGCAGCTCAGCAGTTTAACCCGCTGCACCACCGGGGGCCCTAATACATAGAAATATACAATGTTAATTTGACAATGTGTGATTTTAATGAAAAATGAGAGCTGCAGAATGCAAGTAGGAGGGGTTCAATAAGTAAAAGATAATGCTGACTATAATAAAAAACGTAGAATTTGATCATGTCTTAGATGTTATACGACAAATATTCTAGGTATTTTGAAGACGAAGCTACTTGCAAATATTGTGACTACACAACTGGTATGATTCCAGCTGTGCAGGTGTCCAGACCACCATAGGACTCAAGTTGTGATGGAAGAATTCTCAATTTAGAGGGCCTTAGGATTTGACAAGGTCACGTCTGGCTGCCCACTTGTACACCTGGCCTCTGCCCTTCCAAACATTACATCTAATAAGGAGGGGCTGGTTGCTTCTAGGATGTTTTGAATTATCTTATTAACAATAAAGACATGTTATTATTTTCTCATTTTGATATATTTATGTTTTTATTTATCTTTTAAATGTACTCAATGTGTTTCTAAACCTCTCAGAGGCCTTAGTTTTCAGGTTAGTTTGAAAGTGCAACACATCACAGCAGTAAACAAATATATGACAGATGCCAATAGCCTGATCACTTGAATACAATATTTCTCTTATTGGGAGGCGTTCCACTGGAAAAGTAATGTTTTGCCAGTCTCCATTATTAGAATTTGCTATGGCTAGAAGATTTTTTTTTTCAAAATTCCCAAAAGCAAACCTAATGAATATAAAGGACCACCGTTATATTATAAAGTAAAGTAAAAGTAAAGGTTTCCCCTTGACATGAAGTCTAGTCGTGTCCAGCTTTGGAAGGTGGTGCTCATCTCCATTTCTAAGCCAAAGTGCTGGCATCTGTAGGCGGCTCCAAGGTCATGTGGCCTGCATGACACACCGTTACCTTCCCACCAAGGCGGTACCTATTGATCTACTCACATTTGCATGTTTTCAAACTGCTAGATTGGCAGAAGCTGGGGCTAACAGCGGGAGGTGACTCTGCTCCCTGGATTCAAACTGCCAACTTTTCGGCCAGCAAATTCAGCTCAGCTGTTAAACCAGCTGCGCCACCAAGGGGACCATTTTACTATAGCATTGATTATAACTGGAATTAGAATCATAGAGTTGGAAGAGACCTTGTGGGCCATCCAGTCCAACCCCCTGCCAAGAAGCAGGAAAACTGCAAAGCACCCCTGACAGATGGCCATCCAGCCTCTGTTTAAAAGCTTCCAAAGGAGGAGCCTCTATCACACTCCAGGGCAGAGAGTTCCACTGCTGAACAGCTCTCTCAGTCAGGAAGTTCTTCCTCATGTTCAGATGGAATCTCCTTTCTTGTAGTTTGAAGCCATTGTTCCACGTCCTATTCTCCAGGGCAGCAAAAAACAAGTTCGCTCCCTCCTCCCTATGACTTCCTCTCACATATTTATACACGGCTATCATGTCTCCTCTCAGCCTTCTCTTCATGCCCAGCTCTTCAAGCTGCTCCTCATAGGATTTGTTCTCCAGACTCTTGATCATTTGAAATGAGCCAATACACAGGTTCTAGTTATCACAGAGGCCTTCAAACCAAACCAAGGCCCCGGGGAACCAATCTAGCAATCATAGTAAACACTGATTCATATATGCTTTTCACAGCATTACTTGAAAATAGCCAACATTACCCAGTGCTGACATAGCGTGCACAGATGTCAATAGAGAAGTGCTTTAAGTATCTTTCTCATGCTTGTAT